CGCTGCGCACACCGTCGAACGCGCGGAAGAGCGTCGAGGAAACCGTCGCGCCCGCGTTGGCTAGCGTCTCGCGTGTGCTCTCCAGCGTTTCGTCAATGCGCAGGTCGTGCAGACCCTCCGACAAACGGATAGACAAGTCAGACACGGCAGTGGCTTTGCCCTCGCATGGGTGTCGCGGCTCCGAGAGGTCAAAGATCGTCGGGTCCGTGCACTGGTCCCAGATCTCGGCAGCCGGCGTCATGCGGAAGTACTGAGCGAACGGCTCACCAAAGTTAATGAGTGGGTTGACCTCGGTCGTGACCCCCGACGCGGCGGGGGGCGCATTCGCTAACGGCCCGTGTCCAATGAAGTCGGCGTACTCCCCTACCCCCTCACCCATACACTCGGCAACGCGCGACGTCGTCACCCGCCGACAACCACGCCCGTGCTCAACCCTTTCAACAGCAACCAGCCGCTGCTCACCGTCTCCCTCGTGCCGCTTGCCGTTCCCGACCAGCTCGCCTGCAAACACGACAGCGAGCGTGTCCACCGTGCAGCACACCGTTCCTTGTAAGTTGTTATCTTTGTCTTGTAACTGGGGCCTGTCCTTAGGCTGCTTCATATCATTCTCAGGGGCGCTAGCTCCTTCGCTTGGTCAACAACGACGACCAGAACATCCCCGGTGTCCAGCAACGTCGGCCTGATCCCCATCCACAGTCAGCTCTCACGCTCTGGGCACCCCCGCGCCTTGTTTTCACCCCGCCTTGCCCCAGATTGCGGTCTCGCGGACATACCGGATCCCCAATCCTCCATCCCTCCACCTACCGGCCGACCGTGGTCCCCAATCCACCTGTGCTGACATATCTCCACAGGAGGCGCCTTTTATCCCACGGCCTCCTCGCTTACGAGTGTTGACATTTACTCTCTGCACCGAAGCTGGTGCTCATCTCCAAGGTGAGTTGCCCCTCATTCCCGAAGCGCGTTCCTACCCACCTCCACCAAAATTGCATCATACCTTGCTGTGGTCTTCGGTGAGACCATCATCCCGTGCTCAATGGCCGCCATACAGGCGACTGCCAGGTTCTTGCGTACTTGCAATTGGCACATGGACCGATTTCGAGAATGTTGAAAGTTTAACTTTCGACGTTGCGTGTTTGGATGCAGAGGCTGTGCGTAGGTCGTCGAGACCGGGACGCATCAGCCCTCAGAACCACACATGACCAGCAGAGCGGACCTCGGTGCGCCATCCACCTTCCTCGCTCCCTCTCGGACTAGTCGCGTTAGTGGTGATATCTGCCCTCTCGCCTTCGTCGACGAGTTTGACCTGTATCTCCATGCACACTCGGAGGAAGGTGCTCGCCGTGATTGTGCCTTCCCCGCCTCAGTCAAGCGCACAATCGCCTCGATCGGCGCCTGTCCGCAGCGCACAGCTTCTGCATTTGCCCACCCCTTTCCTGTCTGCGGACCGGGCTCGTTAGTCCTTTGTCGTGTTCCTTGGCCGCTCACCTCTTTGCGGGATGGGGCCAGGCCCCGCAGTGGCGGGCAGTTACGGGTGTGCGGACCTGATCGCTCCTATCTGAACATCAGCCGTTCCTCAGTGTTCGTTCCTTACTCATCCCTCTTCCATACACTCGGTTTCATTTCCTTTCTTCAACAATCAGCGCGCCCACCTAGTTCTCAGCTGACGCGTATCAGCATCCAGTCGTACTCGGTTTTTTCTCCGCGTGACAAGACCATCCTCGGCAGCCCGATCGTTCTGGTGATCTCAAGCTCGGCTCGCCAGAACAACAGGCCACAGCCTTTCTCAGCTCGCTCGCATACAGCAACCCACCCGGGGTCCGTTCATGTCTCTCACTACTACGGCACCGCTGAGCTTGCCCCCTCACGCTGATAGACACTTCCAGTCGTCCATGTCCTATCCCCCCGCCGAAGACCGCGCGTACCAAGGCTACTACGGCCGTCCGAGCTCAGCACACGGCACCCAGCAACCTCCGGACGCGCCCTCTCCTCAACGACTCCACTCCGCCGGTTCTGGTGCAACCTACCCCCGGAACGCCCCTCCGCATTCTCCTTACACTCCCCACGAGGTCGCCCCGCCCGGATCATCCCACGGTTTGCCACCGCCCGTCACTCCTGTGAACCCTTCCTCTGCTCCCTATCCTCAGCAGCAGCAGACTTATCCCGCCATGCCACCTAACCAGAGCAACCAGGAGAACACCTCCCCCAACAACAGCCGCCCAGGCACCGCCGATTACACCCCAGATGGTGCCCCGATTGTCCCCGTCGGTATCAGCGGTGGCAAAATGTTCCGCTGCCGTGGCTTTGGAGAATGCAACAAGGTGTTCACACGCTCTGAGCACCTTGCTCGCCATGTTCGGTGAGTTCAGGACTGGACTGGAATGAGGCGCTGGCGAAGCGGTCACGAGGGACGGGGCTCTGTGCGTCATGGTTGACCAAACCCCCCCCCCCCCTCGTGCTCTCGTCACATTCAAGCGGCCCATGCCTTCCCTTCCTTAGTTTTCAGCGCTGACACCCTTCAGTAAGCACACTGGCGAGCGACCCTTCCCTTGCCACTGTGGAAAGGCTTTCTCTCGTCTGGACAACTTGCGCCAACACGCTGCCACTGTCCATGCAGACCAGACCCAGTTAAACGAGGCCATGCTTGCGCAGCTGGCGCAGGTCCATGCGACCCTCTCGCAGCGTGCCAACCGTGAGCAACGTCGCCGCGGTGAGGTTGTTGAGGTTCCAAAGAACGCTGTGGAGCGCCCGCGCGGCGAGCGTGGACCCAAGGGAGGTCCCCCCAACGCTGCCGCCATCCCTCCCGGAGGGCATGCCTACCCAGGCAACGGAGCTCCCGGCTACAACCAGCCTCCTCACCAATGGGGACCGCCGCCTGCCGACCACGGTCGCCCCCGCACCTCTGGCAGCTGGGTTGAGTACCCTGGATACGTCGCGGCACCGGGGAGCGTAGGTAGCGACCAGCACCCGCCCGGTACCGCGGGCTCTGTTGGTTATGGCGACGACGCTGGACCCAGCCGACGCCCAATGTCGGCCACGACCGAACACGCCTACCCCGCCTAACTACGAGCAAGGACCTCCCGGATCGGCCCACGGTCGACCTGCAACTGCTGCTCCACCTGGTACGTCTGGCTCTGACGATTCTGCGCAAGTCGTCCCTCCCTATCGCCCCCTGTCCTCGAGTGGAGCTGCTGGTGGTCACTACGCGGAGTCTGAACCTCCGTCTTCTGCCCACGGTCCTCCTCCCCACTCGCCCATGTACCCTCCCAATGGTGCCGTACCTGGATCACAAGCGGCTTACCCCTCAGCGGACCCCAACCTCTACCCCCAGGGAACCGTTCCCCCCGAAGGTTCGCACCCATACCCTCCCGGACACGACCAGGGAGGCTACGGTCCTCCTCCTCCCGGATCTTCTGGTTCCTACTACTACCCTGGCCAGCAGGGCGGCCACTACTACGGCCAACAGTCGCCTGCGGCTCAGGCCCAGGCGACTTTCTCGTCTGTTCCTCCAGGCACTACACCGACACAGCCGTACCCTCCCGGGTACAACGGTCAGGCTGGTGACTCTCCCTTCCAGTATAAGGCCCCTGGACCATACCCTGGTTACCCCGGGTACGACGGAGGACGGAAGCGCCGAGCTGAGGACGACGCCAATGCTGCGGATGGGCGCAAGCACCCTCGTTCCAGTGATGGTGGACCTCCTACCGGTGAGTAAGCTCGGTGTCATGGTTGGGATCCCTTGTCTGACCGGTATGCAGCCATCTCTGCACTCTTGGGATCTCCGCATCAAGACACTCGATCGCGCCCCTCAACGGGTGACGTTCCCCCTGCACCCGTTGGGACCAACGTTCCGTTCCGCCCCGAAGACGAGAAGAAGGCGGAGCAGGCCTAGACGCCACCCATCTGCTCCGCGCTGCTGTGGCACCCAAGCCGCCCATCATCATCAACCGCACATCACCATTCCACCTTCCCCCACATCCAACTCCACCCTTCCCCAACCAACCATGCAAACAACTCCCACTCAGCCCCTCGAGGCAGCAACAACAATAACCGCATGCGCGCGATTCGCCCCAGCTCGGAACAGCGACTCGTCGACAGTCTGAATGTGTAGCAACTCTGCCTCATTACGCGTGCTGAGCGCGCTTGTTTAAGTTTATCTCGGAAAGCTCCTAGCATTGAGACGGAACGCAAGTTTTTATCAGGACGTTTTATCAATATCACTGGAACGGCCCAGAGGTTTGTCTAGTTTTCTCTTTTGTTTCTAAGATTCGTTATTATTCGCGAGAGCCGGTTGAAGAGTACAGCAAGAAGGTGTTAATAGCGTAGCTGCGTGATTGGGGAGCAGAGCTCTGCTTTCCAGCCCGCAGACTTCAGTACCTAAGCCGTCGAACGTGCCCGGGTTTCGAATGCAAAGTGTGATCGTGAACTACTAGTTTGGCAGTGCAGAGCGCGGAACCGTGCATATCCGGAGATACAGGAGGTGATGGTGTCGATCGGTGCGGATCCGGTGTCTGAGACGGGGGGGGCGATCCGATCGACAGTGATCAGTGAGTGTACCTGGTTTAAGATTATTAAAGGAGATCGAGCGGAGATCGCAACGAGCGGCAATGGCAAAAGGAACCTCGTGTGTCGGATCGCGTGGAGCGAGGTGGAGTGGGGTGGGGCCGCAGCCAAGCGAGGCATGGTGAGGTGAGGCGGGGCAACCCTGCAGATCACAAGGCCAAGGCCCGACATCCCGAGGTCCGTGAGAGCCGGAGGAATTAGCTCAGAGGCCAGAGGCCGGAGGGTGGATGAGGAAGGGTTCAGCTGCAGCTGGGGCCGGCTGGGTGCGGCTGATGCGGACCGTGGGACCTGTGGAATCGCGTGCGCAAAGTGAAGAGTGGGTCCGGAGACGTTGGGTCAGGACGTGCCATGCGCCATGACGAGGCTTGAGGTATGCTGGCACCACCGCCTCCACCGATCGCGGCTCGCTTGTATCCTCTCGGTGAGCGGGGTGTGGGGTGTAGGGTCAGCGGGGGGTGAGCTGGTTGAGCGGGGTCGGACGAGATTTCGGATCGATGGGATAAGACCACTCAGCTGCATTCCGCGTAAGCTCGGATTCATTAAGATCGTCCGCGGAGCAAGCTATTCAGTGCCCATTCAGAGAGCACAATCGCGGCGCGTGTGGAGTACGTTTGCCTTGTCCTACGCAAGATACGGTGGCTCATTGCACGGAATGGCAGTGGTGGCATGTGGCACTGGCGACCTTGTCATCAACGCTGCCGATGCCTCCGGCGACAGTGCCAGGGAAAACGTTGAACCTAGACCTCACGCAGACTCCAGCATCGACAGGCTGAGTTCCACTGTACGTGGTTCCGCTGCACAATGTTGCATTCTCTCTTTACGGGGATCATGTTGATCAGAATGTTCAAGATGCGGGCCCACTCCATCGTTCAGCCGAAACACTGGCCACTGTGCCAGCCGATCCAATTTGCGATCGCCTCGCAGCGGCAGTCGAACCGCTTGAAGCATCCCTTGGCCTTGCCGTCCTTGCCATCCTGCTTATCTTTCCCGCCACCATTACCTCCGTTCCCATTGTTCACCCCCTTGCCCCCGTTCCCATTGGCCCCAGCACCGGTACCCCCGCTCCCCGGACTGGCAGCCTTCCCCTTCCCTTTCCCCATCCCCGAGCTGCCAAACTTACCACCACCCTTTGCTGGACCAGTCCGTCCCATACTACAGCCCCGGGGAGGAGGGAGACGGACTCAAACGTCGCCCCCTCCGCTGCGGACAGCTGGGTGCCGGCGGGAACGATGACGGTCTTATTCAGTTCGTCGAAGGTTATGGCGCTCGCGGACGAGGTCGTCCAGCGGAGACAGGCGCCGTTGGGGCCCTCCTCGGTACACTCGAAGTGGCCCCCTGGAGCCGCCCCGAGAGCGGTGGCGGCTAGAGCTCCCAGAGGCACGAATGCGGAAGCGAGACGCATGATCTGACTAGAGAAGGGTGGGGCTGGGTACTCCAAGATGGCTCGGAGGTGTGACGAGCATGTCGGCATCGCGTTTGTGGTGTTTATATAACTCCTGGCGATTCGTAACCCGCCTCATTCAAGATTGAGGAGGCTGCGGAAGCTCGGTAGAGGCGGCCTTGTCTCGTCTGCTGTCCGGAAGAAGACAGGGGTGTCCTGAGTGTCTCCGGGATGGGGAAGGGATACGTTGAGACAGCTCGAGCTCGAGCTGTCGGCGATCGAGGCTGTCGTGACCGATTCCCCATGCCCGGCTAGGCGGCGATTGCAGACACGCTCACAATCGAGTAGCCCGGACCTTGTATAATGGCGATCTGAACCGTCTCCGTATCGTGTATCGAAACTGAGACGTTTGACAATCTCAGTTTGGGTGCCAGAGTTGCGGGCTCCTTCTGGGTTCAGCGTTCGAGCTCCTGTGGCATGAGTCGGAGCTGACCACTGCTCACGATTGTGGATGACATGGTTCTCCTTCGTCAGACAGGATACGGTCAGCAAAGGGGTATCGAAGCCGCTTATCGGAAGACCGAGATGCATTGACGTATGACGACGGTATCAAGAATCAAACGCCGATGTGTGCACAACTGATGTCCGTCAGAAAGAGTTTGGCGGCCTGGGGTTAGTAAGGCTCCCTCCTGCCAGGCGCCATTGCCCCTAAAGCCCGTCACAACCATGTCCACAAGCGAAGATGGACCCCGATCCCCCAATCGCCTAACCCATGGAGCAGGGAGCCCGTCCTGCGACTCCATTGATGAGGCCGGAAATCACTGTTCTTGGCATGTGTGCGGCTCAGAGGAGTGTCCCGAGCCTGGAAAGGCGTGGCGAGATCGAGGGATCAGTGGAGGTAACGGCGAGACGCTCTGGGACCGGCTCGCCTCTCGACGATATGTGGATGAGCGTATTTGGGCCTACGTCGATCACGACTGGGTGCCTTCCAGCTCTCGCCCGCTGTTGGTGCTGGGCGCCGACGACGAGACCTGCCAGCGGGGATGTGCCATGGTGCACGTGAAGTGGGATGGAGAGGTGACCTCGCGAACACCAGGCGACGTGCGCCTCCTCACGGATGTTAAGGCGGACACGCCGCTCACCGCCCTCGCCCCCGCCATCGGCAGCTTCTCCTTCAAGTCTGTTCCAGGGCTGCAGGAGTGGACTGAGTACAACGAGGGCGATGACAGCATGACCTGGGGCCAATACTGCTTCCACCGCATCAGCTACGACAAGTGCGGCCGAGACGTAATCGAGTTCAAGAAGAAGCTCGGTGACAATCTCGTGCAGTGCGCGGGAGAGAAGTGGGAGATCCTCTCCCGAGATCGCAGGTGGACTTGGCTGCGGGATGCGCACGATCGCAGAGATCGGCTGAGACAGTGCAAGACGCCAAGGAAGCCAGATGAGAATGCCTGGTAGGAAGGGGTGGGGCTTTTGTCGGAGTAACTTTTGTGCAGCTTCTTTGATGCAATCGTAGCTTCTTGGTTCGAGAGATGCGACTATGATGCGGTTGAGTTACCGACCTCCTGATCTGAATGCCGAGTTGCGACCTGACGGGTCGTGGAGGAGCGCACTTAAGCACATACCTCGGTGCCGTCATGTGGAGCAGTCCATTCCTTGGCATACGGACGGCAATGCTGAAGTGCCAGACCATAAAGCGAAAGCCTCATCATAAGCTTTGGTTTTCCCATCCACTTCTCTCTCACCACAATCGATGTCCGCAAACGGGGCGCAACATGATTCCCGCTCGAACGAGGATCCAGGCGAAGTATGGCGACGCCGCTACTCTATGGGACGAGAGGACAACGAGGACACACTATGGGACCAGCTATCAGTACGGCAGTACAGGATGCTGAACCCGTGGGAATACATCGACTTTGATTGGATGCCCGCCGCTGGGTATCCACCGCTCGTGCTGTTTGGTGCTTCCGATGAGACCTGCGAGGTCAAATGCGCGCTTGCACATGTCATCTGGGACGAGGACGTTACAACCCGTACACCGGACGATGTACAACGTCTCGAGGACGTAACTGCCGATACGCCTTCAACTCCCCTGGCTCCAGCCATTGGACAATTCTCTTTCAAAGCAGTGCCCGGGCTGAAAGAATGGGCGCTGGCCGACGATGGCAGCGGCGACGACAAGATGACTTGGGACCGGTATTGTTTCCACCGCGTCGATTACAACAAGTGTAACCGCGACGTCGTCGAGTTCGAGAAGAGGATTGGAAAGGATCTAGTCGAGTGTGGAGGCCAGAAGTGGGCGACGCTTGCCCAAGACAGGAGATGGGACTGGCTTAGGGACGCACACGAACGGAGGGAGAAGCTTAGAGTCGGTCAGACGCCGAAGAAAGTGAAGAAAGAGGACTGGTAGTGATTAGCTACCTGTTGATAATCCATTATCGAAGGCCCTTGCATGTCTCACACCCATCGTGAGCAGGAAAGGAGACATGACAGGGAAGACATGAGTTACCGATATCAGAAAGCCGATCTCACCTTGCGACAATTGAGCGTATGAAAGGTCATTGCGTCATCGCTGGGTGTAAGGCCAGGATTTTCTTTCAAAAGCTGCCTGTCACCGTCAAGATAAGAGCGGTCAGACGAGCACTCCAGCATTCAATCTGAGAGACTTTCGGATCTATCCCAGCATCAATCTGGAAAAACGGACGGGCGCAGATCAGTGAGTATCCACGCAACGACACACAGTAAATCGGGTCATGCTAGCTCACACACCTCCACCTTGACTGGCACATGACTCAATGACGGTCAGCACACTTGCGCCCTCTAAGCCTTCGTCCATCGTTCCATTCCTGACTCGCACACCCATAATTACCTTGCTTTCCTCCATACAATTATTCGTCTCTCAGCGATTGGGTTAGAGCCGACGCGAATCGCATCCGGACGTCTGGTCTTCGCGTCCGGACTCTCGAATCGAGCGCTCTGCCCACGCGGATTTTACGGGTCGCAGTCCGCCTTCCCCTAGACCTTGAGTTTCCTTTATCACTTTTGTGGAGCGCGTATCTTTAGCATGAGGCTGGTCGGTAGCCACTGGGGCGACTGGGAGGTAAGTTGAGCAAAACGACACAAGGGCTGACAGCAGGTGTGGCTGGAGGATGACCAAGGAAGACATCTCAGTACGGCGTAACCAGCTTATTCGCTGATTTGCAGATGAGTACCAGGTTCAACATATCCCCGAGGCTTCTACCGATACTCGTGTCTCTAAGGTTCACATCGAATGCCAAGATGGACAGGTTAGCGATAGTTTGGATGCGGCTGATGTGATAGGAGTTCAGCATCTGTGTTAGGCCCTCGACCCGCCTGCCAGAGTTCGACTGGTCGAGTATGCCCAAAGTGGATGGGCGCAAGATCGCTGGCCGTGCCCATGGCCGCTACGACTTGACAACAGGAAGAACCTCCACCTTTCACGAGATGGTGTCCGGCTCCGCGATCGAGCGCAAACTCACTTTCAACAAGATCGTGAGTTCTCTTGTTATCTGAAGTGTTGACATTAGAATCGCATCGAAGACGGTCCGCGTCTAGATTCCCAGACGGCAACTCAGCTCGGCACCATCGAAGTCAACCTGGAAGGGGGCACCAGGCAGCTCAGCACCCTCTCGGGCTTGCCCACACTTTCGCCTGCCGCCCATCATACGATTGATGAGAAGCTGAAGAAGGTAGGCATAAAGGCTATTCTTCGCTGATCTCAGGTCGCGCTGAGCAGCTATGTTGGGTAAGGCGATGTTTTCCGACGCAAACGCATCTGACCACAAGTGGAGGAACCGTAGTCGGTGGTTCGCACGCGACCGTGTTGTATCGAGTGATCCGAGACCTCAAGATTCCGCGTTACAAGATACAGTTCAGTGTAAGCTAACACCGCTGTCGCATTGCTCCGCTAACTTTAGTACGCTACTCGTCCGGTCCTGATGCTGAAGGACATCATCCCCACCCCGCGCGGTGAGCAGGAAGAACCTCCTGCTCTCATCGCAGCGGGGACCAAGAAGGAGAAAGAGAACGTCAAGGTGAAGAAGGAAAAGCAGACCAAGAAGCGCAAGAGCGCCGGAGGTAGGAGCGGGGAGGCAGGTCCAAGCCGCATTCCCCTCGGCGTCGCCGCCGCGCCCCATGATGATGAGATCCAGCCCCTCGAAACTCCCAGCAAGAAGCGCAAGATTCACACCGTCGACCTCACGAACGACCGCAAGCCCCCTGTGTTCATTAACCTGCTCGACTCTGACGACGAGGACGAGAAGCCCTTCATTGTGTTGTAAACATGCCCCACGCTCGGCACGAGAAGGCCGTCATTGTGTTGTAAAGTACCCCACGGTCGTTGACTATATGATTTCTCGGCAACTAGACAATGTGATGTCATCAAGATGCCGATTCATCTGGAGCCGAGTGCTGGTCACCGTGTATCGTCGCTGGGTCGCTGGAGCGTGCTTCGTTGTCGTCCGCCGCCTCACTGCATTGGTCAGGACCGATCAAAAACGCAACGTCCTGGGAGATACCAGGACATGTACGCCCGAAGGATGTCCAAGATCGTGTTTATCAGGCACGCACGCCCATAGCGCTAACACACCTCCACTCACGCGACACTAGTAGCCCCTTTCGCGCGCCTCACCAAGACTTTCTGCATCCTCCTCCCTCAGCGACGTACCCGCATACTTCATTGCAGCTCTTACTCTGTTCATATACCATTAGATCGTCTCATTCGAACCGATGAAACTCGTCGGCAGTTACTGGAAGGATTGGGAGGTGAGCATTCGAATGGGTCATGCTGACGTAAGGTGTGGCTCGAGGATAGCCAGGGAAGGCGGCTCAGTAGATCAATGAGGAAGGACAACACTGATATTCAGACGAGTACCAGGTTGAGTACGTCGCCGAGGGTCCCACAAAAGTGCGCGTCGCCAACGTTCACATCGAGTGCGAGGATGGGCAGGTCAGTGTCCGCGATAACTTTGACAACCCGGCACAGCTGACAAGCGAGGAGTTCGGTATTGTTGTCCAACCCGCCCGCCGTCCCCGCTTCGACTGGAACATGAATCCTATGGTGGATGGGCGTGAAGTGGCCGGTCTCACTACGCAGAGCGGCGAGATCAGTCCAGCCTGCATCTCGACATTCTACGACTTGGTGGCAGACGCAGTGTATGAGCGCAAACTGGCATTTAGCAAGATTGTGCGTCCCCCCTCCTTTACAGCTGGCATCAGCTCTAACTCCCAGAACAGGATCGAGGACGGCCCTATCCTCGATTCGGGGACGGCCAGCCAGCTGGGCACCATCGAGGTGCTCCTCGAGGCCGGTACTGCCTATCTCGTTGAGGGTATGAACATTCCTCCCATCACGGCCGCGCCGCAGGACACAGTCGACGAGAAGATGAAGAAGGTGGGTGCGGCAACTGAGCAATCCTGACACACAGGTCGCACTCAGCAGTTACGTTGGTGGCGGTACCGTCGTCGGCACCGTGGAGGCCGAGACACTGGCTCAGCTCGTTCCCAACCCCAAGATCCCGGTCTACAAGATCCATATGACGGTGAGTTTCCCTTCTGTGCCTTGGGTGCATCCCTGCTGACCGCCGCGCAGTACGCGACCCGCCCCGTCTTGATGCTCAAGGACATCATCCCGAGTCCTGCGGCCGCTGTTGAGGCTCCCGCTCCTCGTATCGCGGGCAAGAAGAAGCGCAAGAGCGCCGACGCTGCTCCTGAGGCTGGCCCGAGCCGTCTCCGCCCCGAAGCGACCACGGGTCAGAGCAAGAAGCGCAGATCTCGCCTCGCCGAGCAGGAGGATCGCAAGCCCGTCATCATCAACTTACTGGACTCCGACGACGACGGCGAGGGCGAGGGCGAGGAGCGCAAGCCGATCATCGTGCACTAACTGCACCCCGTCTACTCTGTCCAAGCACTCCGCCATTCACTCCTTCACTCTTCCGTTTCTGCCCTGTTTATATAGATGTTGTACAGATGCATTGCCCGGTTGTCTATCCCTCCGTCCCTCTATCCCAACAACGCAAGCAACCTCCCCACCTGCCCCCGCCGGATCCATCCCTGCGCGACATGTCCCCACCACAGCGCCCACGCACTATCCCTTCTCCATCCAAGCATGACAGCACCAAGCCCAACGACAAGAATACCCAGCGCAAGCGCCGTGCCAAAGTTACTGACGCGGAACTTGGCCGGAAGTAAGGTGGAGAGGAAGTGGCGCGGGACGCGGCGGACAATGGGCGGCGGGGGCTGGTCCTCGTCCAGATCGTCCAGCTCGTCGCCGCCGGGTACGATTACGTCGGCGTCGATGCAGGCCTCGGCGTGCGCGTGCGTGAACGGGTGTCTCTGGACTCGCGGGGTGCGGACGCCGTCACTCGCCTCCGAGCCCGTCTCGTCGCTATCCGTCTCCTCCTTCTCCTTCTCCTTCTCCTCCACCTCCCCGTCCCCGTCCACGTCGTGGGCCGAAGAGTCAGAGTCCGCAGGCCGCCCCCTCCGCTCCCACTCCCATGTCCTCACCACACTGCCCGGCCCCAACACCTCCAGTCCCCTCACATCCGGCCCGTCAAGGGGGTATTTCGCCATGAGGCTGTCGGCCAGTCCGAACACCTCGCTCAGCACGAGGGGAGCGAAGGGGTTGGCGTCCTCTTCTCTCGTCGGCGTGTCGAACTCCACCTCTACCGTCTCGAGCAACTCGCCGTCCAATTGGGATAACGTGTCGGTCATGATGGCCTCGAGGCGGGGTTCGAGATCGGCGAGGATCGGGCCGTCGAGTTCTGCTTTCAGGGCTGCTTTCTCGTCCACACTGGACTCGGGGGCGAGGGTCGTGGATCGGTCTAGCTCACGCATGGCGGCCTTCTCGTCTCCGTCAACGGCAGGCGGGGACTTCTCGCCCCCAAGTGGAGTAGGAGGCTTCTCGCGCCTGCGTGATCGCGATCGAGACCTGGACGCGGACCGGCTGCCTCCCCTCGGTTTTCTGACGCTTGGTCGCGTCGGTCTAGACCCCGGCGGGGATGGGGGAGGGGGACTGGGCGCGTCCGGCGTGTCGGGGTACAGTGGCGGCAATCTCGCAAACAGCGGATGTAAGAGGGACGGGTCATCGTGCGCTTCGGGGTGTGCTGCGATGAGCTTGAGCAGTTGTGGCCGTTTCGACATGAGGATCTGCTCTGTCAGCTGACGCGCGGAAACTGAAAGCTTACAGCCACAGCGAGGTAGATTGCGCTGATGGGATTACGCGCAATGAGAAAGTCAAAGATGCGCTGCACGGGATACAGTGTGTCGATGTCGTGCGAGAAGAGGGTCAGGATCCAGGATAGCGCGAAGAAGGGCAGCGTCGGGACTGGCGAGATCCTTTCTGTCAGCTAACGTGTGAAGGGTGTGAGCTCACGTAGAAGACAACCTGTAGAGTTCCGGGTCCGCCTTGGCCAGCAGCCGCCGGAGGAGGCGGAGCATGCCCATCATCGGCCCCAGGCCCGCGCCCATTGCGTCGCGCACGCGGTACAGGCAGACAATCTTGGTCGCCTGCGTCAGCGTGTCCCATTCCCGCTTCTCTTCTTCCCCGGGCTGCGCGGGGTAGGGCACGCTCCGGAGGAGCGTTAGGTAGAGCACTGTGGCGATATCGTGCAGGCCCTGGAAGTATGAGAGGCGGGGATGCTGCTGGAGCACAGAGCAGATGAGCGCCTGCAGGTCCTCCTGCATGGCTGCTTTCGAGCCGCCAGAGATGCCGCGGGGGTACGCGACGAACGCCCGCCGCGTGTCCAGCAGCACTTGTCCCTCATCGGCGTGCGGCGTGAAGACGACAGAGGCGCTCGCGGTATCTGTGCTAGCGTTGTCGGCAGTCTTATCGGGCGTGCTGCCGCGTGCTCGGCTGCTCTCGCCGAGAGTGTCCACGTGCAGAAGCTCCAGCCTGCCTGTCAGCTCACGAAGGCGATGCTAGCTCACCATGCCGCTCGCCGTGCGGTTCGGGAACCGAAGCCACCCGGCTGGGACGAAAGACGCCGCAGCTCCTCCTCGTCGTGCGCCTCTACGGCCTTGAGGACGGCTGCATCGCGTTCTCGTTCCCAGGCGGGGGTGATTCGGACGACGGGCTTCTCATCTTCCAGCGAAGGTGAGTCGAGCGCGAGCTTCTCGTTCAGAAGGACCGGGGTCTGTGGCTCTGCAGGCCTGACTGCGCTCATTCTGGGCGCAGAGGGGTGTAAAGGAGCGTCGACAGGGTGTGATTGTGATGTGCAGCTAGTACCTTGGTGCGGACTGACGTACCAGCCAGAGTGGACACGGGCATGGATCCATTCTCCGACTGATGGTGGATGATCAGGGTGCCTTGGAGGCTTAGCCGGACCCTACCTTAAGCCTCTCCCCTTTCCCTGGGTTCCTTGGCCGATACGCGGCAAACCTTTGGTGCGCAAAGCTGCGGTCTGCGGGCCTGCGGTGGTGCCCGGTACGGGTTGGCCGGCGTGCGGTGGCTGCGGGCGCCCTGTCGTTCGTGTTTTTGAGTGACCGGCGCCCTTTCGCGTTGCCCAGCGCCCAAGCGGCCATGCGCCATGCACACACTTTTGTATCACCATCCTGCAAACCTAACCCGCACAACGCACACGGCCACCCTAGCCGCATCCCGGCTTCTTTCTGCCATCGGGCCACTGCTGCTCGGCGTACATTTTCTTCCTTGCTCTAGTCCGCACCAACACTCGCCGTCGTCAACTCACCCATGGCCATCGAACTCGTCGATCCCGCCATGACAAACGGCGCAAACGGTAACGGAATCAGCAACGGCGTCCACGCCAACGGCAAGCGCGCCGCCGGCAATGGCGATCTGAACGAGAAGCAACCGCTGCACGACGACCTGAACCCACTCCCGCTACGAGCGACAGCGACAGCGACCAACACCATCGTCCAGCCCACCCCCGTCAAGGCAGGCAGCAAGGACGTCGAGGCGGGCAAGCGCTCCCCGTCGCCGCCGCCCAAGATCGAGGCCGGCCGGCACCCAGACGCAGTCTACGCCGAGAGCTTGGCGCCGTGGCGAGACTCCTTCCGGCGATGGTGTGTTCGCCGCCTCGGGCCTGAGAGCGAGCGTATCGCTCGCTGGCAGGCCAAGGTCCGCACACCCGCGCGCGACACGTTCTTCTTCTACAGCGCCATCTTCGGAAGTGAGTGGAGTTGCTCTGCACCGCCTGCAGATCGCAGCACGGTGTCGCCCGACGGGACCAGCACGGACCCGAGACCTCTTGGCAAGTCACCCGCTGACAGCAGCACATACGTTCTTCACTGCCTTCCTCCCCGTCCTCTTCTGGCTCGGATACCCTGTCGAGGGCCGAATGTGAGCTGATCGTTGTTGTACCAGCTAACAGTAAGCCTCCTCTTTGTCGTCGGACTCGGCATCTACCTCTCGTGTGTGCTCAAGGATGTCGCCTGTACGCCGCGCCCGTATGCGCCGCCCGTCACCCGGTTGTGTAAGTTACATGGGTCCGAAGCAAACTGACATCAGCGATCAGCACCCACCACCGCGAGTACGGCTTCCCGTCGTCGCACTCGACCAATGCGATCAGCATTGCCCTCTTCATGGGCCAGATGATGTGGGAGCGACGCGAGTGGTTCGGCATGCCCACGGTGCTGCTGGGCTGGGCCGTGCTCTTCCTCTACTACGCTAGTGTCGCCGGCGGCCGTATTTACTGCGGCATGCACTCGACAAGTGAGTTACGGAACGGTGGTTAGTACTAACTCCCAGTCGACGTCATCGGTGGCACGCTGCTCGGCATCTTCTGCTGGGTCGGCCAGATTGCAGGCAAGGCGATTCTCGACTGGGTCGAGACCGGCAGCCTGTGGAGCATCTACCTCGGCTTCCCGCTCACGCTTGCGCTGATCCACTTCCACCCGCGGACGCCAGACGACTGTCCCTGCTTCGAGGATGCCGTAGCTATCATCTCGGTCATTTTCGGTTGCACGGTGGGCCACCTGCTGGAGCACTACTTCCCGCTTCCTAAGGGATCGGGCGTCTGGTCGCTGGGTATCTTCTGGGGCCTCTTCTTCAACCTCGTCAAGATCACGGTCGGCCTGGCAGCCATCGTCGTCTGGCGCCTGATCGCGAAACCGACCTGTCTCCGTGTCTTCCCCGTCATCTTCCGCGCCGTCTCAAAGGCCCTCGACACGGAACTCCCCCACCGCCCCTTCTATGCGCCCGCGACGACGTACAAGGGCGGCGCGGACGCGCCCATCCGCCCCGTGCCTTCCTTCGGTGAGCTGGCGCACGTCGACTCGGACGTCAACCTCGACGTCAAGGCCAGTAGCCGCCGCTCTCCCTCGCCTCTCAATGTCGAGGACAGCGTGCAGATGCGCCATCGCCACCAGAAGGGCGCCGACATGGCGACGCTCAAGCGCCGCTTCGACCCGGTCGCGGGCAACAGCCACCGCGGACGGCGCGCAAGTTTGCGCAAGCGCTACGACGCCGAGGGTGAGTGTCCTTGCAGCTTCTGACAGGGTGCACGGAAAGAAGCTGACCCCAGTGCTCACCAAGTTTGTCGTGTACACCGGCATCGGTCTCGTGGCGGGCACCGTGACGCCGTTCGTTGCGCGCGAGCTGGAACTCGCGTACGGCCTGCCTTAACCCTCCTTAGATCTGCGATCATCCTTACTTCTACCATACAGCCACAGTAATTCGAGGATCGAGGGGATAATGAACCGACCTGTAATGCGCACCTTGCCAAAGGGTCAGATAGATTTGGGCATGCTAATACTTGGGACTTGGACGTGCACGGCCGAGGTGTGGCCGGTGTGGAACGGTTGTCGAGGGAGTCGAAGCAGCTGGATCTGAGAAGGAAGGAATGCTGACATGGAAGAACTGACTGGCAGATAACGCGGTGACTGAGCTGAGACGCGCCCGAAACGGCGTGAAAAGAACGGTGGCGATCGCATTGATTCAGCCTCGGTGTCTCAGCATCGTCGGTGTGTCAGATTATCTAAACGACACGCGGCGGCCCATCAGCCCGCCCGCTGCTACACTCCGGTGTTCTAGACTTGTTCTGTGCGAGATCAGCGCTGCTCAAACGTGCTCAGACATGCTCCACGCTCACCAAGCGGGCACGCTTCTCTCATCGTCTGCGCCCAGTACTCACTTTTGCTCGCCGTGCAACACTGACCCCCCTGATGTGCGATCTGGATCGATGGCGAGGGCTCACAACCGACTACCAGCGGCCAGTGGCCGCCTTCCTCGTTGTCTGTCGTGTCTTCCTCTGCGTGTCACTCACAGATCAACTCACCGCCCTCCCACATAAGTCGCTCGACTGCGACTGCCCACTCCCCCCGCCTTCCCTCTTCTCTCTGTCTGACCATCGCTGTCTACCCATATCTCATCTCCACCTCTCCCACACTCCCGCCACTTGATCTCTCGACCACCTCACATTCGATCAACCACACCTACTCGTATCTCGACCATCGTTCCGACATCCATTCCTTTCCCCTCGTTTCTTCTCGACTCCACATTCGACGCCAGCGCCAGCGCCAGCGCCAGCACCAGCCACGATGCCTCTCATCCCGCGCGACTTTGGGCCGATGACGGAGGAGCAGATCGCGGCGCGCATGCGCCCCATCAAGGAGTTTGCGCTCGGCTGCATCATGTCCATGATCATCATTGATACGTTCTTGTGGTGAGCTTCGTCTACTCATTACCCACAGCGGCCATACAGGTCACGACTCGCCCCAGCCGCGGAAGACCTTCGATCACAGCTACCTGAACCCCCCCACTCGAATCATAGCTGACATCACAGCGCCGTCTTCCTCATGCAGTCGCACCGGTACTGGATGGTGCACTCTTCTGACCGCTGGTGGATCAAGATGATTGTGATTGCCATTACCTTCCTCGGCCTCTTCACAACTGGTGAGTTTACATGGTGGCTCCGGAACTGACAGCCAGGCTATCTGTGGCACTTTGCCCACCAAGTTGTACGTTACCTATACCGCCCCGCAGCGTCTTCAAGCTTTATCTATCTCTTCTGATTAGCTGACACCCAGTTTGTGGCCGGGTTCGGCACGTACTCGCCCATCGGCGGCCCGCCGACGTATCTGTGAGTTCGCCCACAGGGATCCGAACTGACATCGCAGGCCCTGGTTCCCTCTCTTCGACGGTAAGCTAGTCGTACCTCCCTTGTAGCTGAACGAACGCAGCAATCACAGCCGGCTTCACACAGTTCTTCTTCGCGTACCGCGCCTTCCGCCTGACGCGGCGCAACTGGCTCATCCTCATCTCCGTTATTGTCAGTTGTTTCAATCGACCGCTGAGATAACTGACGACCAGTGCCTAATTCTGATCGGCTTCGGCGCGAGTGCTGGCACCAAGGCGACCTTTGGCCGTATGCAGTCTTCGCGCGATGCGCACAAGACGAAAGTTAGTGAGTAATGCTTGGCAAATGTGATAGAGCTGACCCCAGCGATCCTCATGTGGTGCGTGTCGAGCATGCTCGCCGACCTCATCATCACGACTGCGATTCTTTACGGCCTCATCACGAGCCGTACGGGCTGGGTGCACACTGACCGCGTAAGCTGAGCAATTGTTTCAGCGCAAAGCTGACATCAGATCATCACGCGCCTCATGCGCCTCACGCTCGAGAGTCAGCTGCCTCCCCTCATCCTGGCCGTGACGTACATGGCCGGGTACCGTAAGTCTCAAGCACTTAACCGGGGTTATCTCCAGCTGGGATGAGTGGGGACGACCCAAAGCTGACATCCACAGTGATCGCCCCGGGCAGTCTGTTCTGCAGCACGCTCATGGCGATCCAGAACAAGCTCTACACCGTGGGGCTGTTCTACTCGCTGAATGCGCGCGACACATTCGCAACCCGCAACGTCACCATGGACTTTACGGGCAATGTGAGCTGGCCCCGTCGTCGAAAGCTGACAAGCAGCACTACCCCGAGCAGCAGAGCAAGGCGGGCCCCGCGACCGTGCACGTCGACGTCGAGACGGAGACGTACGAGACGGTAAGCTAGGTAGTTTCGTGCGCAGAGCTAACGCACAGCGCGTCGAGCTGCCCCGCCCTGGCCTCAACCGCATGCAAAGCGCGATGGGCCGGCAGCAGCATCACGCCCTCGAGAAGATCGAACACTCGGACGAGGACGAGGGCGAGAGCGACACGGCCGTGCTCCGTTCCGACTGTGGGTCGAATGTCAAGCTCACCCCGCCTACGCCCTCCGACGGCTCGCCGCCCAATACGCCCGGCGCACTCGCCCCGCATGGCTACCGCACTGCGCCTGCGCAGAGCGAGTACAACGATGACAAGGGCGCAGGCGTCGCTTGAGCGCCTCCCCGGCGCTGCAGCGCGCCGGCCACAGGGTCGCGGGTCTGTGCTGCTCTTGCCGCTCCCGCTCGTCCTACCCGTGCGCCGAGCGCCGTGCCCGTGCGCGCCCCACTCATTTGGACGCCGGCCCCGTCCTTCCTTTGCGCCGCGACGTTGCCTGGTTCTGTAGTTCTGTTTCTGCGGATCCTCGCCCGCGCGATGCGGTGCATCAGCTCGGGCGGCGGTCATACGCTAGTTCTTGGTGTTTCAGTGTCAGTACTATAGTTCAGTAGCCCCTTATCCACCATATGTTTCCAGCCGTAATGTAATCGAGAATGTGACTGCCATCGCTCCGTTCCATTCCATCGTTACTACGTATTGACTTTAACCGCGGTGGTGGTGGCTCTGGCCGCCGACGGTCTGGCCGCCAGCGAGCTCGCCAGTCTCGCCGTGGTGGTGCGAGTGGTGGTGCTCGTTGTGGCTCTCGTTCCTGAGGCCAGAGGGCGCGGTGCTGCGGCCAACACGCTCAGTGTCGACGCGGTAGTCGTCGGGGTCGGCGAGGCCCTGGCGCGTCTGGCGGCCCTGGGCGGAGCGGTCGCGCGAGCGCGACGCAGAGCGGTGGCCCTGGGGGTACATGTCGACGCGGTGGTCGTTGCCCGTCTCGTCCGAGTTGTCGTAGCCGACGTTGCCGAGCTTCTTCTTGATGTTCTCGGCAGCGGCCTTGACCTTCTGCGAAATGGGCTCAGAGGCGGTCGAGCCGGAGCCGGGGAAGGTGGCGGCCTCTGGTTCGTTAGCGTGGATCTAGCGGAGTGCGGGGGACCGGGGTGCGAGAGAGTGGAGTTGCGGAGCGCCGTTGTTCAACGGGCGGATTGGACTTGCAGATCAAGCCCGATGCATCGGTGATGCGACTTGCACAAGAGAGGAAGGTTGGCCCATAGCCGATGAACCGCTGTCGACATGGCGTGTGCAGGGACGGCGCCCCGAGCAGTCCGATCGCCGACGGGCAAGGGGTGAGAGCAGGGAAGACGCAGAAGTCGAGCGATGCGGCCAAAACAGCAACAAGCACAGCGGTAATGCAGGCTGTGACACTGGGGACGCCCGTAGACAGACGATCCGCTGGCACTAGCACGGCACGTGCCGGCCCGGTTGCGTGCTTGCGCCCTGCTGGCAGAGCCTGCGCATGTCGTCGGACCTCCGACGTCTTCCCCGGTCGACACCCAATCCTGCCGATTGCACTCGCCATGCTCGCCTTGTTCGTGGATGAGTGGGACCGAGCGAGCTAGTCGAGCGAGATCTCGGTGATGGATCGGTGAGAGATCGGGGCCGGGGAAGCCATATCGCACGGGCCGCTTATCTCTCCGGGTTGTTGGGGGAAGGTCCTAAAGGTACTCACGCTCCTCGTTGTTGACGACACCACCGCCGGCGGGGTGGACGTCGGGGGCGACGCGGGACTGGGGCTGCTGCGACATTATTTGGTGGATGGGGTTGAGGGGGTGGTGTTGGTGGAGAGGAAAGAGTGAGAGGAGGTGGGAGGGGGATATGTCGTCACGTTATTTAAAGCGAGAGGCAGCGTAGGTGGGGTGATGGGCGGTGGCCTGGGTAGCTGGGTGGCCTGGGTGGCCGGGCGGCTGGTGCCCGGCTGGAGCCAGCTCCTGGCACGGCGAATCCGTACCGATCTGCGCTGCCCAGTAGAGCCCCGGTTGCAGCTGCGCATGCGCTGGCAGTGGCCACCCCTCAGCATGCACTCTATGAGTGCTGGCCCAATCCCAGGAACCGTTGCCCTGGCGAAGGTCCCCGGCGGCTTGAGCCTCAACGTCTGGCTGGCTGGGACGTGTCCAAACTCATATTGGGGGCAAGGCACGCGTTTCTGCACGCCTACAGCCTGATGGAACCTACTACAAGAATGACGTCAACTCGTGTCGTGCTCAGTCATCCTTCTCGCGCATCCGTGTAAGCTCATGCAAGCCTATGCGTGGGTTTCATGCTCTGCGCAACAGCAACAGACTTGGATCGCCGTTCCTGCTGTGTGTTTGTGGACTGCGCGTAAGCACGCGCGGTCTCGCGCAGGTCGCGCGGTCGCGTTGTGAGTCAGCGACTCAATGCGACTCAAGCCAAATGAGCTCGCATAGCTCGCATCTTGCTTGGTTCTGAGGCCAGGTTGGCTTGGCTGGGCATCGGCCGCGCTCCCTACGCCCCTGTGGGCTTGCGCAATTGCAAGCCTTGACAGAGTGAATGGGGAGATTACCCGGGCCCGGACCTCGTTCTCCAATGATCCCAAATCTCGATCGCCTTCTGCTTTTCTTGTGCTGACTCGAGTCCTGGTCGGGCGAGCAATGTCTTTCCGTCTCGTCGCCGCTTATATGCACCTCCTCACCAGCCTTAGTGCTATTCTCGACGCTGGATCTGGAAAATGCAGCGATACGCTCGCCCCTCCTCCATATCTTAGTCTCGACAGATGTCGATAGACGCCAGATCCATAGCGTGCATTGACGCTATGCTCGGACCATGCTCAGCTCAGTTGCACGCCTACGCGCCAGCGATCGCTCCAGCGCGCCAGAAGGCAAGCCCAAATCCCAATGAGCCCATGCCCGTGCGCTCGGCAATCTGATATCCTCATACGCGTCTGGGCTTTGGAGCGTCCCGGTTCGGAAAATTGCCCCGGACTTTAGTACACAGTCCAATGCAGCGCGGATCGCATGGTCCCCCAGTGCTCCCCAGCTCGTCTGGTCGTGCCGAGCGCTGCCGGACTTATCGTCGCTCCATGATTGGCGTGGACTGGGTCAGTGTGGAGTGGACTGATTGGTCTCCTCTCCTCGTTAGATACGAGTACGGGGTGGATAGGGATTTGCATTCTGGAGCACCAACGAGAAGTGAGGGGTTGTTGGAATGAGGAGAGGTAGTATGGGAAGAGGGCAGGAAGGTCCATCGGGGGTGGCGCCAGCCACGATTGGTTGCTGGGTCTGGAGGACGGCGGGGCCTGAGGCTCCCAAAGTCTGGGGCCCAATCAGACCAGAGGCCGCTATCGCTGCTATCTTCCTTATCAGCGGCCTTCAGCGGGCCACAGCGGGCTATGGAGCAGCTTGGAGGGCGGGTTTGGGGCCCTCGGCTTCCTTGGGCGCCTTGTACCCCTCCATGTGGGGCTTAGCGATGATGGGAGGGAAGGGATTATCTGTGGTCAACGATGAACTGGTGACCACCACATGAACACTGCCGCCTCCAGAAGTTCAGCGATCGACGTACCATCGTCCTCTGTTAGAATCTTACAGACAATCTCGACAAACTTGTCACAGAACTTGTCCGTCTCCTCCCTTGGACTGAAGATGATAGCAGATCTGCCCAATGCCCACTGGTACGGGAGAGGAAGTGATGCCACGAACTTGAATGGCGCTCTGTTCATCTCGCAGAAGTGGGCCGGGAACACAGCGTCAAGCAACCCGTCAGGGCCGACAGAACTGGCAGGAGGTTGTTTCTTTTTCGGGCCCCAGACAAGGTCAGAGGACTTCCCAATAAGCTTCACACAAAGTCCTAAATCGTTCGTCATGCAGGCGAATATGAGTTGACCTTCGCATGAACTGGTGATCTCGGTCTGGCGCAAAATCAACTCAGAACTGAGAAGCCTGAGCATCCTCACTCCGACCTCCGAGCCGTACTTGTCAAGGAAGGTGATGAGACGATTCAGCTGGAGAGAGAGAGGTTTCCAGTCAAGCTCGATGAGCTTGGCGAGACTAAACCGGGCAGGTGAGACAAGCTCCAAGAACAGGCGCAGGGTGCCAGCATCCTCGAAAGTCGTGTCCGTCAAGTGCAGTTCGGTATCCTGGTCACTCCTCGGGAGGTTCAGCATATCGGCGAATATGGGGCTGATGCAGTCAGTTGTAACCCAAGCTCACTAATCATACCTTGCCCAAGCGAGAAGATAGCTCGGTACGCGGAAGCGTACACCGTCGGACGAGATGACGCAGACGTCGCCGTCGACCCAGGCAGGGTCGTCAGTGAACTCTGCAATGAAATCCGCGTCCTTCGCTTCAGACTGAACCATGTTGAGCTCGAGGTGAAGGAGATTGGGTTGGATGGCTGAAGTGAGAAGACGGACACTACAATATGTGCAGCTAAGCGACACGCAGCCTTGGACGTCTGCGACGTTGACATTCACCCACGGAAGGGCGATCTTCTGATCGGCAGGGATGGCGAGAGAAGTTCTGTTCAGGGTGGTTTTACAGCGCTTCATGGGCTCGGTGCATAGGAAAACTGGAGGTACTGCACATGAAGCGGAATGCTGCAACGGTCATGGACAGTGTCTGATCACACCTCGTCGTTGCGCATCAAGAGGGCCTGATGAACCGTCCAACGGTCCTTCGGTGCTTGCTGCTATGTCCTCCGCGCCATTGTCCGTTGTGTCTCCTCCAACAGTCTCGAATTAGCATTGGCCGGAACATCCGTGGGCTGGGCCTCTTCCGATACACCCACCTTCCGATACTCCCACCAGGGGTGGCAGGGCTGCGAACGCTGCCTCAGAGCTCATAACGAGAGCGAAGTCAGTCAAGAAGGACAAAGAGGACTAGCTGAACCGGGTGGTGGAAAGAGCATGCATCCTTTCTGGCATATAAACATTCAGTGCACGACATCAGGGTCCACCTGAATCTTCCACTACACCTGTGAGTACTAGGAGGATTAGATTGGCGGTTCAGATTGAGTGCGCAAGTGACGTTGCTGAAGCGCAAACAGATCTCGTGGGGCAGCATGTGTAGCGGGAGATTCCCAATCTCAGGCGTTGAAGATGACATCCAAATGAGATCCTCTGTACGGCAGCTCTGATCTTTGCCTCAACGATGAAAGCATTCCGAGCGTTAGGCAAACTGTGACAAAGCATGCAGCGCTAGTGACGAGGTTGCCACAGCGCCAGCGACTCCCTTTCTTTAACTCCCACGATAAAAGTCTACCTTTGGGTACTCTCAGATGACTACCGTCAGCGTGGCCGTTGAGGCGTCGGACGCCCTCGGCTTGGTGTAACCTTCGAGATTCGGCGTGGCGACGATGGCAGGGAAAGTTCCACCGTACACCGGGTACTCTGACATCAGCTATGTTGTTTGAAAGACTGGACTTACGAGTGCTCTCATCGAAGATGATCTGGACAATGTCGACAAACTTGTGGGCGAACTTCTCGTATTCTTTGCTGGGATCGTAATAGAGAGAAGCCCGAGTCATGGCCCACTGATACTGGTAGGGCATGCCGCACGAGAGATCGAAGCCAGCATGCGAAGTAAGGAATATCGAGGGTGCCTCCGACGCCCCATGCGGCTGAGGTAGCAAGACTCTGGAGCGGTCAGGATTGGTCCATGTCCACCCGGGGAACTTTTCGATGATACGGAAACACAATGTAAGATCATTAATGACGCTTGCGAAGACAAAAAGCTGGGAGGGCGGGCAGTATCCGTGCAGAACAGCCGCAGTGCAGGACAGCCTGAGCAGTTCGATACCGTTCTCAGAGTTGTACTTGTCCATGAAGTGGACGAGCTTGCCAAGTTGGCGAGCACTGTCGGAATAGGGCTCGGAAAGTGACGCGAAGACGTTGTAGTTGCGAGTCGCCGACACCACGTCCAGATACAGCCTGATGGTAGCAGAGTCCTCGAAGTGAGAGTCTGTGAGACGAATTCCTTTCTCCTGCCCTTCGACACTGGGAGTGGGCAGAGTAAGCATATCGTCGAAGACAGAACTGTGCGTCAGGAAGGCTGTCGAGCACTTGCGGCTCACCTTGACCACGCCAGTAGGGCAGAGGGAACATGAAAGCGGACATTATCGGAGGAGATGATGGCGACATCCCCAGAAGTCCACTTTGTGTCTTCCTTCATTTGGCCGGGTGTTGGTACTACTGCTCTTTGAGTCGGACGTGAGATATTGGAGTGATCTAAACAACGAAAGAAAAGGGTGTTGTTGAGGATGGGGACTGTACGTCCGCAATTCCGCCGTCATGAGATCAATGCCGGGTGCTGAGATGTTTGTACTCAAGGGGTCCGCGTGCAAGGCAGCAACGGGTCAAGGGCCGTGACAAAGGGTTAGCTGTCATAAACCCCAGCGAGACACCAAAGCGCTGCGATTGAGAAGGCGAGCAGGTTCCCATAACTTATGTCTCCGGCTAGTCGGCGTTGCCTGGGTTAGATCATCCTCATCAGCCGGTTGGCGTGGTTAACCAAACATGCAGTTCTTGTTATCGCTCGGCGTAATCTTCACAATTCACCGATCGGCATCTCAACAGTCAAATGTCGTTTCTCACACTACCGCGGGCAGCAGGAACGAGCAAACATCAAGCTGAATCCATCTATGCACCCACGAAGTGGTTCTATAAGGTGATACAGTACATGAGGAAGGGTGGTTTCACTTCTTCCCCTTCTTCGGTGCGGCCCGCGTCTTCGGAGGGTTCTTCTTCTGCAGCTTTGGCGGAGAAGCGGACCTCTCTTCGGGCTGCTCCGACTCGACTACCTTCCGCTTTCGACCTGCAGCAGCCTTCGACGTCGACGCCTTGGCCGAAGCCTTGCCCCCTCGCGTCGGGGGCGCCGGTGTAGCTTCAGAAGGTGCTGTCGAGGCATTTCGAGACTTGCTTTGGATGCGGCCCGATCGCCTGACAGTGGGTGCCTTGGCGGCTCTCTTCCGCTTGCCGCCACTCTTCTCATCCTCGTAGTCACCATCCTCGTCATTGTCGGAGTTACCGTCGTCTTCTCCTTCCTCAGACTCTCCCTTTTCAGCTTCCGCTGACGACTCGTCCAGCTCGTCCACCTCTTCCTCCCCTTCGGAACGCATATCGATACCAGGTCCTTCGTCGGTCGGCTGCTGATTGACGTTGTCCTTCTCTCGAATCTGCGTCTGCTTCGGTACCGGCTGTACTCCCCCGTCTGAGGATGTAGGCGCCTGCCGCGTGGGCCTGTCCATGACGTGCTGTGGGACCCTCTCCCTGAACTCCACATCGCTCGACTTCACGACCCACCCGTCAGGGGTGTTGAGGTAGGCCAGGGGACCTAGCAGATCCTTAGGCCCTTCGCGGACGGGTCGTCCGGCGATCGTCTCCGGATACCGGTGGTGCTTCGTCGTTGGGTCGTTGGCGGACATGCGCACCATCCCCCTTGTCCGGGATACTGAAACTGCAGCCGTGGGTGTGGTCGGGACCGGTTCGGTATCCGGCCAAAACCTAAGGAGCGCTTCCCAGAACTCGTCACAGAACTTTGCCGGGCACCCCACAGGGTGAGCGAAGCGGTTCGCATAGTTCAGAGCTTGATAATACTGGAACGGCAGCGCCTCAGCAAACTCCTTTGGTGCGCCGGACACGACGAACAGTGAACGGTGAGCCCAGCCCGGCCCATCTTTGCCCTCGACCGGGGCCCAGAGGAAGTCGGGAAACTGCCGGATGATGCTGGTGACAAGCGAGGGGCTGTTGAGGAGGCAGGCTGCCATGAGAGCGCTGTCGGGGCTCATGCGGTAGGTGAATATCGCCTCGGCAATGTAGCCGCGGAGCGCCTCGATCTGTCTAGCAGCGCCCTCGTAATCGAGAAATTGGAGCACGTCGATCAGAAGCTGTCGCCAATACTGCCACGGACGGTTCAGCAGCGGCTCCATGGCAAGCTCCTTTGGGTAACACCTCAGGTCCAAGACCATCTCGATAGACCGCCTAGTCATGAATGGCTCACGAAACCAAAGCTCGTTGGCCGCTCGTCCTTCGCCCCTGCTCCATGTCCGGGGACTGCCGTCAATCGATGTCGTCACGGGCTGACTCACAATGCCTTCATAACACCCCCCAACGGAGGATACATTGCGTTCTCGTCATTGTAAGGGAACACGCGGAACGACCTGCGAAAGGCTAACGGCCGCTTGTGCTTGTCGTCAGCCCTCTTCTGGAGATCGTTACTGGAGAAACCAGGGATTGGACTTACTTGATTGCTAGATTGGTTCCCTTCACTGTCGCTCGATTGGGAGATGGGCTGAGGGTTACTGACGGGGTTGTGACGCTGCGCTGTGCCCGGCGCAGGATTAGCATTGGGCCGAGAACTGATGGGCGGAGGACCGCTGGGTCCCGTGCTGCCAGCCTGGGCGCTAGGCCGTGGGCTGTTGGCCCCATTTCCGCCAGTCTCAACAGTGAGCCTTGGGCTGCTGGGCTCGGTGCCACCAGCCTGGAGAATGGGGTGAGGTCTGTTAGACCCAGTGCCGCCAGTCCCACTGCCGCTCGACTCGCCACTGCGAGGAGGTATGCGGAGCGACGGTACGCGGATAGTGTTGCCGTTTCCAGGGGCCGGCGCTTTCGCAGGTACAGTCACATTGTTTATCGGGGAAGGCTCGCGGGCACCCTCTCGTGGGCGGATGGGGGCCTTGCCTTTGTTCGTGCTGGGAGGGGGAGGATCGCCCGATGCGGCGAAGGGGTCGTCGGTACCAGGCTGGATGTCGGGAGATGGTGGAAGCGGCGGCCATAAGCTGGGATCGTATGGGTTGACAGGATCGGTCGGTCCAGCAGGCGGGGGTGTTGGGTTTTTGTAATCGCTGATGTCAGACTTGCTGCCGGCGTCAGACATAGTGCAGGCGTGCGGTATGAAGCTCTCTTCCAGATGGCATGCACGAAAGGTAGCTTTATGTATCCTCCCCTGAACGCTGCGTGGGCGGTAGCGACGACGAGTGTAACAAAGGCGTTAATGTAGAGGTCTCCGGCGCAAACAATGCGTCAGCAGCAGGGCCATCATAGGTGACTAGCAGATGTGATTGCAGTGCTAGACGGTGGTTGTCGGTGGCTATTCATCGCGCTTTCGCGGCTTTTTGATGGTAGATAGCAGTGCGGTCGAATTTCAAGGGACAAAGAGCACACTATCGCCAGTGTTCAGACACGGCACCGCCGTGCAAGTTCAAGAGCTGTAAGCGGATGTCATAACCTCGTACTCTTGTTGCTCGAGCTGGAGTAGGCTGTCGAATACCTTGAGACAAGTGTATGCGGCTGAAGAACAAGCGAAGAGTGCGTTAGCGGCTGTGCGTCTGGTCTGCTGCAGGTGCTGTGACTGGTAAATACTTCCCGTCATGAGTTGACAATGCGGTCGACGTCGCCTCCAGCGCCGCTTACAGCGTCGAGAATCGTCGACAATGAGATGTGGCCAGACAGAGTTCGGATGCTGGTGAGATGATGCATACAGTGTGACTTGAGGGTATCGAAAGACAGAGATCCAAGAAAGAAGGAAATGACACTAAGCGAAGCCGACAGTCTTCTTCTTGACGACGGGCTTCTCCTCTGGCGTCGACTTTCCTTTCCTCCGCCTCCTCTTCTCACGATCCCGGACGATGATGGCAGCCTTGGCGGCGTCCTGTAATGGTAAGCTCAAATTGAACACGCGAGCACATACGAGGGCCTTTCTCTTGTCCTCCTGCTTCTTGGATGCCTTCTTCTTCGTCTTGCTCTCCTCGCGGGCCTTGTCCGCCTTCTCGCGCTGCTTCTCGGCGGCGAGCTTGTCGTTGATGATCGCGTTCTTCTTGTCGGTGACGTTGTCCATCAGCGACAGAAGGGCAGACTTGTCCTCAAGAAAGACCTTGCCCTTCTTCCGTCGCTCGCGTCGCGACTTCGTCTTCGAGGCGGCATTCGAGTCGGAGGGAGTGGGGTTGGCAGCGGGCTTGGCCGAGGGGGCAGCGGTGACAGTCGGCTTGACCGGGGGAGCACTGGCAGCTGCCGTGTTTCCAGAAGCCTTCAGGAGCTGATTCTTCAGCTTCTTCCTCTGTCTCCGGGTCGCAGAGGCAGAAGAGGCGGTGGACTCGGTGTCTGACGGCAGCTCGTCTGACGACGGTTCCGGTTGGGAAGCCTCATCTTCCGACGAGGAGTGGTACTCCTGTGCCGGCTTCGCGGGCTGCTTCGGTTGCCTCCTCTTCCTCCTAGTCTGTTGTTGTCAGCTGATGAGAGTCGGCCCGAACCCGGGGCTGTGAACAATAGCAGCCTCAGGAGCTGCACTCACCTTCGCGCCTCCGTCCTGCGATGGCTGGGCTGGCTTGCTGGCAACGGGAGCCTTGTTAGCCTTGTTGATGGGCTTGGCGGGCTTCGCGGCAGCCTTTTTGTTGTTCGGGGCCTTCCCTGGCTTGCTCGTGTCCTTCGGCATGGTGCGTGCGTCCAGAGTGTTGGTACAGTCGAGGGTCAACAACAATATCGTCGCCAGTGGATCAGGAATCTCGAAATTCTCTGGCGGCGTCGGTGGAGGCCACGTGGGAGAGTCGCGTGGTTGTGACAGCCAGGCACGACTACAACGCCGAGATTGTCTGGGACTGCCATAAACGACCTCAGCCTCAGCCTCGACATCACCATCTGCAGAGCATGGATGCTGAGGCATTCGCCGAGCAGTCCGTGTGGATCTTATGGGAACTGTGGCTGTCTGATGCTCACCTCAGATCGCTCCTCATACCCCCGGTGGATGATGGCTGCCCGAGTCGCGGTCTACAATGGGGCTGACCCCAGATAATTTGATTGGATTCTGTAACAGAACAGGAGTTCGGCGAGCCTCCCACACTTAGTCGCCGAGACACCAGGCAGACGAGCAGCAATCACTTCAAGTCCAGTTTCTCATGGGTCGACCTGTATGACTTCTTTGTTCACGTCTCGCGAAGGGCAAACATGCTCGCGCCAGCTCCTACCAGCGCGAGCTGATTGAGCATAAAAGGCGAGGTTGGGGCGATGCAGAACTACCAAACCCACCCGCTACTCCTCACACTCGCGCTACAATCGCTTGTGTCACGATGGCTCTCGGATTCACTCACCTCCTCGGCCTCTTTGGCGTACTCCAGGCGATCAGCGCTGCCCCTGCCACCTCTTGCCAGCTGCAGTGGGGCGGTGTCACGATCGATGGCCACCTCGGCGACAACAACGTCTGTCGCTACAACATCAAGTACGGCTCGGCTGAGCGCTGGGGCGAGTCCCAGGCTACCGCTTCGTGAGTATCTGCCTTCGAAAGCAACGGGCTCAAGCTGACACCTCAGGCCTGCCGATGGCTCCGGCCTGCCTCCTGCGTGTCCTCAGGGCGGCTTCACCTACTTCACGGGTAATGTGCCCCAGAGCGAGGACTGCCTGCACATGCTGGCGTATGTGCCTCAGAACGCCGATGCCAACACGCCGATCTTCACCTGGCTGCACGGCGGTAGCTTCCGTTTCGGCGGTGCTAGCATGTCTGGCATCGACGGCTCCGCTCTCGCCGCCAAGGGCCAGGTCGTCTTCGTGCCCCAGTACCGTCTCGGTATGCTCGGCATGATGCCTCCCGCCAGCAGTTCGACGGCCAACGATCCGAATCTCGCCCTTCGCGACGTCGTTCTTGCCCTCAAGTCCATCAAAGACAACATTGGCTCCAAGGGCAACAAGAACGCCGTCACTCTCGGCGGCCACTCCAGCGGTGCGCTCATGGTCCGTACCCTGTGGTCGATGCCCAGCGCTGCGGGTCTCTTCCACCGCTCCATGCTCCAGTCCGACCCCAGTGGTCAGGGACTGTCAACGGTGTCTCAATACCAGGCTGTCCGCAACAAGGTCTACGGCTACGCCTCGCTGAAGGACAAGTCTCTCGCGGAGCTGAAGAGCGCCAACCCTTCGGTCTTCGAGGAAGCGATCAACACCCTCCTGTCGAGCCTGCCGTACGATGCCTGGCTGGACTCTCCCAACCTCTCCATCAATCCCGTCTATGGCACCGCGTCTCTTCCCAGTGACCCGACCGCGGCTCTCGTCTCGAACAAGGGTCAGCTGGCCGTCAACCCCTCGAACATGCCCCTTTTCGTGTCCACCACCAAGGACGAGGCGGCTTACCTCGTTAGCGGATACTGGCCGAACCCGATCCCCCAAGGCTACGTGATGGGCGGTGGTAACAAGGGTACCATCGAATACAACTCAGTCATGCAGGGCCGCTGCGCCAACGGGTTTGATCTCCGCACGCAGGACACCTACTGGAGGGACTCGGCTCCCGACACTGTCCGTCGTGCTGTGTCGCTGGCTGTCACCGACGGAGGGGTCCGCTGCTCTTCCCGCGCCGTGGCTTCGGGCTGGGCTCAGAAGGGTGGCCAGGCGTTCGTTGCTGAGTTCACCAAGGGTGCTCCTTTCCTCTACAGCCAGTCGTCTGGTAGCAGCTTCTGTGACGACAAGGTTTGCCACGGAGTGAGTTTCAGATCAAGAGTTAGTGCTAACCCAAGAATGATGTTCCGCTTGTGTTTGCCCACGACAACAACAACTCTGCCGGATTCGTGAGTCCTCCCGCTATGTTAGCGCTGACGATCAGGCCAACGAGGTCGCCGACATCTGGACCAAGTTCATCCACGGCCAGAGCATGGGCTGGAACGCTTACTCTGCGAACGCCAAGCAGCAGAACACCAACATCAAGGCGATTGGCGGCGGTTCGGTCGCCAACTGCCCCAAGTCTGGCTCGAACGCCTTCTGGGGTACCAAGTGCACGTGGAACTGGCAGTAAGCGAAGGAAGGTCGAGCACTGTGGACGGCTAACCATTCTGGGGGACTGGAGAAGGAGAGGGACATGAGGGTAACGGTCACGGCAATGGCAACCACGGCGGTGGTGACCGCGGCCATGACGAGAAGAGGCCGGGTAAGGAGCGACCTGGAAGGGGTCAAGGGAAGCCTGGGAATGGCAAGCCGCGCCGCCAGTGCACGTCTTCTTAGTCTCGCGGGATCGGAAAAGTCTATAATGAATCGATGCATCGGAGTAGCCGCGTGTAAAGTGCCGAGTTGTTGCTATTATTCAAGGGTATGGTTTGTTTACGACAAATTAGCCATCCGGCCGATGAGGGCCAGATGTGTTGGGACCTGTGCGCATGTAGAATGTGACACAGGCTCGCACGACTTGAACGTTTGCCAGAAGCGTGTTTTGCATGGCTGGCATCGTACAGTCAAAACTCGACTCTTACAACTTGGGAACCTGACGTCAGTCACACAAGCCGCACGACGACTCACCCTCAGGGTCTTCGACACCATGGCGGCGGCCCAAACGGCAAAGATAATCGACAAGATGTGAATGGTGGAGTTCTTGTTTCCCGCGATGAGCTCGATGGTTCCGAAAGGGAGGTCACCGTGGGAGCCCATGGCGAACCAGCCCGAGTGGACAAAGTAGGCCATCATGGCGTCCAGGCCGAGCGACGACGGGATGGGGATGCCTTCGAAGTACTTGGACTTGCCGGAAGCGTCGGCAGGGATAAGGGCGACCGTGGCGTTGAACCGGGCAAGGCGGGCAAGACCGCAAGAGACAAACAGAAGGAGACAAACAACGTCGAGGGGAGTGCGGAGGCCCATAACGTAGCCGAGGGTGGCGGGGGCGACACCGAACGAGATGAGATCGGCGAGCGAGTCCATCTCCTGGCCGAGCATCGAACCACCACCCATCCATCGCGCCACCTTACCGTCGAGAGCGTCAAAGCCGAAACCAAGCATCGGGAGGATAATGGCAGTGTAGAGTGTACGGGTCGCATCGTCGGAGAGCGGTCGGGGCAGGTTCGAACTCTCGAGCAGGTAGCGCGCGGACAACAGGATCGACAGTGTGCCACACACTCCGTTCATGATTGTGATCAGGTCCGCGAGACGGAAATTACTGCGTCGTTAGCAAAACTCAAACTCTCGACTGGATGCATGTGAGGATGCGGAGCCATTCCGCAGTCACAAGCGAGAACAACGCCACTGACGCTGCACGGCATGAGACACTCACCGGACGAGCGAGAAGTGTCCGTCATCATCCTTGTACTGCTGGAGAGCCTTGCGCTTCTCCTCGGACATAGGAGTAACTGGCGACACGGCGGCGGTAGCCTCAGCCTTGACCGATGCAGAAGTACGTTTGGACATGTTGGGGACCAAAGACGATTGTGGAGTGGAGCAACGGAATCACGAGCGGCTTCCAGACGATGCGCAAGAAGAGTGCAGTGGCGAGAAATTCCGCCTGGGGATTAGAATCGAACGACCAACGTGACTGTCGGGGTTATATCAGTGTTCGACTGGGGAACGTCGTTGCTTGAGAACCGGTGGAGAAAGAAGAACGGAGGCGAGCGGATGGAGAAGCAGCCTCCCCCAATCCGCAAGCCACGGTACATCATCATCGCGACCAAGGGAGTGTCCGCAATTTACGGGGGGTAGCCAATAAGGATCGGGGAGCGCTCCACGCGAGTGACTTTGCGGAACCAATTTGGGCAGTCAGCCAACCTTGTAAACAACAACAAACGTAGTCAACATCCTCGCATGCTCTCACGGTCTGGAACCAAATACGATTGCACGACCCATAAACAGACTCCATCCCAACACCGACTTCACTCCCCTATCCGACAGAACAACATCGACATCAACCTCGGTCTCTTGTCCCTCCTACCTGACGATCCGCCATGATGGATGTCACAACGCACATCGCCGAACAGATTCCAATACTCCAGTCACTCCACACACGGCTAGGGCTACCGGACAATATACTCGCAGAAGACATGGCTAGAATCGATGCTGCTGTTCGTACCGCCATTCAATCTGTCGTTCGCTCTCGTGAAGATGAAGTTGCGTCATGGGAGGAGAAGATCAATGATGAGAAGCGAGTCATCCACTGTATCGCCAAGGCAGTCGGAGACAGAGGAAGGAGTGCGCTTGCAGAGGAGAGGCGGGAAACGATGGTACCTGCTGTGAGTGGTGGGCACTGTGAGACTCGTAGATAGAAGCTGACTCCAGTCATTGCCAGCTCAACATGAGCGTCTGGTCCGCCAGACCAAGGAGCTCGAGCAGGTGAGCACATGAGGATGAACCGGAGCTGACATTTCAGGTGTACGAAGAGCGCCTCGCAAAGATCGAGGAGATGATGACGACCCTCGAGAAGCTGTCGCTATTACTCGGGCCGCCGTACGACCCCCCTGCGCCCCTGAAAGAGGTTCCGGAAAGCGCGACGTTGCCTCCTCGAGCGGTGCCGCGTCGGTCAACCCTGGCACCGCCGATGGTCGCACCAACGACCAATGTGAACAAACGCCACTCGGCTCGAAACACCACTCCACAGCCAGAGATACCTCTACAGCCCCAGGTTTGGCTGGACGTCGGCGAGGATGTTATGGGGACCCTCGAGAAGGCAGTCTCCGAGGCGCTTGCTGAAAGGGTGAGTGGGAAATTGCTGCATGTTTGGTGGCTTTCCGAAACTTTATTACTGACAGAATGTAGGACACCCGCCTGGAAGAACTGGAGACGGATTTCGGTCACCTGGTCTGGTTTGCCTCGGAGCTCGATCTGCCGCCTCTGCCAACAGGCCCGCTTGACGAGTTCCCAGAGCGACTCTTGCCGCCATCGGACATGGAAGAGACGCCAGGTGCGCACGAACGATACACAAAGCTTCTTGCATCGATCTTGGCCGTCAACGAGCCGTGGGATGGAGACGATGACGCGGACGCGCCGGAGATTCAGGGCATGGATGGCATTGAGCCCGAGATTGGGCTCATGAAGTGGGTCGCGTGGATCGCGGAACTCTGGGGCGAAGAGAAGGAGATAAGAGATGCTCAGTGTCAGGAGCTCTACGAGCAGATCGAACCGTTGTGGGAGCGCCTCAAGGTCGACCCAGATGAGATTCAAAAGTTCATCGACGAAAACCGGGGTAGTGGTGAGAACACGTATCTTGCAGTGAGTATGAGGCGGAATAACGCCCGAAGCTCGCAGTTAACATGCAGTACCAGAAGGAGCTCCAGCGTGTTCAGGATCTCCGCAAGAGTTCCCTGAGTGAGCTCTTCGTCGAGGTCCGGCAGGAGATCGCCAAGCTCCAAAATCATCTGCTCCTCAACAAAGGTGAGGGATCAACACCCGACGCATTGAACAACGAGGAGTACTCGGAGGAGCTATTGAAGGAAGAAGAGGACGAGTGCCAGCGCCTGCGCGACGAGGTCAACGCCAAGGGCCCTGTGTTGAAGAAGGTTAAGGAGTGGATTCAACTGAAGAAAGACGAGGTGAAGCTGAGCACGATCGAGGCTGACCCCGATCGTTTCAAGAAAGCGCGCAATATGCTGGAGGAAGAGAAGTTGCGGAAGCGCGTTGAAAAGCTGAAGCCCAAGATAGAGGCGCAGCTGCTCGCAACCTTGCCGGCGTGGGAAGAAGAGCACGGCGGACCCTTCCTGGCTCACGGCGAACGCGTGGTCGACAGCATCCAAAACGCGATCGCAGAGAAGGCGAAAGCGAGGGACGCAAAGAAGAATGCCAGGATGGGCCTCGCGCCCCGCGCCGCGAGTGTTAGAGCCACTCCTGCGCAGCCTGCAAGCCGCGTTGTCAGCAGTACAGCGCGCTCCGTGTCTAACACAACGCGGAAGCGCGATGCGCCGACGCCATGTCCCCCGGGCGGAAACGGGAGCACGCTGAAGCGCTCGCGTATTGGCCAACCATCTAGCCGATCGACATCCTCTCGCCCACGAGCAGGCGGCATCCCCCGCATGACAGCTGCTACGCCGACACCAGCCTCCGGCGGCCGCGCTTTCGGCCAGCCAGCTCTCGGCGCGCTTGCCAACGGCAACACACCGCAGATGACGGGCCCGGATCCGTTCAAGTCTCGGCCCATCACCTCCCACCTCATCAAATCCCGCCCCCCTGGCTCATCCCGCCGGCCCCTCTCCGCGAAGAGCAGGACAAGCTTCAAGCCGCGCCCGAGCTTAGCAGCTGGTCTGCTGCGCGGCGTGGACGTACTGGAGGCGGACGAGGCGGGCGAGGCGGGCGAGGCGGAGGTCGACAATGTGTACTAGCACTGCAATTTCTGACCTCGCGTCCGCAATACCTCCAACTAGTTATCTCTTTCACTACTTCGTGTTACTTTTTGATTTTGCCTCTCTCCCCTTCTTTTCTCCTGTAGTAGTGTATCCCGTAGCGACCTCCGAGCACGATCATACACACAAACCTACCCAACAGACGCTGTATTTGTAGACTCCTCTTCCCTCTTGCGCGAGAAACGAGCGTATGCCTATGGATGAAATGGTGATAAAATGAAAGATACATGCTGGTCGTATATTAGGGCTGGTTGCGCATGCCCATTAAAAATGCTGTTATGATGAGTGTGCAGGGTATGAGATGTGTAGGGATATTAGACGGCGGCGAAGTGGGCGCCTCCGTCGAGCAGCGCGCGGCGCGCCTTGTTGGCGAGGAGAGACTTCCAGAACTCGTCGCGGACCTCAGGGAGCGAGAGCATCGTGCGGTTCTCTGTGTACTGTCAGCTTCCACCGTGCGGTTGCTGAGCTGCGGGTGACTCACTCGCGTCCCGATGCCCAATGTCGAGAATGACGACAGTCTGCGGCGTGATCTTGAGCGCGCCTTCCTCAAGAAGCTTGGCGACACGGGCCGGCGTGCCGACCGCAATAGCGACACGCGTCTTGCCAAGGAACTTGACCTGGTCGGCGACCTTGAAGTGCTTTGCGAAGAGCTGTTGTCAGCTAAGACGAAGGGATCAACGCAGCGAGCGGCATCCTCACCTTGGCAATCTCGCCGCCTGGCCGGGGCACGTCACGGACAGCGCGCACGACGTCGGCGCACCGGATGCCCGAGAGGGAGAGAATGAGCACACGCGGCGTGCCCATCGTCGGCTTCTTGGGAGCGTTGCGAAGCGCTGCGTGTCAGTGTCTGATCCGTATGCGGTAGCTTGTCCTAAGTCCACTTACCATCAGTCAGGCGCGCCTTGAGCGGGTCGCTGCCCTCTCCGTCGACCGCCATCAGAGGAGGAAGGAGGTGCTTCGCTGCTTGTAAGCTTCCAATCACCTCCGTCCAGCTTGACTGATGCCAGACTCACTAGGAATAGCCCTATCCTCAATCTCCATCGCCGTGCCCGCCGGGAAGGTCGAACGCAGGGAAGCCAGAAGGGTCTGCGCGAACTCCTCGGTCGAGAGCGTAGACGGGTCCGCCGGCTCGGTGTACTCGGCTGCTCGCTGACTGTTAGTGCTTGATTCTCCAACGGGCTCAACGCCAGGTAACTCGCCTCGGACCTAGGAGCCCAGCTGGTGACATTGACCCACCTTGGCCGCCTTCCTCGCCTTGTCCTTTTCTCTCCGCCTCTTCTTTGCATCCTTCTTCGCCTGCTCCTCCGACACGGGCTCTGCCGAGTCGGCCGAGTCCGCCGCCTTGCGCTTCCTGCTGACGGGCTCCGGGGCCTCCTCCTCGTCGGACAGATAAGCGCCCTCGTCCTCGCCGAGCTCGGCGCCCTCATCGTCGCTCGCCATCAGGGAGGGGTCGAGCTCGAGCCCGTCGTCCAGGTCGTCACCGCCGGTCTTGGGTTCCGCGCTCATCGTGCCGTTCGTGCCGTCGACGTGGTGGTTGTCAGGTGAGTAACGGTTTAGAATTAGCATGACGCACAACAAGGGGTAGCCTTGAGCCGCTCGCGTCCAGCGGCACAGCCAGCCTCCGCTACACTCCTCCACCGCCGGATGGGAAAATATTCCAGATCGGCTACTTGGGGTCTTGCCACGTGCGTGAGTGGGCCTCCGCACTCCCGCTTCTCCACAGATGACCATTCACACCCCCTCTGGTTGGTGGAGACGTGCTTCTCGACGTCGCCAAGTCCGTTCCAAGTCCGTTCGTTACCCCGGCACATCGATACCAGCATGGGCGGCAACTTCAGACCACCGCCATCAAGGCGAGGCTCGGCTGACGCCGGTCCCAGCCTTCCGAACACGTCCATCCTTCGCGTGCTCACGAACACGCAGAATGCCAGCGCGGCCGTCTTCGGTGTCTTCTTCACGGCGCATCTCGCGGCGCCGATCGCGGCTGCGTTCGGTGGTTTGGAGGCGGCTGACAATGTCATGGTGCGTCATTTTCTGCATGTCGCGTAATCAGCTGAACGGTCTGTGACGTCCGAGCTGACCTCAGATCCTCGGACGAGAGCTCTACCTACCGTTGGAGACTGCGCTCGTGTACGCCCCTCTCGCCATCCACGTTCTGTCAGGTGCTGCGCGAAGGCTGTTCATCACGTACAAGACGAAAGGGAAGGCCCGCGTTTCAAACCAGTCCAAGGCTGGCTGGATCCTAATCCCTCTCGTCCTGCCACATCTCTGGCTCCACCGTGTTCTCCCCGCCGAGGCCGCTGCTCCGATCAACGCCATGTCGCCGTCCGAGTTCGGATACGAGTTCGCAGGTTACGCGGCACGGAGCCGGCCCTGGATGACGGCTGGATACCTTGCCCTGACGACTTTCGGCGTGTACCACGCTCTCATCGGCGGCATGCAGGTCGTCTCGTGGATCAAGCGCTTGGCGGGTGTGAAGCCGAAGCTGAAGGCTGTTACGTTCAACGAACCCGAGGAGATCAAGGAGCGCCGCCTGAACCGGACGCTTAAGCCGATCTACACGCTTGTTGGAGGCGTAGTGGCGGTCGTGGCCCTCGGCCTGTTCCGTATGGCCAAGGACACGGACGCCCTCACAGCGAGCACTCTCCTTAGGTACAGGGCCATCTATGAGAGCGCACCGTGGTCTGCCGTTCTCCACTAGCCGCCTACACACGATGTATCATGACATGAACAATTATGACGCAGGCCATGGTTGAGCCGTTGCCGAGCCCGAGTGCTGCCGGTGGTCCAGCGGGAGTGCGTCGGGGACTGATCCAATGCCACAGAGGTGCAAGGCGCAACGGGCGTCGGCATGCAGGAACAAGCCCAAGATCACCCAGGGGTCGGTCCAAGGCTGGCCGTTGTTACGAAGCGAAAATAGCTGACTCTGTAACGCATGCGATGCAGAGCGAAAGTCACGGACCAGTCGCAGAGCTTAAGAGAGCAGAGAAAGCGATGGCAAAGTCGTATTGTCGGGTCATGCATGCTTGAAGAGGTCCCGGCACCCTCTCACTTGCAGCGCCGAGCTCGTTGCCGACGAAGAAAGGGTTCGGAGTGGTGGCGTCGGGCGTCGAGCTTTGGCCAGGTGGCGTTGTCGGGCGCTCAACTCTCGGCCGCCCAGCGGTTCTCCCCCTGCACCTCATACCTCGAGACGTCTCATCGAGACCCATCGGGAGACAAGGAGGTCGCGAGACCGCCGGGCGTGCAGAGACCTGGGGGCGTCAAGGAGGCAAGGAGGCGGACAGGAGGCAGACCAAGGCCAGCCGTCCGCGGCCGGTTCAAGCTCCAGCCAAGGCTACCTTTGCCCGTTTGCGTCGCTGCATTGCTGCATTGTACCATCACTCGCTTCCTCATCTTGCACAAAAGTCATCCGTCGACACCTGCTCACGCTCACTCACGCTCTCGCCTTTTCACCGTTGCCACCGAATCCTCATCTCGATCACGCACACTCGGCTGGCCCCTCATTAGCTCTTCTCGTAATATTCACCCGCCCGGGCATTTAATCTAATCTCGACCGAACCCTTCGTCGACCTCCCTTTCGACTAGCGACTGCGTCCTTTGTCCTCCTCTTCATCATCCACCACCACCCACCATGTCGACTATCTCGGCCCGCGGCAAGGTGACGATGAACGAGCTCAAGCTCCGGCGCTTGCTCGAGAACAACGCGCGGCTGCGGGAGGAGCTCGCCCGGCCGCGGGCTATGGTGTCGGTCGCTTCGCTCTCGTGAGTTCTTTGCTCGACCGCGAACTAACCCCAGGCTTATCACTTACTGCCGCGAGACTCGTGATCCCCTCGTACGTCGAAGCTTGCTCAACTTCATTCGAACCTCGAGCTAACGCCAGATCGCCTCGGTCTGGGGACCCCTCCAGAAGGGAGAAGACCCGTACGCCCCCGTCGAGGACGCGGGCTGCTGCACTGGTGAGTTTCCACTCCCTTCCGTAACTGACATAAAGTCATGTAAATACCACATCTATCGCTTCACTCTTGGTCTCCATCGCTTTCTCATCGTTATATCCCTATGCACATGTACTCATTTTCGCGCACTCACTCTCTACCTTGATGGTCCTTTGCCGCCCGATCGATCTCGTCGCTGGCAACAAGCCAGCGTCGCTTCGATCAGGCACATTAGCCTTAGCATTAGCGGGAGTATAAAGATTTGTAGTGCAGATTCTAATCACTACCTAGGGGTGATTCGCGATGACGGTGCCCCTGCCAGCCGGTGGAGGTTGGATCAATGTTCTCGCCTTCCTTGACAGATACAAAAGGCGATCCATTGTTCGCTGTCGACACCTCCCCAACACTTACCACGCCCCGCAATGCACTCCCTCGAGTACGAGGAGGAGTACGACGACGACCTCGACGACCTCTTTGGCGAGGAGGAGGACCCGCTCTTCGTCGACACACGGAAACCTGTCGCCACCCCGGGTGCTGGCCCCTCGAAACCTGCGTCAGCACCTGCGCCGGCGCTCAAGCCCGTCAAGGCGAAACCGATTACGAGTGGGAGTGACTCAAGACGGGAAGAGAAGTTCTCTGCTAGTCGACGGCTAGACGAGCTACGTGCACGCAAGGCGACGATACCGCCGCCGCCGGCTAGAGGTGTGCCGTCGCTGCGTAACCTGGCCATGTCTGGTGAGTTGAGCGCACCTTTATCGTCTGCCTTGAAGAGGCAAAGCTTTGACTAGGGTGACGAAAAGCTGATACCAGTCATCCTCAGCAACGCGCCTCGTATCTGGGATATCGGAGGGCTCGAGTACGGGCTCTGTGCCGAGCTGCTTGACCAGCTGCCGAGAGAGCAGTTGGCCGAGATCGAGGGAGCTTCGGAGGTGAGTCGCGGCGGATAGTGGCGAGCACAAGGGTTCATTCCATTGTATTGTCTCGTCTCGAAGGGAGCTTTTCAGCGCCGAGCAATAAGCTAACGCCCAGCACATCAAGCCCGACACAGACTGGCTATGGGAGATCTTTGTTATCGAGGAGTACCCATTATTCTACGAGACATGTCGTCTGAAAGGCGGCAGGCATCGGTCCTCAGGCTGGCGGCGGATGTACCACGTGAGTAGCTTTTTTTTTGTGTCATAAGCTGACAATTCAGAAAGCAGTCCAAGAATCCGAGGAGAGGAAGGAACAAGCGATGGAGCGTGTCGCCGCTCGGTACAAGGAACTCGACGCGCAGCGTGCCAGCAAGCGAGTAGTGGTCATGGAGGGCCTCGTCGCGCCGCAGAAGAAGCGCTCGGGCTGGTCGTCCTGGGGCGGCGGGGGGTCCCATTCCCTCAGTGGTGCTCGGCGCGGCGCGAGCGCTGCAGCGACCTATGCCCAGAGCGGGGGCAACAAGGCCCTCGCAAAGGCGCGCGCCGAGTCGAATCGCGCCCGATTAGCTTTGACCAAGGCTTCTGGACGCTTCAGCGGCCCGCCCGTAGTGCGCACGCCGCGCAACGAGGTCGCGGCCCAAGTCGAGGAAGCCATGTTCAGCAACCCGTACGCCGGGCGCGCCAAAGTGGCACAGGGGCCGCGTATCCCCCGCCCTCGAGTGCCTCTGCCGATGGAACGGAGGTCGGAACTCCCAGCGCACATCAAGCCCGAGAAAGTGGAAGCGCCGGGCGAACGGTTCACACTCGGATCGCGCGCGCCTAGAGCCCCGAGACCAGTCGAGGAGAGAGAGAAGGGCAAAGGCAAGCACAAGGAGGAGGTGGAGCCGAGCAAGCCGACGAGTTTCTTCGAACCCAAGTCGAGAGTCCTCAACGCCATTTCGGACTTTAAGCCGTTAGGTTCTGGTTCAGGTTCGGGATCGAAGCGACCAAGGGACGACCGCGTTAAGAGCGAGCGGAACGGGAAGAAAGTCAAGGTGGAAGAGGACGACGACATCTTTGGCTCGTCGCCGGCCAACTCGCCCCAACACTCGCCGCGTAACTCACCCGCACCCGGAGTTTCAACGCCCAGGACGGCTTCGCCTGTCTCGAGGACCGGGACCCAGTCGCCTGTTCCGAGAACGGCGACGGCGTCGCCGAGCGAGCTCACGAGTGGAGGGACGAACACGCCGCCACAGAGACCGCTGCCGATGCGTCCGAGGAAACCGCAGAATCTCGAGAGCGTGCTGTTCATGAAGAAGAAGAAGCCTGTCAAGCGGCCATGAGCTTCAGTCGTAGATCGTAGATATTTTGGACCATAGCATCAGTCGTTGATTGACACTCGCACATTGCATTTGCAGTAGCGCCGAGAGGGATTGGGTGTACATGTATCATAACTTTGCATTTCCATCGGCTGTGAATCGTCTATGTGTATGAGGGGTGTATTAGGATCGCGCGGTCGAGTCCATCACATCGTCTGTTCTTGGGTTGCTACAGTGTCTCTTCGCCTCCTCTTCCTTACAAGCCACTCTCCAACCTCTCCACTTCGCTCACCTCTCGCCCTCTCTCTCAGTCACTCCCCACCTCTCTCTCTATGTCTCGAGAAGGACACATCAGACAAAGACGAGAGGGAAGACAGCGACGGGATCCTCGGCGGCAGATTTGGCGGCAGCGGGCGAGGTAGCTAGTAAGTACTGTGGCCCCTGCGCTTGTTGCACTTCTTCTTCTCGCCACGCGTGCCCTGCACCGCGCACAGGAATGCGAGCATGGCCGTGCACTGGGACTTGTCAGTTTCCCACCAGAAAGGAACAACTTACGCATCCGCCGACGGAGAACCAGAACAGGGGGCCGATGTGACCCGACAGAGCGCCTTGGGAGACGTCCCAGATACGCGAGCGGAGGACCTGGGGTTAGCTCAGTGGGCAAGCGGGGAGCTGGGCGAGATGGAGTGGCCGGTGACGGTAGTGGAAGAGTGTGGCAGATGAGAAGAGGAAGAGGTGAACGAGGGGAAGACGAGATACACACCAGGACGATAGCCAAGTTAACCCCGAACGCAGTGACGGCCGCAAACTTGGCGAGCACGATGGGGATTAACGCGACCTGTCTGTCAGCTTCACTTTGTTGTCATGGCAGCTCATAGCCGACTGGAATGGCGACTGATGACTCACCACGGCGAGGACACGGAGATTCGAGGCCAAGGCAAACACCCAGATGGTGGCCGCCGTCGCAGCCAGACCGGCCGCGAGCGGGTTCAGAACCAGCGCGACTGTGAGCGCACGGTAGCGGTCGGGCTGGTCGATGATGAGGCCGGGGAGGTCGGGGAAGGGATAGCCAAGGCCGGGGTCGGTGCAGTTCTTCGCGATCCAGGGGCTGGGGTTAGCTGCGTTCGAGAGCTGATCTAGCTTGACCGTAGGAGGAGAAATGATGGTTGAAGATGATGGTCGGGGAGCGTGGCAGGAAGCGGGAAGGAAGGCTGCAGGAAGGGTCGTTGGCGAAGGACATGCAAGCAGATCAACTGCGCAGAGTACCCGGCGGACAATAACTCTGCTCCGCCCTCGCCCTAGGTTCGTCAAGTCCATGTCCCATCGCTCCCACTGCCCTTCCTCGCCCTCGATGCAACGCCGTACTCACTTAAACTGATAGCAAATCCCCAGAACGCCAACCTGGACAATTGTCTCGCCGCCCCTGGCAAGAACGTTGAGCTGCTCGACCTCCTGCCCATACTGCGCCGCCTCGGGCTGCAGCTTGACCGAGATCATGTCCCAGTCCTTGTGGACGGGCGCGCCGATGGTGGCCAGGATGAAGAGCGCAGTCGTGCCCACTGGCTGTCAGCTAAAGCCCCGTGCGTCAAAGCAGCAGCTGTGGGGTTCGTTCCTTGTTGTTGGCGGTGGTGTGGTGTCGATGAAAAGGAATGGCCGAGACACAAGGACGCAAGGAGGGGAAAAGTGAGGGACAGTGCTACGCCAGAGACTCACGCAAGAGGAGCAGCGCGAGGGCCGCGGGAGCGGGACGCATTGTCGCTGCTTGTTCGAGTTGCCGAGGTCGAGAGAGATGGCGAGAACGCTGCTCGAGATCGAGAATCGAGAACCGGGTTGATGCGAGGCTGTGAGGCCGTCTGGAGGTGTGAAGTGTGAGATAAGTGACAATCAGAAGCCGAACCCGCGAGGTGTGCTAGGTGACTGTGAACACGGTGTGAGTGTGAGACGAAGAAAATCCCAAGATACACAGATCGAGCTTTATGTACGTGCGAGGTACCCCTTCTCGGCACAGCCGTATGCTAGAAGAGCAGGGCGAGCAGCACGAGGAGCATGAGGAGTTGCACCCCTCGCATCCGCGCATCTTTGCAGCAGCGCCGCAGGTAGATCTGACTACGCCCCGTCGCGCCCGTCGCGCCCGTCGCGTCCCTACGCACGGCTCATGCGGCGCACGGAAAACACGCTGCGCCCTTGGTCACGTCCTTCCACAACAACCTGGAACGCGAAGCCACGGTGTCATCGCCTTGGACGACATGCCTTGGTCACCACTGTTGAACGCCGATGAGCCTGCAAGCAGCAGGCCTGGGAGGGCTGAAGTCTCGACTTAGCAGTCCGAGCAGACGACAGGTGGCTTGCTCTCGAGTATGAGTGTTATTGTCTGTGGTGAGTGACTAAGGCTGAGCTGACCTGCGGCGCAAAGTGAGGGCTGTGGAGGATCTGGTGTACTGCGGCGAAGAGCTCTTGGTATGTCCCTCTTGCGCGGGCCACGGCACACGGGGACGATGTGATGGGCGCGGGGGCGCTATGCATGTTGCTGCTTGAGTGGTGCTAGTGGTGTATGACTTGGGGCGCACATACGCGTCGCGTCATGGGCGCAGTGGACGATACTGCGGGCGGAGCAGCGCCGTCACGAGCGACAGCTCCCCTGATAGCAGACGCCGAACTTTGCTGATAAGCCTCGCAAGCGGTATCAGCCGGACTGTCGGACGTGACTCGCTGTCGACTGTGGATGCTGCGGAGTATGGTCGGTCCGCATGGCGATCACCTCCGCACAGTCTGTGCTCCTCATGGGCTGTCCATGTTCTTCTGAGTCGTTCTCCCCTGATACCTTCGGAAGATCTCACACCCACCACTTGTCCTTGATGGGGATGATAGGGTACAGCGACGGCGTGCTGGCGTCGCTCTGCCTCTCCTTCTCGGCATCTCTCTTTGCCGTCTCCCAGCTCGGCATCGTGAGGTCGATCTCGGACCTTCCCAACCCAGTCGTGCGACCCGTCGCAATCGGTGGCAAGCCCTGCCAGTGCATTTGCCCCGGCACGAAGCCGCGGTCAAGGTGCTCCGGCGAAGACTCGTGCCACAGCGGCGCAAAGGTTTGGAACACGGTCGGCATGGTGGGACCTTCCCTGCTCCGCTTCCTTGTGCCACCAGGGGACGACTCGCGAGTCGCCTGTGTTGAGGACGGCCCGCTGCCTGTCTCCGTGCCCTCCATTGTGGATTCGGCTTGCTCCTGCTCAGCCAGCTTGGCGAGATGCGCCTGCTGCTGCCGCATGTTGAAGAAGGTCGCCATATCCTGCACGCTGATGACGATGTCTTGCCAATCGGTCATGCGGCCACGGTTGTCGTCCCGGCACTGCGGGCCGACGACGACGTAGCCTGCCTGCTTGGCTGCCTCGAGGTGACGCCTTGTCCAAGCGTTGCTGAACATGTCGGCTGGCATGGATGGATAGATCAGAACCGGCTTGTTAGGCGCGATAGAACGGAGCAGGCGGAGGGGCAGGGTGTCGCATGCTCCGACCGAGAGGGAAGCCAGGAGAGAGGCAGAGCACGGAGCAAGGAGGAGCATGTCGGCCCATTGGACGAGACGGGAGGGAAGAGGGGTCTGCGAATCCGTCCACTGTTGTCAGCTCAAGCTCAAGTCCAGTAAGCTACCTCTTCAGAGTCATCATCATTGTCGGTCCTGATCCGCTTGACGCCTCTCGGTCCGCTGCTAGGACACTCTGCAAGTCGTGCGTCGACATCGGCTTGCGAGACATGCCTCAGCCCTTCCCGGTTGGCTACCAGCTGCACGTCCATTGTCGGGTCCTGGCGTCAGTACGGTGATCAGTGGCTCCGGCATTGGGGGAAGGTCAAGAAACGTTGGGGAAGGAAGACATTGGACGAAGCATAAACGGCTAGCACAAACACAACAACAGGGAAGACAACCGGGTCTTCCCTGCAGATAAACGGCTGCTAGGCACCCCGCAGCGTGATGCGCCGGGGTAACTAAGTGCCGCCACGGTTGCTCGCTACCCCGCAACAGACAGGATACAGAGCCGTGATGAGCTGGTTCCCCGCGGAGACAAGTCAGTCTAAAGGCTCGTCTCCCCACACTATCGGGTAGCCTGAGTCCTTGAGACATCACTAGGCTTCGGGCAACAACAAGATCAAAGTGGAGGGCAACGTAAACAAGGCCACACTCACTTTGGACAGAGCCGCGATGAGCTCCAGGATGGAGTTGCCGGCGGCAGCCCCGGCCACGACGAGCAGAATGCGGAAGAGACCATCTGGCACGCCTGGCCGGTCGAGGGCGTCGGCTGCGGCGTTCCGGCCTGGGCCGTTCGGGTTGACTTGGCCGGGGCCGCTCATGTCAGCGAGGGCAGAGTCGCGGGCGGTGCTCGTGCGGTCTTGGACGTCCATGCCATGTCCATGGCCGGGGTTGTGGGACAGGGAGTGAGTTTGAACAGGCAGGACAGGAAAGGAAGAGAAGGAATAGGGCCGAGCTTGAATGCTCAGAAAGTGTCGGATGACCGGCGTTCTTGGGCTTTATCGATGACGAAGTGGTACGGTGGGTCTGCGATCTGCCAGTTGATGGCGGCCGATTAGCGAATCGGCATTGCATTCCCACGATGACCAGAGTTCTGCCCCGCACTCACCGCACGCGCCGCGCGCCGCTACGGCAGGCTCGGCAGCGGAGGGCTCTACGTGTGCCAGGTACGATCAAAGGCAGAGGCTGGATTATTTTTTTCTTTGGCTTGTTACTCGGACATCTGACCGGATCCCTTGGGGCCGCCCTATGCGGCTTGACGGGTGACCCTGCCGCAGTGCCGGTCATACGCAGCGGGCTGCAGCCTGGAACCAGGGCCGGAAGGGCCGCAGACAATCGAACAGGCGCATCACACAAGCCATAGCGTGCCGGACGGACCGGGAGCCCTGGGCGTACGATCCTGCAAGTCCTCACTGTGCCGCATAGTAGAATTCACTTGTAATCACATGTTTGATCCCGCTAATCGTCTTCCTTACGTTGATTTGACTGTCAGATCGGATCTACACCCTCTCACGAACCGCGGGAGCATATTTTCCACCACTAGCGCTTAGACGCGGCCTACATTCGCCGCGCTCCGTCCAAACGTCCCTCCCTCCTTATTTCGAGCCGGGTCACCATCTCTGTCTCTTTCTCTCCAACCTCCCCTTTCCTCCTCCTCCTTTCTTCTTCTTTTCGCAGACCCTCCTCTCCAACGCGGAAGCCGCTCACTCCTTCGCAATGGTTTCTCTCCCCTCCCCCGGCCACGGGCCGCTCATCACCGCCATCAGGTCGACCTGGAACACCCTCGACCTCCCCAAGCCTCCCTCCGAGCTCGTCGAGTGGATCCGTGGCGCCACCCCTCTCTCGACCAACAAGGAGGTCGTCGTTGCTATCGCGACCTACTTCATCGTCATCTTCGGTGGCCGTGAGCTCATGCGGTAAGTACTGACGGTTGGAGTGATTGCCGGGATGATGGTGTAACGAGTAAACAATGGCACCGGCTTGAGTCTTTTGCTGTTTCACAGCAGGGACCCACGCAACGCGACCGCACGCGTCAAACAGTGTCAGCCATGACCGGGAAGACAGATAACACTGTTCCCAACGCTCATGGAGCGTTTGACGCGCCGCACGAAGCTTCCAGCGGAGACCGAGCTTGGAACAAAAAGTTTGGATTTCTCGTGGAATCTGTGTCGGCATTGCTCCACCTTATGGCCATTCACTCCACCGCCGGCAAACGCGTAAACAAATGCTGACGATCGTGCAGCAACCGCGAGCCCTTCAAGCTCAAGATTCCCTTCCAGATCCACAACCTCATCCTGACCACTGGATCCGGTCTTCTGCTCGCCCTCATCCTTGAGGAGATGTGAGTTCGGCTGACGTGGCGGCGCCAATTCATGGCGTTCCGACCACCGGTCGTTGGATCTTTTGGCTGACCGGTAATAGTGTCCCCCTCTACATCAAGCACGGCTTCTACTGGTGCATCTGCAACCACGGCTCCTTCACCAAGACTCTGATCTCGTACTACATGATCAACTACTACATCAAGTATGTTGAGCTCATCGACACCGTCTTCCTCGTCCTCAAGAAGAAGCCCCTTGGTGAGTAGTATTTGCTGGCGTTCCCGGGAGAGGTCCGGGCGCTCCGGGAAGCGATAGAATGAAGGCTGACCTTGCAGCGTTCCTCCACGTCTTCCACCACTCTGCCACTGCCGTCCTCTGCTACACCCAGCTCAACGGTGAGACCTCGGTCCAGTGGGTCGTCATCTCGCTCAACCTCCTCGTCCACGTCCTGATGTACTACTACTACTGGGCCACCGCCGGCGGCCGCAAGATCTGGTGGAAGAAGTACCTTACCACCATGCAGATCACGCAGTTCATCATCGACCTCTTCATCGTCTACTTTGCCACCACCAACCACTTCTTCACCAAGTGGGGCATCAACCTCCCCTGGGTCCGGGACTGCGCCGGTGCCGAGTCGGCCGCCACCTTTGGCTGCGCCATCCTCACCTCGTACCTCTTCCTCTTCATCTCGTTCTACCGCAAGACCTACAAGGGCGGCGCGAAGAAGGTCAACGGTGCCAAGAAGACCAACTAAGCGCGCAAGCGCAGCGAGCGGCGCACGAGGCGAATGAGGCGAACGCAGTGAGCCTCGCTAGTCAAGTGAGCCGCCGGCGAGTGGAGCGCTGCTGGTCTCCAGTTATGGCTTGGAGCCCGGTGCGCGTCCAGATGACGGAGTGTACGGCGCGGCGGCGGATGATCTAGGCAGTGTTGCCAACGAAAGTGCGGGGTCTGCACGTATTCTCGGACTTCGGTCCACCCTTCCTCCTATTCTTCTCTTCGAACCCTATCTCCCCTCCTCCATCCTCTATCTCTACCTCCCGCGAATAAGCAAATATACCTATAGATCATAGCGACCGGTTACGCAGCTTAGAGCGGCCGTGATGAATTCGCTACGTAATAAAGTCCAAAGTCCAGGCCGGCGATACATGGTACAGCTGCATGCTCTATTTGGAACCTCTACTGATCTGATCGCCCTACACCCCAGAGTCTGCGTCCGGAGCGTCCTGCTAGAACTTGGGACTCCCACTCAACGGGCTCCCAGTGAGCGCCTGGAGATCGTTGGTATCGCGCACCAGGAAATCCCACCAAGCCATACTAAGCGGGATAGTAGCAAGGTGCCAGAGCGAGTGCGCATCGATAGCTCTCAAGATGGGCGGGAAATCGAGGAGTTCGAGACTCATGGCCGCGGTCGTGAGAAGCGTCAGGATCGGGGGGGTGAACGCCCCCTTGGGTCTCTTGCTCTTATGCGGGTTCCAGTTGGGACCATAAGGCCACGGCCACCCCACCGTTCTACCCGCAATTCTGAGAGTGGGGAACTCGAGCACGAAGGAGAGACTCCACAGGATCCACAACACATTCCCGATCGTTCCCAGGACCATGGCGACGGCCACGTGGTACCCGTAGGGAAAACGGGGGAGGGAGGAGACATAGATGAAGTGAGACAGGACGAATCCGCCAATGAGCAGGGAGAGGAGGAGACGCAGGATGGGTCGGGAGGTGGAACTTGAGGGCGTTTGGATGTTGAAGATGCGCAGGAGGGCGTAGAGCAGCATGAAGGCTACTGTGATCATGGCAGAGAAGTAGTCGAGTTTCTCGGTCCAGGGGACGTCTGGGGGTCAGCTTGCTCTCTGGCTTATAACCGGAACAGCTTGGATGTGGAGCACTGTGAAGTTGGGTAGCGACACTTCGCACCTGTCCCAGCAGTCTCTCCTCCGGCCGAACGACTCACCCCTCGTGTGGAACACCGAGCTCCAGAGCCAAGTATTCATCTGAATCCAAGCCGCAGCCTTGAGCCACGGCTTCAGCGCATTGCTATCCGGCACTCTTTTCTCGAGCATTTTCAGTCCTTTCCAGTGCACCCAGAGATTCCCCAGCGAAAAGAGCACAGAGAAAGGCTCCTGCACGCCCAGGACCCGGCAGAAGGCCCACTTCCCGAAGAACTGGTGGTACCCCAGCTGCCCTCCGTCTGAGAGGTCGGTGACCGTGTGCGAACACTTGTACGCGCAGTTGGAGGCGCAGGACCAGCCCAACGCTCGCAGGAGGAGGGAGAGGGAGCACGGCTCCGACTCGCACGAGGTCACGCACGAGCGGAAGACCTCGAGTCTGTCTCCGCTAGAGGCCGAGACGAGGCCGAGCGCGGACAGGGCGAGGAGCGCGAGGGCCCATCGCGGTGTGGGCTGATCCGGCGTGAGACGTTTTGATCGGAGGACCATTTTCTTTGGGACTGGTGATGACCTGTAGGGCCAGTGGTCAGTCAGCGGTCAGCGCACGACCTGGTGAGTGGAGAGAGGATGATGAGGAGAAGTGAAACGTTTGTTGACTGCCCCCCGCATGGGCGTGCCTACGAAGTCTCGGCAGGGGTGCCCGTGTATGGCCGGTGATATCCGTCGGTGTCCATGACGCGTGCTCCCTTTGGCGGCTGCGACGTGAAACCAGTCGAACGCAGCGGGACCTGATTAGGCCATGTCGCTGGTACACCAGCTGATATCGTCCAAGCCACGTTCAGGTCCTTTGCCATCTGCTACGTACCCCAGCGCCATCACTCGCCCGCCAGTGGAATCGACCTCGACCCGCTGCGCCTGCGCTCGTGAGATTCGACTTGCGCTCGCTTCGCTCGCCTTCATGATGGACCGCCGATCGCCATCACAGCTCTCCCCGCCGCCGCGCCGGGCTCAGTTCGACGTCGAGGACGCAGACCTGGACGAGACGTCCGAGCACGCCACGCTCCTGCGCAATGTCAGGCAGGCGAGGTCATTGCGGCCAGGCGGAATTGTCGTTGGTGGCTACAAGGTATGTCCTGCAGGCCGCAAAGTAAAGCGTCATCCTACCTGATTCCTTCACTCGCCAGTCTCTGCTGAGAGCTTCCAACTTTGTTGGTAGACCAACTTATCCACACTCCTTGACGGACATTATGCGCCGGATACTTCCCCGGCGAGCTCGACCGCTTCCCCGTCGCTTGATCAATCCTAACACGCAGCTGCCGCGACCACACGTCCTCGTCCTCGCCGTCCCGTTTGTTGTGCTCATCCTCATCGTCCTCTTCCACCGGCACGAGGAGAAGGTCGCGCGCAGTCGACCGCTGCTGAGCAACGGGACACACTCGTTCTACCCGACAACGCTCGTCGTCTCGCTCGACGGCTTCAAGCCAGCCTACTTGACAGACAAGTCACATCTCGTTCCCAACATTCTCGCGCTCGGGAGGGAGAAGGGCATCAGGGCGGAGAGCATGCAGCCGTGCTTTCCCTCGCTTACCTTTCCGAATCACTGGAGTCTGATGACGGGGCTCTACCCCGAGTCGCATGGTATTGTCGCCAACGACTTCTGGGCCAAGGAGCTCGAGGAGGAGTTCCACTTCAACCGCCCCAGCTCCCTCGATGGGCGGTGGTGGGGCGGCGAGCCGCTGTGGGCCGTCGCCGAGAAGGCGGGGAGGAAGGCGGCTAACATCATGTGGTGAGCTAGCTGGTGCCGTCGATGAGCTGACACTGCAGGCCGGGTCCGCCGTCAGTGAGCACGGGCACATCTCCGAGCTTTTTCGTGCAGTACAAGGCGAGTTTCGCACGAGTGGTTTTCAAAACTGACGGAACAGAAAGTCAGCCCGGACGAGAAACTCAACACGCTCCGCCACTACTTTGACATGACGCCCGAGGACGCCCCATCGCTGATCTTCAATTACATGCCGGAGGTGGACCAGGCGGGACACCGTGGTGGTCCCGAGAGCTCCGACGTCGAGACAGCTCTTGGAGTAGTCGATGGCTTCATCGGGGACGTTGTGTCCGAGATTGAGGCGCGGAACCTGACCCACATAGTGGACCTGATCGTGCTGTCCGACCACGGCATGACTGGCCTCAGCAAGAAAAGGATCATCTTCCTGGACGACGTGCTCGAAAAGGACTTCTCTAGGATCAAGCACAAGGACGGCTGGCCGTCGTTCGGCCTCCATTTCGACGAGGAGGGAGACCTCGAGCCCGTCATGCAACGCCTGAAAGCGGCGAGTACGGGCGAGAAGCGGCTGAACTTCACCACGTACACGCCCGCCACTATGCCGGAACGATGGCACTTTAGTCACGGCCCGAGGATAGCACCAGTGTACCTCGTCCCGGACCTGGGGTGGATCATCACGGACCACGTGAGTCGCATAATGGTCGCGCCAGCTGCACGCCGATGTTTGAAGCTGACAGTGCAGGAGGAGTACGAACGCTACGAGCGCGGGAACAAGATGGTGAAGGGGTGCCATGGCTTCGGTAAGCTGCAAGGCGGTAGTGGCAGCTGACAAGCAGACAACAGGGAACCAGACATGCAGGCGATCTTCTTCTCGCGGGGGCCGTTCGCGACCCGTCTCCGCGAGTCGGTCGCGCAGACAAACGCGACAAAGGTGAAGGGGTGGAAGTCGATCGACCCGCCAATTCTTGAGCGTGAGTAGTAGTGGGTCTACTGGACTATCCCCATACCCCCACCGTGTCTACTTCCAGCCTGGGGTTTCCTGGTTGAGTCGTGAAGGGGAGCAGACGTGAGGTGGTCAATAGCTTCAAACCTCGCGAGCATAAGCTGACATGCAGCCTTCCGCAACCTGGAAATCTACGACCTCGTCTTGAGGCTACAGAACATGCGCGATTTTGCCGGTCCCACAAACTCCTCCAAGATATTCTGGGACGCATACCTCGAGCCGCCTGTTCCGGCCAAGGGCGCTGTGCCCAAGGAGGAGTGAGTGGTGAGGGGTGAGGGGTGAGGGGTGATCTTGCCTAGACGCAGACTATTTGTTGTATCTTCTAGACATTATGGACATTCATTACGACTATTCCCTACTCTGACCTGAGCGATCGTGTCAGACTAAGGGGAAGACAGGACAGAGGATAGAGCTGCCGCTGGGGCTGGGACTTGGGATAAGGTAGGTGGAAAGAAAGTGAGAGGGGGGAGGGAAGCAAGTGGCAGAACCCTTCTCTCCCTTCTCTCCCACGGCCTCATGAGGTCCGCTGCGTGCTGCGTCAGATGGCCGTCGCTGGCCGTCGTCAACGGGCCATGTTGATCAATATATCCGAGACGCTCGGCCATGTCCTCAGCCATCGCGATCTCGCACGAGCCCTCCATGAAGCGCACAGCACGACTAGGGCCGCATTCCATGTCGTTTCGTACCTTCGTGGCTTCGTGGCTTCGTGGCTTCACGGCTGCGAGTGCCTTGATCACGCCTCTCTCCCATTGTCCGTCGATCACATCCTCATGTCCGCTCATATCGGCGAGACCTAGGTCATGTCGGAGTGGAACGGAGCAGTTGAACCTTGCCTTCATTGTTCGTTATCTAGTTTCTCAGTCACGATGATCGGGACGTCGACTCTTCCGACGCCTCGCGCGATCACCTCCAGACTCACTTCATTACTTGATCTTTGCCACCCGACTGATCCCCGCCACTGACAGGTCACAGCTCGCTTCACTGGCTACTCGCTGCTCGCGCCTGCGGCGCTCACATAGCATCATAGTAATACATCGATTAACACAAAGTATAGACGGAGGTATATGAAAACACGTCGGCTGTGTACGAGACGATAGATACCTGGCCCCGACCTGATGAGATGCGGGGCTTACCAAAAGAATGTAATAGACAGTAGTAGTGATAGGGGGGGAGAGGAGGTCAAGAGAGTGATTAGTTGTCGCTGTACTCGACGTCCTTGAGAAGGCCGCCGCGGTCGTTGCGCTCGATCGCGCGCATCGAGCGGCCGTACCAGCCCTCGGTCTTGCCACGGATCGCGTTGTAGACGGGCGGGCCGGGCTCGTGCGAGCTGACGTCGTCGTCGTGGTGCAGCGCCGACTTGTCGAGGATCGCTGTCGGGGAGGACATGGCGTCGAACTCGGTCGTGCTGTTCGGGGAGACGCTGTCGGGGCCAGAGCTGGGGTGGAAGCGATTGCCGCTCGTCTCGACGTGCAGGCCGCGAGAGAGCTTGGACATGCGCGAGTTCTTCCACTTCTTGCTCTCGCCCGGGATCGTGTTGATGCTGTCGAACGGGTTCGAGACCTTCTTGTCGTCGGCCTCGTCCAGCTCGGCGGCAACATCGGAAGCGACGTAGGGGTACAAGCGAGCGAGGTCGCCCTGCGTGCTGCGACAGAACTCCTGCACGCCGTGAGCGCGGAGGAGCATCGTCTGCGACTTCGTGAACAGGCTGTAAGGCGTGTAGACAAAGGGAGCGGGGGGCTTGTCAGACTCGCTGCGGCCAGACTTGACGCCAGGAGCCTGTACGCCAGAGGCGCGAGACTGGACAGGAGTCATGCGGGCCTCGGGGGCGCCAAGGACGACCTCGAGCATGATCATTTGAGCCGGAACCTTGTCGTCCTGGTCAGACGTGGGCAGGTCGAGGATCTCAGGCGAGAGACGGGCAATGTTCTGCAGGTCGGGCCAGCAGCGGAGCGCCGTCGTCAGAGCCTCAATGGCAACAGCAATGGCCGCCTGGAACTCGTACAGCGCCTCATCAAGGGACATCGTGGAGCCGTTGTCGGACGCCTCGGCCTCCTGCACAGCGTCGTTGCACTTTTGCAGCACCTCGGCCATGCTGAGGTTGGCGCATTCTCGCACGAATGTGCGCATCGATGGCGACAGCGGATAGCCAACGTCGGGGAGACGGTAGGCGGGGATCTGGTGACGGGCAAAGTTGTAAACAAGAACATCGAGGCCAGAGTCACCGGCAGGGCGGACGCCAAAGAGACCGAGGTAGGCACCGCCAGTCTGGACGACGGGGCGGGTACCACGCTTGGCGTAGGTCTTACAGGCGGAAAGGAAGACATCCATCTCCTGCTTGGAGACACCCATGTTGTCGGCGAGCGTCTTCGAGAAGAAGCGGGTCTCAGTGAGACGGTATCCACGAGCGAGGTACGAGTCAATGTTGTCAGACGAGACACCGACGGTCTTGTCGCCCGAGGGAGTGTCGTGCGAGGCCGGGGCGCCGTTGCCGATCGTGCGGACGATGAAGAGCATGACACCCTCCGAGTTGTGCAGGTTCAGGGTGATACCGTGGATAGACGACTCATCGTCCGGCCTGATCGGGTTGCCCTTCTCATCGACGCCCTTGTCGCGGTTGTCCTTCTCACGGGTGCCAGTCGTAAGCACACGGTCGAACATGACGCCAAGCGACTCGATCGAGAGGTCCAGCTGGTGGGCGAGGAGGACGCACGCCTCGACGAAACGCGAACGGAAGAGGAGCTGCTCCCAGGCGGAGCGGTTCATCGAACGGTCGGACGTGGGCGGGGCCTCGGTCTTCTTGCCACGAGTCGTAATCTCGCGGAGGATGCGAGGAACGAAGGGCGTGATGACGGGCCAGTTGAAGGAGAGCTGGTACAGCCACTGGAAAGTGGGGCGGCGGGGGTCCAGCTCACCGAGGACGCGAGCGAGCTCGGCGTCGGTCTGGATGATCTGCATGGGGATCGTTCCGTCGTGACGCACAAGGAGCTTGCCGGTCTCATCGAAGGCGGCAGAAGCGACAACAATGTGACGGGCGCGGTTACGAATGTCACGACGAATGAGCCAGTCGATAATGGAGATGCCGACTGAAAGCAGAATGATGCACGCGCACATGACGGAAATGGCCACCGTCAGACGGATCGACTGGCGGTCGTCCGTGGCGATTGCATTGTAGTCGACGCCCTGCTTGATGTAGTAGCTCGCGCCGCCGACACCGAGGTAGTGCATACCACACACGGCGGCGGCAAGGAAGATGGCACAGAGACCACGCTTCCAGAACGAGTCCTGCCACTGCTCACGCAGACGGAAGAAGAGACCGAAGGCGACAGTGGCGGCGACACATGCGAGAATGAGGGCGAACACGACCGTGACGGCAGTGTAACGGACGTCGAGGTAAGGGAGCTTGAACGCCGCAGAGTAGTGCATGAGACCGACTGAGACAGGGTCAGCATTGTGTTCACTCGGAACCATGCGGTCGCTTGTGGTTGTTAATTGCAGGGAAGACACTCACTGGTGAGACCAACAATGATACCAGAGATGAGACCGCGCCACCAAATGAATTCCGCCTCTGAGGCGAGGAACCAGAAGGCAAACGAGGTCGCGACCAGAGGAATAAACAATGACATGACTGTCATGCCCGCAGAGAACTGCATGTACCATTGTACTCCGTTCTTCTCGGGCGTCGCCTGAAGTCGGATCGAGATCATGGAGACGAAGTGCATCCCCCATACCGCAACGGCTGAGAAACAGACGGCGGCAAGGAGCAGGAGGATCAGGTTTCGGAAGCCGCGGGGCGACGTGCGGCGGCCAAGCACGAGGAGGGTTGCATACGAGCCGAGGATGGACACAAGAATGGACGCGACAAGGACACCGGCTTCGGGGCGGATGGGGACGGCGCGTCGGTTGTCGGCGTACCATGCAGCGAGCTCGACCTTGTCTGCGGATGTCAGTGTCATATTCTGCGCTCGTGAATTCGCGGGCGGGCGCGACCCGGTGAGGAATGCAGGGCCCTTTGTTGCACCGAGCTTTTCTGTGCGTGCACCATGTGCTATCACACCCGCAGCCGCGGCTGGAATGCACGTTGGCACGTCTGCACACCAAGGTACCCGTCCAAAGTGTTGTGTGCAGGCCAGTGGACGCCGACTTGTAATCGTGCACAAGCAGGCGGCGTCGATGTCGGTGCACACACGCCAGATGGGCCACATGCACTGGGCCCGCCGACAGGATTTCGTAAGAGAAGGGAACGTGATGCTCACCACCCCAGAGGTTTTGAGGGGGCCACTTGGACCACATGATGGGCGATTAGGGAGTCGGCGGCGGCGAACGAGCGTCAAGCTACCGTCGGGTGTGCGGGAGGCGCTTCGATGCGTAAGTTTTCAGAAATGGGAAAGAGAGAGGAGAGAGGGAGAGAAAGATTCGGGTCGAGATGAGGGAGTAGATGAGGCGGAGGCGGCGGCGAGATGGAAGTCGGTCGTTGAATGCCCGAGAAGCGCAAGGACAGACAAGGTTTTGGCTTGTGCACTGCAGAGCTAGTGGGGAAGTAGGTGTGGGTGTTGCGGCTGGCTCTTGTTGTTGGCGATGGAGCAAACGTCAAAAGAGTCGAGGTCACTGAAGCACAGACGGTGGCCGCTACAAGTGACTACCGCCGTGGTTCGTGATCTGGGGTGCGGGGTCCGTGCTTCGTCGTTCTCAGAACAAGGAAGGGCCGGACAGAGAGAGATGGCGTTCTGACCAGAATTTGGGCAAACGCCGTACAGCCGTGTCGAATTGATCGTTCGCTGGAACTGGGATTGACGCCGAGATCCGAGTCTGCGCTGAATTGCGGTCGGGCCGTCGGGGGGAGTGGTGACGCGGAGTCGGTCGGAGTGCGAGGAGTCGAGAGGAGCTCTCAACTTACCAAGCAAGTATAAGAGGATATGAAGGGTAGGAGGAGATGTGGAGAGAGAGAGATGAGACGAAGAGGCAAGATGGGATGAGAGTTCTCGATCTTGGGTGAGCAGGGGGAGGGTGAAGCCTAAGCTGCAGAGTACTGCCGGGCGTAGTGCAGGTCAGCTGGAGAGCAGAGTGCCTGGCCTCGCTGCTGGCTGCTGGGCTAGGCAGCTGGTGGAAAAAGCGAGGCAGGGGCAAGGGCAAGGAGGGTGAGGGGGGCGCAGAGATAGGGCTGTGGCAGAACTAACCATTCCAAGCCCCTGGCCTCTGCGTGGTGTCTGTCCTCCCTCGATCGGGCATGAAACCCGAGGAACGCGAAGGGCGTCGACCGCGAGGGCCAGAGCGAGCAGCAGTAGGAGCTGCATACACCGCACCCCTGACTCCCTGACAGGGACCCTGGAAGCCCTCCCCGTGTGCCTTCCCTTGGCCCTAGAGTCCCTGCGCATTCCTGGCCTGCACCCTGGCATCGAATGTGTGTTCCGTTACTAACTGGATTCCATCGAACGCCCCGGTGCCATAACTCTCAAGGCCTTTGTACGGCTGCAGCCTGCCCATTCTCAACGCCGCCTTGCTCGGACCACACCTGATTAACAGCGGCTACACTCCCGCGCCAGCCGCGATGGCCCCGCGTCCAGACCACCCCTTCGCCCGCCTGATCGCTAGATTACAGCCTCCCCCGCTAATCTCTCAACCCGGTTAGATCCTCCTGTCGCGCGCACTCGGTCGCAGCTGGTGTGCGCTGGATCGCGAATCGTCCGTCTGCTAATCGCACAAAGCGCAGCCATGCAGATGGTCAGATGAGACAGATGCCCGCACCCAGATCCGGCCCAAAGTACTGGGAGCGTGGTAGAAGGAAGTGAAGCGACCAACATGCAAGACAACGGCACAACGAAGCATGCGAACAGTGGGACTCGAAAACGGTGGGACGTCAAGTGGTGGTCCGTGTCGCAGATTGAACATTCAGACGTACGTTATCGGCAACCGAGATGAAAGAGAGCGATCGGACAGATTGCGTCCGCGGGTCTGCCGCCAGCGCTCGACTGGCAGCGAACAACTTTCTTTACACGCATGAGACTCCTTGAGGGGGTTGGTGATGCTTCTTCGGGAGTACAGAAGCCATGATGCAGACACACGACGCCCCCGTAAAGGTTCCATGGGTAAGAGGGGCCGTTTGCGATCACTTGGCATCAGTTGGGAGCCATGGGAGGGGACAGAAGGGGGAATGTCTGGCGAATCTGCCTGTTGTGCGACTGGCGGATGGGCCAGCGCTGACTACCCTTCTGCTCATGCTGCTCAGCTGCTCGTGCGTACGCCCGAACCTGGCCATTACGGCGACGCAGATCGATTACGGATTGCTTAATTGTTGTTTATCTTGTTTGGAGGTGCTTGGAGTGTCCGTGGATCCAATGGATCTTGGAGCCACGGAACTTTGGAGTCAAGCGTCGCGGCCCGCCGATCCTTCTAGTGTGTGTCACTTGTTCGAGTTCGGGGCCGGTTCTCCGACACAGATGACACAGAGCGCAGCAACCGGCAAACGGTACGGCGGATGACGGTGAGACATGAGACACCTCTCGAGACAACTCGATTGCTCGGCTCCCAATCCTCCCTCCCTTGCTCTGTGGATTGGGGTGGCTGACGACTCCGTGTTTCGCTTCACGGCGGCGCCGGTGCGGCGAAGAAGTCGATGTGGCAATGGAGAGCCGAAGAGCGTGACAAGTGCTGCATTATGCATACAAGCTTGTGCTGTCGTGCGGAGGTGGGAGTGGCTAGGTGCGGAGCTCGGTGTCTCCGGGACTAAGTGCACAGCAGCTAGCGAAGCGTCGTGCTCTGCTCACGTTGGGCTGCGCCACCCGTGCAGCGTGCTCTGGTGGAAGCTATGGAAAGCATTTAGTACGTAGAGGTACGCGCTCTCGCTAGTCTTGCCGGGGTGCTCGGCATGGCCCGTACCTCATACCATGTCGTAAATGTATTCAAATGTCGTAGTTGCTCGTCGTAAGGCAAGCGTTACCTTGCAGCACCTGGCTTTCGTCAGCGTCGATAGACGGGGGACAGACTCCAAGACCCTGGGCAGGGCTTGCTGTTCTATCTGAAATTGCTGCAAAGTGCAAAGTTCGCTGCCCCGTCGACTTTAATGCAAGTGGTGCATGCTACAGCGTAGGAGGCCAGACGAGGGAGGCATGCAAGGTGGCCAACGTGCCTGCCAAAGAAGAGTGCGTACGTGCCGTCATCCTGCGACTACTCGTCCCTTGCGGCCCTGGGCGCTCGGCGAACCGAACCCCTGGGCCGGGCGAGCTCTTCGCCGGCCAAAACGAGTTCTCTCCACCAGGGAGCACAGAAGCGCGCGCTTACAGCACGTCTATGCCCCGAGTAATGCACCCCCTTACAGAGTCTGGCCTGGCCGCTGCCGGCCAACTGGGACACCGACTGGCTCGCCGGCCGGTTTTGGAACACCAAATCCTGAAAGCTGGAGGATGTATCCTTTCATTACCCCACTCCAAACCCTTCACCCCCGATCCTTATCCAAGAGCTCCTACGGCAAATCGTCTGATATACCTGTCGTGGGACCCAAGACGGGTGGGATCAGCGTGCCCCGTTCCTTGCCGTGGGTCCTGGCACTGTCATGTACGATTGTGGCCTCGGCGACGAGCGAGGGCTCGGCGCTGCGGCGCTGCGGCCTTGCGGCGTGGCAGTGGGCTCTGCGTACTCCACATCGCCCGGCGGTCATCAGCGAGCTGCGAGATGCGAGATGCGAGAGGGGAGGAAATCACACATCCGTTCAGACGTCAGACGCACGAGCGTCGTCGTACTCTTTCGCTTTATTCGCCGCGAGACACATCAGCGTCTGTGAGACACCTCACCTAAGTGGTTCCGCAAGGTCCGCGCGGCCGCGAGTACCGCAGGACCACAGGACCACAGGTTTTCGCGCAATTCAGCGGAAGAACCATCCGTCCTTCACCGGCACAGGTCCGCTTTCATAGTGAGATTACGCCGCCACGGAGGTTGGAACATGTGCTATTGCCCCCGGTCAGCACCCGGAGTGCAATTGACGCCTCACCACAACACTCCACCGTTCCAGCTTGCTTTTTGGGCATCGATACGGTGCGAAAATATCGACTGTGAGCTGTACAGGCCCCAGCAGGAGAGCGTGGAGTAACGTTTGGCACGCTGGGAGAGTGCAAGGCACAAAGGTACCGAGGCACACGAAGGCACGCTTACGACCACGAGCCCCTGGTGTTTCCTCCGCATGGCGAACTTTATTTTGCTTGCGAGAGCTTGCCGGCGGCGAGTGCGCTGTAGCGTGTACGCCGTCGTTGATGACAACCTCCTCCTTATGCTCAGGCTACACGACCCTCACCACGCTGGCCCCCCGTTCTTCGTCCCTCGAAGTGATATTGCCCGAAACGTGAGACGTACGCAGACGTCAGACGTGCAAAGCCCGGTCTTTCGCCCGAAACAGTCCGGTTGACTCGGCCAGTTGGTCGCTTCTGGTCAGTTGGAGCAAGGATCGTTAGGAGATTTTGACTCTAGCTCACCGATTGGGACTCATGTGTGCCGATCATTCTCGAGGACGAATGGGAAGTGGAGCGTCATAACTTCTGGCGCACGAAGGATGGGCATGAGGACCAGTGCCACGGAGACGCTGATGAAGGTATGGCCGTGGGCGCCTGTGGTCGACCGAGCTGACTTGTCACTGGTGACTCTCAGACGCCGATGACCTTCGCATGGAGCTGAGGGTCTGGTATGGACGCACGCACAAGTGCAAGAGTGCACGTACGCCCGCTTGCCCATGTGCTTCACCTCCCCGGCCTCAACCCGGTACAGCCTCCGGAACGCCACACCCAAATGGCCACTTGCGTTGGTGCGTCAGTGCACACACCACTTGGCAGCTGGGCTGCAAACGAATCTCCCCGCGCATGCATAGCGCCAGCGCCCAACTTGCGACGCAGCGATGCAAACAGCGGCAGCACTAAGCCTGCCCTCGCGGACGGGTCCAAGATAAGATTTGGGTGCAGCTCAGGCACGTGAATGCATCACGCTCGACAATGCCTCAATTGGGAGGGACGCCCGGGTGCGCGGGTGGACCTGCCGGACCGAGAGCAAAGCGTCCGTGTGAGTCAGCCAGCTGGCGAACCAGCGAGCGAACTAGTCTCCGCGAGCGTCACTGATCTGCACTGCACGCTGGACCGAGAGGAACGAGCGTTATGCACCCTTTGTCGGCCCCTCGGGGTTCATCAATTGGAACTATGGTGACAGACAGCCTGGCCAATCTGGACTGGCATTCAGCGCGGAAAGTCTATCCCCAAACCTCGCATTTGGTGGACCTGGCGCTGATCCTGGTCTAGTGCTGGTCCCGGCACGCGACGCTCTCACAGCTCTTGAGCATGTGTCAGCTAGAGCATATGGTTGGTATTTGAGTAGGGCAAGCCCGTCACGATATGACGGCTGCACAGCTGCGGGTGCACCAGCACCGGAGCGGATGGACCTGGGCACCGGGAGGGCCGGGCAGCGTTGGCCGCTCCGACACAGACGCGCTGTATCAGACCGTCCTGTGGTGAGCCTGTCGAGAGGAGGCGTGTCTGTATCAGATACGCGTCTTTACGTACGCTGCCCGCCACACTCCACGGCCCCTCACTTTATCGCCCACTTCGCGTTCTGTCGGCGCGGCAGATGCGTCGGGTGCGTCGGGTGCATTTGCACACCTTCGGGCACCCCTGGCCAGTCCAGCCCAGACCGGCCTGCTCTTGTGTGCCGTGAGGTAACATTGTGCTTCTGGAACACAAGCCGGCGTTGCATCGCGTCAGCACATCGTAATGGCAATGTCTCCCGCGGTCGACCCCGCACTTCCCCTAGCAGGGGCGCCTGAATTGTTCCGAACCCAAAGCCGGATGCGAGGAAGTGCAGTAGTATGCATATTCTGCTTCCTCTTCCCGTCTCACCGCATCAGAGAGATGCATAAGAAGCGGAGCTGTACAGTCTTGCGAGGAGTCGTCAGATGCGTGGCACATTCACTCGTATCCCTACTGTACACCTGACTAGATTAGGACGAATTGGCTGACGCTAATGGCACGGCTAATCTCCACATAGCAGAGCCTGTCCGGTGTACCGGTGTGCAGTGGGCTGATATAAGGGCTGACATCTTTGGCTGATGGGGCTGCAGGGCTGATCTGAAGCAGGTTGCGAGAAGATCTGTCGTCAGCGGCCGGACGCCACAGAAGGGCGGCGGTGGCAGGATCGCCTGGCTGACGGGAGGTGCTGGCGCCAAGTGCACCGACTGGCTATTACAAAGCCACAAAACGCACGTCAAGTGACAATCATGACCGACATGACGGACTTCCAGGCTGAGACACCGGTGCTCAGGAAGGGCGACTTGCAGACTGACGCCGAGTATTGACGCCCAGGAGCGACATCTAGGAGCTGGATCAGCGGCCAGGGCCGGCGTTCAGGACACCGATGATGATGAATGGCCCACATCTCGGCGACGGCCACCCGCAGTCTCGTCCCACATGCAGCAACGGCGGCGGCGTCGTTTCGACCCCCGCTCCGTCGTGCCGCGGCACTACCAAGAAGAGCGCCGACCTCTCGGGTCCGCGGTCCATCACTGCGGCGCACGTCCCAGCGACGGCGTCTACTCGCTCACCGCTCACCGGTTCGTCGTTGGTACGTCTCCGACCTGAGCCAGATTAGGGCCTTCGTCCGACCCTCACCAACCCTACGCCGCAGCCAGCTCACCCTATCGCGCAGACCGCACCCACTCCGCGCTCATGACAGTACCAGGGCTGAAGCTGGAGCTCGCACCCATGCCGCCAAACTCAAGCGATGACTGGTGTCAGACCTTCGCGCCAGGCAAACGCAGGCGCGCGCTTACTCGATGCAGAGACTGCGATACCCTAGGTGAAGTTCCGGCAATTCCGGGAGCAGCGCTAGCCAGAGCGTTGAATTGCGCCGGGCCGGCGCGATGAAGTGCGCGCCGCCGAGTGGGTCTGCGAAACGCGCAGTCACAAGACCGACCTGGTTAGACTGATGACCTCAATGCAAAGTCGTGCGAGTGGGTCCACGCTGACATTACTCATACCGCAGACCGACGAGTACAGTGGTTCGGCCAGCGGGGACGACCGTCCACATACAGCTACCAACTGATGGCGCCGGCGAGACCGGCACCGACAGGAGATGAAACCTCAAAAAGCTTCCAGTGGGCCCACAAAATATCTGCGGACACTTCTCAGACAGGTGTCAGGTAGGAAGAAGGTAGTGAGACTCGGCGAACCCCGGCGTCGTACGCTGTTCCATAGCTGTTCCAGGCGTTCGAGACGCTGTCCTGCGCATCCAGTATTGTCACTTCTGCAGTCACCTGGACTATCAGTTGCCCGTCAGGCCGGCAATTCCGGCTCGTCACAATTCACTCGGTGTCACCAACTTGCCCAGTGAGCGCGCTGCCGAGAGGACAGCCCGTCCCGGTAATCTGGGTCTGTCGGATGTGTCTTGTGAGCTCGTCCATTGTGGCGGCCGCGCTCCGAAATGAGTGTCGGGTCATGTCATAGTGATCCGTTGGCCACTGGACTTCGATCGCCCCGTCCCGGTGCATACCCGTCAGATTACATCGCGACTTGTGGAATGAATCGAACGCGGCATGCCGGAATACGAGACGTTCGCGGGCACTTTCGAGCGGGTGTCGCTGCCTTTGTCCGCCGAGCGCTGGAGCGAAGCGAGCGAGGAAACAATGGTGAGGCGTTCCCGCTTATCTCGCAATTCCGCACTTACCAAACGTTTGGCCAGACAACTCCAGCAGTCAGCTGAGCAGCTAATCTCAGCGCCACCGTGACGGCTGCGTAAGCCACATTCGAGACAGCGGATGTTCTCAGAAGGCAGCATTGTCACTCGTCGTCTGCGCGACAACCGCACACAAACATCTCTTCTCCGACACATCCTAAGACAAAAGGACATTCGAAATGCTCCGGCCTCCGATGCATGTCGTACGCCAGATCTCCTGCCCGTACACCGGCATCCGGCATTGTAATTCAATAGTTTCCATTGTCTAGTTCCAGCTTCGTCTGTGCCGGCTCGTTACGTCCTACAGGTCGCCCCACTGTTGGTTGCCCATTGATGTCTTCCGAGCAGGCCGGCCGGTTCCCATCTTGGCGGGAAGCTGCGATCGAGGCCGGAGCCCAGGGCTGGACATGAGCTGCCAGAAACCGCAGAAACCGCGGGCAGGAGACGAACCCGATGGCGCTGGTGGCTGCAGGATCCTGCGCCGCGGAGGGTGTTGCATATCCGCCGTCCTCCTGCCCGACGAGCGCGGATGTACAAGAGGCCCTTCTTGTCCGCCTCTTGCCTTGAAGGAAAATCTCTCGTCACACGGAGGTCGTCGCCTTCTCCATCCTCCCAAGCAGAGATCTCCCACGCTCGATCCCAAGTGGCAACAGCACCTCCACTCCCACGTGACAGATCTGACAGATATGACGAACAGCGCAGAAAGTTCAGGCCGTAGCGAGAGCGAGCATGAGCAGCTGACCGGACTGAAGCTCTACTCAGCAACTAATCATGCTGTCGCGAACGATACGAGCGGCACAGCGGCGGCTCGGCGGCTCCTCCCGGAGATCGCTCACAGTCAAGGCCAACACGCTCGTGTATCCGACTCCGGAGGCAGTCGAGTCCTGGCTTGCGACAGTGAAGAAGGACTCTGTGCTGCTGTACTCGCTCAGCGCGAATCTGGGCGGATGGCAGGGCTATCTCCCCATGGTGCAGGGATATGAGAGTGAGTGCACTCCTCCTGTGCCTCTAGCAGCTGTATAGACGCCTCGCTTTAGCTGACCCACAGGCGTCGGCAGCTTCCACCACTCGACGCTTCCCTCGCTCTCTCTCGCCGCCTTCGAGCGAGATGTGCTCTCAGAGGCATCGGCATTCTACACTCCTCTGACTGGAAGAGGGCACGCCGAGGTCGGACGCTGGCACCGCGTCGGCACGGACTGGGGCGCGGACAAGAGCGGTTCAGAGGTCGGCTCGCTCGAGGCTCTCATCGCCCAGAAGGGGTGGAACGGCGTCTGGGACGGCTCGGGGGTTGCGCAGGGCTCCTCCCCCTCTACCGCCCCCTCGAAGCCTGGAGAGGTCAGCGGCGGAAGTCGCGACGAGCTCAATGTTGACGCAGAGACATCGGCTGTGCTCTGTCTCACGGACGCGAACCCGGGGCCTGTCCTTGCGCGTCTGAGCCAGCGGCTGATCCGGACGGTCGGACTCGTGTCCGCCCCCACGCCCTTTGTCACGGGATCGGCGCACACGCTCTGGTGTAACAAGGAGCGGTACGAGAAGGGCACGGTTGGCGTGCAGCTCCGCTCCAGGCCGCAGGTCGCGGTGCGGTACGGCACGCAAGCGCTTGGTGCGCCGATGATGGTTGACTCGTGAGTTTCTTTCTCACCCCTTCGCCGGTACAGCTTCAAGCCGAGTTCGCAGCTGACGCACAGTGCCCGGGGCAACCTCCTGCTCTCGTTCAAGGGTGCCTCCTCGAACCCGACGCAGACTCTGATCAACCTCCTGCAAGAGCGTGACCACGGCAAGCCCCGTACAGGACTGGAGAAGGACGAGGACTTCTGGCTCGAAATCAGCGACCCGCATTCCGACGCTATCCGCGTCGTTCGTATCCTCTCTGGCGACCCGAGTCGCGGCGCTTTGTCCCTCGACACGGACATTCCGCTGAACGAGGGCCAGATGGTGCAGTTCCAGCAGCGCTCGGACAAGGCGGCAGAGCCCCAGGCGCCGCTTGCTGGTGCTACTATTCGCTTTGGGGCGCTGGAGAAGAAGGACACGTACGAGGCGCCGCCGCCTGAAATGGGCGAGGGACAGACGAAGGGATTCCTTGCTTGCAGCGAGGAGGGCTTCGTCCTCGGTCGTGACGTTTGCACCGTCCCTGGGGCGGCCGTGACGTGCGGATGGTGAATGAGTCAGAGGCTATGGAATGAGACGTAAAGGAGGATGGACTGTGTACGAGTACGTGTAGGGACGCAGACTCTAGAAGATATGCATACAACAGTAGATCAACACGCCTAGTCACCGAGCTTCTCGCGGATCCGCTCTACCACATCGAGGTACGCCTCCGTCGCTGGCGAGTCGGGGAAGGCGTCGAGGTAGCTCTCGCCTTTGTCGCAGAGTTGGCCGATACGAGGGTCGAGCGGGATACGACCGAGCAGCTCGAGCCCAAGTTCCTTGCACATAGCCTCGGCGCCGCCTGATGTCAGCTCATTCTAAAAGCGCAACGCAGCTGCCTACTTACCCGTTGTCGGGCGGAAGATCTGGCTCTCGCCCTTGCAGTTCGGGCAAACGAATCCCGACATGTTCTCCACGACGCCAATGATGGGGATGCCGACCTTGTTGCAGAAATCGATCTCCTTGCGCACGTCCTGGAGTGCAACCTCCTGCGGCGTCGTCACCAGCACGGCGCCGTCGATCCCTCCCTGCTTGAAGTACTCGACAATGCTGAGGTGCTCGTCCGACGTACCCGGTGGCGTGTCGACGACGAGGTAGTCGAGGTCACCCCACGAGACGTCCTTCAAGAACTGCTTGATGAGACCGTTCTTCTTTGGTCCACGCCAGATAACCGCATCGGAAGCGGAAGGGAGAAGGAAGCCGATCGACATGACGGCCAGGTTCTCGGCGGCGTACGCCGGCTCCCAACCAGAAGCGCTTGTTCGGATCTGCGCGCCCTCAAGTCCGGTCAGGAGAGGGATAGAGGGACCGCAAATGTCGACGTCCATGATTCCCGTCTCGAGCTCGGTGTCCGCCGCCAGCGCCCAGCCTAGCGCGGCGGTAAACGTCGACTTGCCAACGCCACCCTTGCCGGACAACACCAGGATCTTCTTGCCAACATGCGAGAGGCGCTCAGCGATGAGGGGAATGTCGGGGTCTGGCGGCGGCGGGCCAGCAGCGCAAACGGCCTGATTCGGACATCCCTCACAAGCGTCAACCTTGCCTGCCTGTTCAGACGAGGGGCCCTGTCGTGTTAGCTAGCGGAGACGTAGGCCAGCTTACCGGACAGTGCTCGGGGGCGTCCTCCGGAGCATCGGCGGGCTTCTCTGTCGGCTTCTCAGCCTTTGGGGGCTCCTGTACTGATAGCGAGGACATGCCGTTTTGCACGCCGCTCATTGTTGAAAGTGGAAAAAGTTGGAACGACGAAGTTGCGGAGGAAGGCGAGATTGATCAGCAACCCCGCATATGCTGGTGGCGGCCAGGCACGCAATCTCGACCCGCCGCTCAACCTGCGGGACGGGACCAATATTTGTAATCTATGGGCCTTCGAGCAATGCAGAAGCATTTTATCTGATAGCGATGCGCTCCGAGCAGAGTAAAGCAGAGAGGTATAGTACAATGCATATGTGTACTGTGCAGCACAAGACTATGCTAGCCATACTCATGCTTGCGATGCTAAAATGCTAATTTGATTGCGCCTCCGACTTCTTCCTCGCCGACCTCCAGCTTCGATACGCCCCGTCTACTCTCTGGAAGTCAGGTCCTTTCTCCAAAATCTAACTTACATGAGCGCTTCTTCCAGCCGCCCGCGAGGTACACCTTTGCCTGCATCTTGATGCCAATCCAGACCTGGCGCCACCACTCCTCCACCCACGCGATCATGCGGGCACGATTTCCAACCTGCCAGTCGCGGTAGAACTGCGCGAGCACCGCTTCCCTCTTAGCAAGGTCTTCCGGCGTTGGGGGGTCAGAGGGGTTCAGTGCGGCCAAACGTGCGTCACGCTGCGCCTCGAAAGCAAGATTAGTCGTTGCCTGGGGTCAGCTTAATGTAGGAACACTCCGCAGCAGGTTAAAGATAAGGAAGGCTCATCGTCCGCGCCCCTAGTGCTGCGTCGACGGACAACAAAGCCAGAAGACTTACCCAAAATCGGTGGTTCTCCATGTCGACCCGCTCCTTGTGCATCTTGGTCGACATCTGCAGCTCGTACAGCTTCTGCTCGGACGGCTTGAGCATCGGGAATTCGGACGCCGAGTACGGCGAGTTGCTCGGCTTGTATAGCGGCGTCGCATAAATGATCGGTCGAATGTTTGACAGCGGGTCAGGTCTGATGTCAGCTAAGAAAGCTACCGATGTCAAAGCTGAGGCAGTCGTCTCGACGACTCCGGCATCTTCCTTCATCTTGACCAGAGTGGCAGTCATACCAGGAGGAGTTGCTGCCAAAGGACACTCACGGAGCAACGAGATCCACCTCTCCCGGCTGGTACCTCTTGCGGGCCTTCGGCGCGCTCGCAGCGCCCTCGGCCGCGCTCTGGAGTAATCGCCTTGTTGGTCTCAGCATGGTCTGTTGATGGAGGCGGATCGTCAAATCGAAATCTCGGTTGAGCTCAGCACCGAGCGGACCCGGATGATTACAGCGTGGGAGACTTAAGCCTCCACCGATTCGAGACTGTTACGTAACGCAGTAGGGTATTATCACGTGCCCGTAGACTGCGGCCCGAATTTTGCAAGAGCCTGACCCAGCAATCCATATACGTCAGATGGCTGATCTGCAGTGTGGCCGGGGCGTGCGATCCGCTACGATCAATGCAAAACTTTACCAGTCGCCAAGATATGCATGTGCTGCATTGCCGGTGCGACTCCGGCCGCTTCCATAAGCCCACCGTATCAACTAATCAGGCGAATCCTTGTTATTGTTCAGTGACTAACCAATGCTAAGCATCTGTTTGGACCACTCATGTTAATCAGGCTATTCAGCGGGGTGCGGAGTAATAGCGGGGCCATGCAAAAGTCACTGGCCAGGGCGGTGGAGGCCGGCGGGACTGGGCAGGGTCACCTGCCACTGCCTGTACCTGCCGGATTGAAGTGAACAGCCTCCTCCATGAATTTGAATCGCGACTCTTGCCCCTTCTCTTCAACAACACACAACTCACCAGCAGTAGGAGCAATGTCCTCCCCGACAAATCGATGGGCGGCTCGTAATGCCGCCCTCACCATTCAACCTCCCCAGGGCCGCCGCCCAAGTGGTATCTCTACGAGTCCGACGTTTGTGGGCCGGACTGGGCCTCCGCCTTCGAATCGCCCGCAGAACCCGACAATGGCGAGGCCTCAACACGGCCGGACTCCCTCGACTAGCGCAATGCCTCAGCTGCCGAAAACACCTACCGCGCGGAATACTCGTCGGCCGTCGGCTACGGCGGCGCCGCATGCAGGAGCTGCGGTTGGGTATGGCTCCACGAGCCCTACGACTACGACGCAGCCTGCCGGTAGCGATGGTGTCACGTCTGCTGGCGTAGGTGCCGTCGGAGGCACAAGTTCGGCGGTGCAAAACGGTGTCGGCAGTGAGAGCACACCCCTCATCCCGCGTGCTCCCAGGCTGCACACCCTCGACGGTCTTAACAAGCCCGCGACGACTTGGACCGAGTTCGGCGTCCTCTGCCGATCTTCCGTGCCGCTGTCGGCTGGACTCGCGCTCGAGAACGCCCTCAGCACGATCAACATTCTTGTTGTGACGACGCTTGGTGAGTCCCCTGGTCGGGCTGTGCCGCTTGGCGCATGACCTTTGGGCCGTGCGTGTGTGTGCATGTGTCCAACCTGTGGTCGAAATGTTTGGTTGCACGACCCTGTTGTGATGATCGCAAAAGCTAACCCACAGGCGCCGAAGCGCTTGCCGTCACTGGCAACTCGTCCCTCCTGATCATGGTCACCGGCTTCCCGCTCCCGCTCGCCCTCGCGGCGGCCTTCACGACGCTCGCGGCACCGCTGTACCCCCAGCCGGAACACAGGAGCCACATCGGTCACATCCTCCTGCGCACGCTCATGCTGTCGATGGTTCTCGCGCTGTCTGTCGGTATTTTCTGGTGGAACATCGGTCCCATCCTCCGTGCTCTCGGCCAGCCACACGACCTCGTCGAGGGCATGGTCGTGTACATGCGCTGGGCGATCCTTGTCCTCCCCGCGCTCGGTCTGGTCGAGACGATGAAGTCGTTCATGCAGGTTCAGAGTGAGTTGGAAGATAAGGACCAGCGAGTTGCTCAAGTGCTGTGACTCGCTCTCCCAGTAGGGTTGCCTCAGCCGGTCTTGCTAACCTATCGCAGACATGATGGCCGCGCCGCCCCTGATTCTTCTCTGCCTCCTGCCCGTGCACACCGCCATCGCAATCTACCTCGTGCACCACACGTCCATGGGCGCCGCCGGAGCCGCGGTAGCGACCGCAACGACGCTCTGGCTCGACGGCATCCTCATCGTCCTCTTCGCGTCGCGCACCCGCGCCCGCGAGTGCTGGGACGGCTTCACCTCTGCCGCGCTCCGGGATTGGGGACCTGTGCTCTGGCTCGCGGTGCCGGGTGCGCTGATGTTTGGTTCCGAGCTGTGGGCTTTCGAGGTGATTGCGCTCCTGGCCGGTCGCCTGGGACATGTTGCCGTCGCGGCGCAAGCCGTCATCTCGACTCTCGACAATCTCGTCGCCATGATCCCCTACGCGATCAGTATCGGCATCGCGAACCGAGTGGGCAACCTGCTCGGCTTTGGTCTGCGCGCAATCAAGCGTGCGAAGCGCTCTGTCCGCGCCGGTTTCCTCCTCGAGGTGCTTGTTTCGGGCACGACGGGCCTGCTGGTGCTCATCTTCCGACACCAGATTGCCAACTTCTTCACCTCGGACAAGAAGGTCGCGGACGAGGCGGCGCGCGCGGCGGTCTTTGTCGCGAGCTACCAGATCTTTGACGGGCTGCAGAACGTCGGTGCCGCGTGCCTGCGTGCGTTTGGGCGGCAGAATGTCGGATCCATCATCCACTTCATCGGGTACTATGTCGTCGGACTGCCCATTGGCGCGTGGCTCGGTATCACCAAGGGATGGGGACTTGCTGGTCTCTGGGCAGGCGCCGCTATTGCTCTCGCGTGCACTTCTAGCGCCGAGCTTGGCGTCGCGTTCAGCATCAACTGGGAGGAGGAGGTGCTCAAGGTCCAGATGAGGGAGATTGAGAGCGATGAGGAGGAGGAGGAGAGCGAGGATGACGCCTAAGCCGGGCGGAAGCGAGCCGAGCTGAAGGCGGTACCCCAGCGTGCTCAGCGAAACCAGCATCTCAAATCATCTCATATCATAGAAAGTGTCATTTCCATGTATCTGCCATTCACTACGTTCCCCTCGTGGCTCACTGACACACTCTTCTGACTCTGAAAACCATGCAAGACGCTGACGATAGCAGATGTGCGGGGACACCGTGGGAGACATTGAAACTAGCAAAGCCTTCCTCCAACCTCGAGGTCCATCCGAGCCTCGATCCTGGCAGATTCTGACGCTTCGTGTGCAGTGTGTTGCAAAGCTTGCGTCCTCGCGTCGCACTTGTGTGGGTGTGTGCTGGGTGACTACCCGCGACATTGGCCGCCGTGGGAGACCATGAATCTAGCGAAGGCGTCCTCTGACCCCGTATTCCTGCTGAGCATGCTGAGGGCCAGACCAAGTACAATCAGCTTCTGTGTGTATCGCCTTCCGTACATTGGGTAGCCTGTGTCCGGTGACTACCGCGACATAACCTTCTATGGGAGAGCTTGGATGCAGTGAAATCGTCTACCATTCTCGATCCGGCGAAGATGCGCGGACGAGCTTACTCGAGTACTTGTACTGATCTCACATCAAGATCCAAGATCCATGGAGACTCTTGCCGCAGTGGCCAAGGAGGTGAGTCGAGTTCAGTGACCTGGGCTATCCGATCATCTTCGGAGAATGCTCCCTATGGAGTCTCAGCGCGTTCAGAAGACCCACGCGAACCAGCCTCTTCCGTCCGTAACGCAATCCGGAGGTTGCATGTGGGACTTCCAACCCCACGTTCCTCCGTGGCTCCTCCGTGCAGGCGGTGGAGGATGCAGAACTATGCTGAAGCGTGACGGTGAGACGAGCGTCACGGAGTGGTCATATCTGATCATCTGACCTGATATCGCCTAAGCTTGACACAGGAGGGTCGCTAATCTTATCCCCAGGAACCAATCACTCCAGGTACCCACTCGTCTTATCCCCATGAACTGGGGGCCGAGTGGCATGACCTCACCACGGCACCACTCGCGTGCAACCCCACGAGATCGCAACTGAAGCACATCGTGCCCAGGATATCCAGAGCTACGCATCTGTTGATATCTCCCCGGGGCAACTTCAGGTTGGCCAGAAGCGGGACGTCAGTGGCAAAGGGCACGCATGTACGTCGCGCTTATCAGCTCGGTCTCAAGCGCGAGGCGACTCGATCGATTGGCTGACGTCGCCATCCCAATGGTCTTGACGTCAGTGAACACCGACCCCAGAAACAAGCGACGCCGAGACCGAGACCGAACTCCTCGCGGCCGTCGAGCCCACCAAGTAATCGAGTTACGTCTGCCCGTTCATACTGCCCGACCGGACCGTGGTACCGATTCTCAGGCCCTCAACACGTTCGTTGTATCTCTCGAGAACGATGAGGATGACCAGCAGCGACGATCTGTTCGCCTCAATCGTGCTCGTTAGCGCTTTCGGACTGTAGGTGCCGAAACTAACTGCCGCGGCTATCGTCGTTCTGACATCATATGAAGGCGTTAGCGTCCCCGGGCGTCAATTCTTCCGCTGTGCATTTGGCGTGCATGGCGTGTCCCGCCTCCGTTGCTTCGTCTCTGTTTGGGTCGTGTGGCCCTCAAACGAGACAGTGTGCAGGAAACGAGGACGTGGTTGCACCTTGCTGCGCGCTCCGCTCCGCTCGGTGTGACAACAAGTTGTGACATAGATATATCCCTTTCCCCAAGAAGGGGTGACAAAAGATAAGGGGGTAGTAGTAGTTTAAAGATGCAAGAATTAATGCTAAGAGAGGACTTTATGCTGGCGTGGCGAGGCGTGGGCGCTTGGGCGTGATGATGACAACTGTACGAGTACGAGAGCGAGGCGGGAGACAACAAGAGAGATACCATTAAACGCTTCAGACGGCGATGCGGGGCGTGTTGGCTAGATGGTCAGCGAATGTCCGATGCGGAAGCGAGTAGTGATGTGCCCGTGTTTACTGACACAGCCGTGCACGCAGAGCCGTGCAGAGCCGGTGTCAGCATCAGCCGGGCCGGGGCCGCAACGCGTGCACTGAAGACTGGCACCCGGGTTCGGCGATGGTGGGCGACGATCACCATGTGTGATGACGACAGGCTCTCACGTCACTCCTCGGTGAGGCGTGTGGCCCCTCGTGCCCCCCCCCGTCGTTCCTGCAACTCCAGGCCATAAGGCGGCGGTAACTCACCCGGCAGCGTATGTCCCTTCGCGATGCTCTCCTTCTCGGCGCGGACGTAGAGCTTCATAGTGAACTCGTAAATGGCCTGCGAGTACTGCGCCAGCTTTGAGAGCTCGGCCTGGTCCGCGTCGGCGGGCACGGCGTCGAGCGCCGTCCCGCTCGGCGGGTCCTGGACGACAGTCTCCTCGCCCTCGATGCCGGCGCGGATCTCCTCGACGAGGTGGTGCTGGTGCTCGCGCTCGTCGTCCTCGGCTGACCGCGTCTCAACGGCATCGGCTTCCTGCGCCGGCAGGACGTCTAGCCGCTTCGCCTCGGGGTCCACGGCGTCGGTCGGGTCGGGCATGTCCTTAGGCGACTGGCTCGGGGACGCGACCTCGACCTCTGGCGGCGTGCTCTCAGACTGCAGTGTTTGGACGCTGTTCGTCGACGTTGTCGCGCACTCGCTCAGGGCGGGAGGCGAGTCGTAGGTCTCCTCGAGCTGCGACTTGGCCAGCGCCGCAGCGAGCGACTCGACAGGCTCAGTCATGGCCTGCTTCGGTGGTGGGGACGCAGCGGCGGAGCGCGGCGTCGGCGTCGAGCTCACGCTCAGGTCCTTCGGCGACACGTAGGGCATGTGGTTGGTGGATGTTATGGCGACGGTGGCGCGGACGGCGGCGGTGCGGCGTGACGGTAAGGGGCGAGATAAGCGAGGGGTAATTGGCTGATTAGTCAAGCGACCTTGGGCTGGCTGACTGATGGTCGTGTGTCGATGTTGAAAGTCGGTTCGACGATGCAATCAATGCAAATACTGGTGGTTTGCAGATGAAGAGATGGAGTGTAAACAAGAAAGGTAGACGTGAGTAAGAGTATTGGGTAGAGAGATGTGTGAAGGAAAGAGATATGAGGCAACAGGAAAATCAGTGACGCCCTCCCTCCCCGGCTGGCTGGCTGCAGTGGTTAGTGATCGACATGTCAGACTGATCACTTGGCAGGGAAGTGCTACGAGGCCCTCGGGCCAATGGCAGGCGCCGGATGATGATGTCAACGGCGCACCCTTCATCTCCCCTCGACCACTCGAGTAGGACCGCCCGACGCCCGTACGCCTGCGGTCAGCCCGACCCTCCGACGCCCGAGTATCGTCATCGAACTGCTCTGCCCCTCTTGTCTTTCGCCCGCACTCACCCCCGCACCCATTTCAACCGACTTCGGCCAAACATTCGCCAAGTTTCTCATGCACCAAATAACCACACACACACTACTTCATGCGATCATGCATCGTCATTGTCAGGAAAGAAAGGCCGGGGCCTCGACTCTGCCCCCTCTGTCTCTCATCTGTCTCTCAGAGGCATGACCGAACATGCATCCCAGGCCGCCGCCTCGTCCGTCACAGGCACTGTCTCATGGGCGGCATGGGCGGCATGCATAGCCGTGGACGTTGTTGTCAACAAACAGTCAAGAGGGATCAGGCATGTGGGTGGTGCTTTACATAACGGCGAAAATCTGCATCCCGCCGCTCTCGTCATGCCGGGAGCTTAGGTCGTCGGGAGGCAAATCTGGAGTTCTGGAGTCTAGAGCTGGTCCACAGCAGTCAATGCAGATCTGCTCGTGTCCCGTTTGCTTGAGCATACAGCAGATCGCAGATCTCGTCAGCACTGCTTACACTAGGCCAGGTGACCGTGCTTGCAATCAGATACGCAAACACGAGCATCCGGTGACTATGCAGGTGACAGCTGACTTAGCAGATTGGCTGACAGGTGATTTGAGAACTGACGTCTCTCTTGTACCGGTGACAGGTGACCCACTACGGCCTCGGGGCCTCGGAAGCTCGCGTCCCTGGTCCCTTGTCAACCGGGTTAGTCTGGCTACGCATCCGGCTCAGCGCGCGCGGCGCACAGAGGGACTACTGCCAGTGTACTGGGGGCCGTTCAGACTGACATGGCTACTTCCGAGTATTATCCTTCCGAAATGAGAGGAGCTTCCGGAACTGGTTCCGGTGTGCTTGACATGCACGTATCGCGACGAGACGCGAGGACGCGATTCGTATTGCTTTTTGGTATACCCAAGCGAGCCCGAAAGACTGTGACGTGATGCAAGCACAAGCGAGCCGGCCGGGAGGGTTTGTATCACGATTTGCATAGTGTCCATTTGGGGTATATTCACCGCTGTCTGTGCTCGGCACGTCCGGCACGTTTGTACAGAGCAATTGGAAGCTACGCTACCAGTATTGAGTCAGGTCCGGGTGAATGCCGTCGCGCGCGCGCAGAAGCGCAATGACCGACGCCGTCTCGGAAAACTATCGTTAGCCTTACTCTGCACTGAATGGTGGCCCCCACTCCGCCCCGCCTGTGGTCTACGCCAGCTCGCTAGCCGTCGGTACCTCATGACGACGATTAGACCTTTCGTGCCAATGATAAGTGCTCGACGCCGGGGTCCCCACCCAGCTCGCATGCTCGAGCTGAGCCTATCCGCGGCGTCGTCACCGGCGCTCATCACTGACGAGCAGGCGGAGTCAAGTCCACCTGGCTCGTATCGACTCTGCTCCGCATTCTCCCCCACTCTCACAGCTAACTCGAGCTAACTCGCAACGCGACTTACCCCGTTGCCCACGAAGACGCCCGCGCGCCTCGCAATCTCCATGTCGACGCCTGCTCGCTCGATGCCATCGATGCCAAAGTCGCCTGCGCCGGCGTACACCTCGTTCCAGGCGTCGCTGAGAAGCCATCGCCGGACGTCTTCGACCCAGCTGGACTCGCCCGCGGGATTCGGGACGAGGTAGATCGTCCTCAGCAGGGGATGGTTCTTCCGCATCCGCCGGGCACGGTGCACGATCGCTGTGTAGTCTGGCCGACACTTGGCGACGTACACGCCCAGACGGGTCGCTTCAACTGTCTCTGGCGGAGGGGGCATGTTCTCGTTGCCGGGGTGCGAGGGAAGGCGGTTGAAACCGAGGAATGGTCTGCAAGTCAGCTTGTCGCGAGTTTGTAGAGAAGCTTGGGAGGAGTCCGGCTCGGTCTCCAGCGACACTTACTCGTTCGCTAGTCCCGCTTGCGTACATCGCTCAAGCCACCGCTCGCCATGCTCGAGGTGCAGGACGAGGATGTGCTTGAACGTGTCCATCTTCTGCACTCCCTTTGCCGTCGCATGCAGGTCCAGGTTGTACTTCGGGTACGCCTTTGCGAGCGTCGGCATCATGTCGTTCACGAGCGACAGCACGCTGCGCGCGAATGTAAAGTACCGCAGCGTCGGGTGCTCGATCAGCACTGGGGCCAGCGAAAGCGAGTGCAACGTCTTGAGGTATCTGAGGGGTCAGCTTCATCGCAAGCGGGTAGCATCTGTACGCGGCGGCAAACGCAACACTTACTTATGATCAAAGATCTCGCCCTGCACACGCAGACATCGCGCCGTCACATTCATGAGCTCGGCATGCGTGTACGACGTCGCGACTCCCCCTCCAGTGGCAATCACATTTCCGTCCTTCGTCGTCATCGAGACACGGTACACGGCCTCCTCTTCCTTGGAGCACACCTTGCGATACTGCGCCAGCCTGAATGTCAGCTTCAAGGAAGTCACATGTAGCTGTGCGCGTACGAAACAGCCCTTGGTCGACCGGACAGCGCCTCGAAGCCAGACACGACCGATCCGATGTACGCCGATATGGGCACCTCCGTCACCCGCGGCGTTGGGAACCACTGGGACGTGTCTTCCTCCACCTCCACGGGCAGGCTCTGGTATACCAGTGAGCGGTTCGACTCGAAGGCCAGGTGGTAGTTCAATCTGTTTGTCAGCTCAGCTGCAATTGAAGCGCCAGGGCATACATGAACTGCTGCAGCATGCGATCTTGGCCTGTTTGTCAGCACTGTGTAAGGTGGTGGAAGCAGCTCTACCTTCTGACGGTGAAGGAAGGTCGAATCTGCGGAGAGTTAGAATATATGCAGTTGAACAACTCACAGGACATAACGTCCCTCCGGATCTGCACCCTCCGATGCCTTTTGCTCCTCAGCCCACTCCTCGGCGTACGGTGTTCGCTGGCGCAGGGGGGCTCGGAGTGAGAGAATGCCGAGGATCGAGCCGAGGAGGACGAGTGGGACTAGCACTCGCAGCACTGGTCGTGACGGGTAGAGCATTGTCGTCAGAGTCGCTGTTTCCGTCTTCCTCGCTCCTGCTAAAAGATCGTCTCGGAGAGAGCAACTGCGAGCTTGCGAATGTTGTCTGTCGTTAAGGCGGATGCGGTGGTATGCGGAGGAAGACACAACGCTGAAGCGTGTCCCGTCGCCAGTGCGTGCTCGCACACGAGGATGCGTGTCGATCTCAGTGGAGGGCCGTGACCGATCGTCGCCGCCGCCTTCTGTGACAGCCGAGTGACCGTGTTAGATGTTGTTATGGAATGTGATGGTGAGCGCGTCAGCTGTGTCAGTGTGCTTGCGTGAAAACTCTGGCTCGGAGCTTGGCCATGCGACTCCGCGTCTCGGTGACCTAGAGGGAAGGGTACAGCATGCGACCGCCATGGCGCTGGGGGAAGAAAGGGACGTCGCTCGGCAGCATTTACTGCGGCGTAGGCGGTGGTGAGGAGGCGTGCTTGGAAGCGCTGGCAGCGCGTGCCAGCACGTGCCGGTGAGGGCCGCTCTGTCGGAACCAAGTCATCTAGCAATGAGAAGGTGAGAAGGAATCAAGCGAGTCTGCGAGAGTTGAAATGCAAGAGCCAAAATCAAAGTGAAGGCATTCGCCTGTGGCGCAGGCGGCGCAGAAGGGCGCTCGTGGCTGAGTTGTCGCCTGACGTCGTCTCCTGTCTGCGGTGGGTGGAGGGCGACCTTCCTCCCTGACAAGGAACTCAGCATGCAATGTCCTTCGAGCAAGCGCGCGTCGCGAACACAGCTTCAAGGATCGCTGAGACAGGCGAAAGCTTCGCTCGGCGGTGCCCGGAGCGGAGACGCAGGCCCGTATCCGGACTCGTCTCGAAGTCCGGATGCGGAGGAGCATGGCTCCGACACTCGTCTGGAGATCTGCTGAAATGCATTCCAACTCTCGAGGCGCACGATGCAAGGCGACAAACGCATCGTCAGCGTTCTCTGGCGCTAAGCGAACTCTGTCATGTGTTGTTCCAACGTGCGAGCATCCAAAGCCAAAGTTGCACCGCCTCGGCATCTTAGTGCCAAACATCGGCACACTCGGCGTGCTGCGACAGTGGAGACCACCCACTCTCCCATTCTTCTGGGTCGTTTCGAACTCGCAAACACCACCGTAGCGCGCCAAGATCACAGACACATACGCGTCGCCTGCTCGGTCCGGGTCCCGGATGAGCTACGGGGCAGCGGGCCGCAGGGGATCACCTTATCAGCTCCAACTTCTGTGGGAATATCTCGGTTTCCAATTCCTCGCTGGACCTGGGTCTGCCGCCTGTGAGGCATGTTAGGCACAGCAACATGGGCTAGCTTGGGTTCATGTGGCGGAATGGAATTGACGCTAGCAGGCAGGCTGGCACTTGCTGCTCCATGATTCATCACGGCTCTACGCGCGGAGCAATGTCGCAATGTCGGAGACGGAGGCGCCTGCTCACCCACTCCGAGCACCGCAATGCCTCCCGTGTGCGAATCTTGAGTGCCCGACTCGTATGCGTTGCAATCGCGCTAGAAGGGTATAACTCATGCGCGAGATGATGCAGAAGTCGGTCAAGTCACAAGGCGAAGCTGTAGAGAACTCCCACCCCACACCTCCGACGAACAGTTCCTATCAAGTGCCAAGATTACGCGGAGCAACCTCTATCCGCCATGTCACCCCGCTTTGTTCCCGTACAGCTTGCGCTGTCGTGGACCACTGTGATCCTCTCGCTGCTCGTCATCGGTTTCGGTGTCGGCACAATCGTGTGGGAAGTCGACCGGCAAGAGCGCTGGCATGCCAAGTCCTTCGCCGAGGGCATCATCTTTGCGACTTGGGGCGGCTTCCTCCTTGTCTGGTACATTCCCTGGTGAGTCACCCGGCCCTTCGCCCAAGCTAACGCCAACAGCCTCATTGTATCCCGACACGCCTGGACAACGAGGTGGTTCAACTGCATGATCACCGATGCCGTGTGGCTTGGGCTCAGCGTCTGCTTCGGCATCGCCGACATCGCCGTCTGGGGCGGGCACAAGCAGAAGATGAACGGCTTCCTCGTCGTGACAGGCATCCTCGGCTGCGTCCTGTTCGCAGTGCAGCTGACCCAGCTCCTGTTCGAGGTCATTGCCGTGCTCGTGCACCATGGAGGATCAAAGGAGGTCTGGAAACTCTCCTTCCACGACCTCTTCGCATACCCCGATGACCACCGCGAGACCGTGCGCGACCCCGAGTGGCTCGAGCGATGCGGTCGCAACCCCCGCCTCGGCCGCTACACGCAGAACGACGTGCCCCTTTCCCCGACGAGCTCCTTCGACTTCGATGCGAAGGACCACAAGGACGTCAAGGACCGCAAGGATCTCAAGACGCCGGCGTCGCTGCTGAAACATGACTATTACGACTACGCTCACCCCTATGAGAAGAAGGGAAAGTTGACGAAGGAGAAGTCGAGTGGAAGCAGCAGCGGAAGCCACGGCAGTATTAGGGGAGACAAGAAGGCGATCGAGGCCGAACGTGAGCTGTACGCTCAGTACGCCGAGAACAAAGTGCCGTCCTACACTTCCCACTAGACATACTCCACGCACACTTCAGATCCCACCCTGTTCACATCCCCACAAACCAACGTAAAACCGCAATCCAGTTCGGAGCGAACCGCAATCACACTCCATGTAACAATAGCACAGCGCGAGAAGACCGATAGCAGAACAATGCAGCATGTGAAACCCCACGCACACATGGTGCACATTTGAAACGTACTCCAGCGATCTGAGGATCCAGCGATCTCGGCGACTGGAGTCGCGGCCCCGCCCTAAGTGGATGTGTGGCGGCGTTCCTGAACGAGTGATCTGCGCCGGGTCCGGACGCACTGACATCGCACTGACTCTGCACTGACCATTCCGCACCCCCCCTTCGCTGCGAGCACAGACCATGTCTCACTTTGATAACGCGATTGTCTCTGGGTGACACTCCATGAGGTCATGGAGACTTCCAACACGCGGCACAGAAGGCCTCACCACGATCACCACAGCGCAGGTCGGGTTATCCGACGAACGGCGAGCCGTAAAGTGAGCGGCCATTGCGCAGAGTGGACCAACTCGACAGTCAGCAGACTGGACGCTTCGAGACAACGTGACGCGGGGCGCTGGTGCACGGTACGTTTGCACGACGTACTCGTGTGGAGTCCGCGGTGCGACTGGCCGTCGTTGCTCTCTCCCTCCAACGTCGCTGGTGTCTGTCGGGCAATCACAAGCCGTTCGCACTCTCGCAACCTGTCACACAACGACGCAGGCAGCAGCCCCCCATGCGCCTTGTGCACCATGCGCATCTGCTGCGCCTGTCGCATCGACATCCACGTCGGCACCCTTTGGTCTGATGCCTTCGTTTATAAGAACTTGCCGCCTTCCTCGTCCTATCCCCACCCACACTCTCACCACCTTCCTTCTTACTCACCACCAACCCTCAACTCTCACACCACTGTCACCTGTCATTTGTCCCAGCAACTAGACATACTCAAGATGGGCCTTTTCTCCAAGAAGTCGTCCGACAGCGTCAAGGAGGCGGCCGACGCGGTGCGCAAGCTCAGCATGAGCGACGCTAAGCCCAAGGCCGACAAGCCCGCTGAAGCCAAGGTCGAGCCTGTCGCTGAGGCTCCCAAGGTTGAGTCCGCCGCCGAAACTATCGAGGAGGAGAAGGGTGAACAGTTGACCAACTTCCGGAGTTCTAACTAACAACCAGCCGTCCCCGTCGCTGAGAAGGGTAAGTCGTGGCAGTCCCAGCTGCTCAATTGTGCATCGAGAGCTAACAACCAGTCGAGCCCATCACCGCTGAGAAGAGTAAGTCTTAACTGCTATGAGCATTTTAGATCGTTGCGTGGAGCTGACCAGCAGTCGCAACCAAGCCCGCTGAGGAGAGTGAGTGTTGCCACTAGAGGTTGGACAGCTAAGTCTTTCCACCACCCAAGCTAACAAGCAGTCGCGCCTCCCGCCCAGCAGCAGCGTGAGTCGTCAGAAGGAAGCTCCGCAAAACCCGCACGTAAAGCTGACAAACAGCCGAGCCCGTCAAGGAACAGGGTGAGTTTTGCTCCCAGATATTCGGGTGGACTAAAATCTGACTGTCAGTTGAGTCCCGCTCTGCCGAAAAGAAGAGTGAGTGGTTTGTGGCAGCTAGGTTGTTCCGAAAAGGCAGCTGACGATCAGTTGAGCCTGTTACAGAGCAGGGTGAGTAACTCGCTACAGCTCCGCATTTGGCACACATGAGCTGACGATAAGTCGAGTCCAAGTCTGAGCAGAGTGAGTCTTCCAGCCCAGCTCCACAGCGGTGGCAAGGAGCTGACGACCAGCGGAGCACGTCTCCGAGAAGAGTGAGTTTCTGGAGCCAGCTCCACATTTCGTGCAGGGAGCTGACAGCCAGCCGATCCTGTTTCTGAGAAGGGTGAGCTTCGAGGGCTGAGAACCCCTTGCGGGCAGGCAGCTGACAGCCAGTCGAGCCTGTTTCTGAGAAGGGTGAGCCTTCGCCAGCTTAACAGTTGTTACAGAGAGCTGATTCCCAGCCGAGCCCGCGCCCACGCCTGCCAACGAGGGTGAGACACTTCGACAAGATTACGAGCGGTTCTCCTTCTGACGGCAGCCACTCCCACCTCCGAGGATGCTGATGAGAAGCGTGAGTCGCCACCTGACAGAGATACACCTCATGGTGCCAAGCTAACTTGTAGCCGTCTCTGCGACTGAGAAGCGTGAGTACAACTCAGCTTGGTGACTCGTATCAGTACATAGCTAACTCGCAGTCAACGCCGACGCGAAGGAGGGTGAGTTTCTCATCTCAGCTTTCGTGCTTCTCTACCGTACTGACCCCAGCCGTCCCCGACGCTGCTGACGTCGCCGACACGGACATCGAGACCCCCAAGGCCACCACCGAGGAGGACGCTCCCAGCCTCCACGCCGCTCTGGCGGGCACTGGTGCCACTGCGGCCTCGATCGTCCTCCCCTCCCTCAACGTCCGCGACGACGCCTCGTCCACTCACGCGACGACCGGCTCCGAGCCTCCCGAGATGCCCACTCCCATCTCCGCCGTGGAGCCCGTCGGCGCGCCTCTCACTCCCGCGCCTTCGCAGCCTACCACGCCCGCCAAGGTCACCTCTCCCTCCGCCCCTGCGGAGGTCAAGTCTGCGGAGCCTCAGCCTGCCGCTGCGCCCGCCAGTCCCACCGCCACCGCCGTCGCTGCCAGTGTGGCGGCCGCCGCGGCCAAGGACGCGGAGGGCGTGCAGGTCGGCCCTGTCGAGGACATGAACACGGAGCTCCAGACCGAGCCCTCTAAGCCCGCGTCTGCGCCCGCCTCTGCGGTCGAGCCCGAGATCAAGGTCGAGACCAAGGTTGAGACTACCTCTGAGGTCCAGGGCAAGGAGGAGCAGTGGCAGGACGTCGACAAGCTCGTCCCCTCCGACCCTGCTGCTCAGCTCACTCCTCCCGCTGAGCCTGCCGCCGAGCCCGAGCCCACCGCCGCTACTACCACCGTCTCCGCCAAGGCGGATGCGGCAGACGCCGCGGAGGACAAGACCAAGCTCGAGGAGTACGAGCAGGGTCTCAAGAAGCACGAGTCGGAGCTGCGCGAGCACGAGCTGGTCGTTGAGGCGCACCGTCCCGAGTCGACTTAGATCGTAGGTTCGTTACGGTGGCGATGTGCGTTAACCATCCTCAGGTTCGGCTCTAAGAGACCACGGACTGGTAGGTAAAAGCGAACCACTGATCTGACCTCCGCCCAGATTGTTTCGTCCCGATTTCACCACGACCCCTTCACCCCCTGTTCTTAACTTCCTCTCTGCGCTCGCGTTGCTCGCCACGCTCGCCATCGAGCCTGTTCGCTCGCTCTGCTCGCTCGGTAATGTGTATATCTTTCATCTATGCATGACTATCCTATCTTTAAACCATGAGGAGGGAGGAGAGGGTGGCCTCGGTGCCGACGACGTCGAGGGCCTGCTGGACCTCGAGCCGGCGGCGGGCCTCCCGGAGCCAGTCCTCGGCGAGTTTCCTCGGCCATCCGCGGAGGTTGTTGATCTCGCGGGTGGCGGCGTCGAGGTCCTTGTTGGCGAGGGCCCACTCGGCGCGGGCGATGTGGGCGTCAACAGAGTCGCCCTCGACGAGACCGGCCTGCGGGCGGAACATGACCTTGGAGAGGAGGTTGGAGGCGACGTGGGCGCCGACGCCGGCGTTCTCGGGCGCCGGGACGAGGGCGGCCTCGTGGATTCGCGGGGCGACAGAGTTGGCAAACCACGACGCGAGGTAGGGGAACGACTTGACGCCGGTCTGGGCGATGCCCGAGGCCCCGAGCGAGGCGAGCGTCGCGTTGACAATCTTGTTGTCCGCGACCGCGTGCGCGTCACCCGTCAGCGCGTGCAGGACGCGGAGCTCGTCGTCGAACGCAATGTCGCCGCGCTCAGCCTTGGACTGCACGGCACGCAGGGCGGACCAGATCTTGTGCAGGCGCACGTTGTCGTCGAGGACGGCAGAGTTGTCGAGCGTGATGCGCTCCAGCTGCTTGAGCGAGGTCGTGAGCGCCTCGAGCTTGGCGAGACGGCCGCCACGCTCAGTCTCGACCTGCGCCTTGATCGAGCGCAGCCATCGGCGCTGCAGCTCGATACCCTGCGAAACGACCTCGTCCTTCAGGCGCTGCTCGATCACCTTGCGCTGCTCCTCGAGCTCGCCGTCGAGGACAGTGCGCCAGCTGTCGACCATCTTCCGGCGCTCGTCCTCCCAGTTCTTCTTGAGGTTGTCCTCGTCGCTCTTCCACTTCTGCTCGACCTCCTGGAGCTTGTTCTCAAACTTGGACGCCTGCTCGGCGATCGTCTTCTCGAGACGCTCCTGCTCCGTCTTCTTGACCTCGGAGATACGCGAGTTCAGGGCAGTGAGGTCACCCTGAGCCTTCTTGAGGATACGCGAAGAGTCGGCAGACGGGACGCCCTTGCCAGACGAAAGCGAGTTGGTCAGGGAGTCGATGGTAGCAGCGAGCTGGGCAATAACAGGCTCCTCACCGGCAATAGCCTTGACCTTGGGAACAAGAAGAGGAAGCTTCTCGCCAGCCTTAGGAGTCTTGGGCTTGGGGGGAGGGGGAACGTAGAATCCGGGAGGGGGCTCGTAGCCGACAGGGAGCTTCTCACCCCAGAGCTCCTCGTTGGAGTGGTCGGGCTTCTGGCGCTTGACACCCTCCGTGGTGACGGAACGGGGACGAGCAGTGTCGGGGTAGTACGCGGGGCTGGTAAGAACGGCGCCGGTGTCGTGCTTCTCCTTGACGGTGTCGGCGGCCTCCTCAGCCTTGTCCACGATCGCGTTCTTGAGGTCCTTGGCGTCCTGCTTGATCGACTTGCCAGCGAGCTTCGCGTTCTCGGCAGCGTCCTTAGCGGCAGCCTGAACCTGCTGGGCGATCGAGTCAGCGGAGCGCTTCGAGGACTCGGCGGCGGCCTCGGCGCGGCGCTTGGACTCCTCAGCAGCAGACTCGGCGCGGTCCTTGGCGTTCTCGGCCTTGCCCTTGACCTCCTCGGCCTTCTCCTTCATCGAAGCAGAGAGCTCGTTAGCCTTCTCCTGAGCCTGGCGGGCGAGCTCCTGAGCCTTGTCGCGAGCCTCGGTGGCGGCGTTGCTGAGAACACGCTGCAGGCCGGTGATCTTGTCCTGGAGAGCGTCCTTGGCGACGTGAGCCTCACGAGAAATCTCGTCGCCAGCCGACTTCGCCTTGGCCTCGGCGTTCCTGGTGGCAGCCTCGATCTTGCGCTGCAGGTCCTCGTCCTTGTTACCGCCGGTCCACTTGGCAATCTGCTTCGTGATTGTGCCGGGGCCGAACTCCTCCCAGTTGTTGGCGTCGGCGTAGTCAGCCATCGCCTCACCTCCGGGAACCTTGACGAAGAAGTCACGGTAGGGCTCGGACTTGGTCGAAACATAGGCGGAGACGGGGTAGAAGATGAGACCGCCGATGACGACGTAGCGGACGAGCTTGCCGAGAGCGCCTCCCTTCTTGGGGTTGGGAGGGATCGTGGCCGAAGCAGCCTGCGCGGTAGCGGGAGCCGAGACGTTCAGAGCCTGTATGTGAGCTTTGTGCATGCGATCGACGGGAGGAGTGGCAGGGGTTGACACTTACGCGCCTCTGAACGAGGGCCCTCGGAGCCCGGGCAGGAACATGCCTGAGCTGGCCGTACATTTTTAAGGAGAGTGGTGGTGCGAAAGTCGGCTAAGACTAGTGATCGTCACTCATGACATCGCCGGCAGCGTCGGACACAGCGAGCGTCCCGGGCCAGACCCGCACCCGCCCGCCCGTCGCCCAGCGTACGGCGTTACGGAGTTATCGGGCCAACTCCCTGGTCGACGTCGCGTGCCCAGCTCTGTGGCACTCGCCGCGTGTTTCACACCCTGAACGTCATGTTTTCGAGAAGTGGAGGTGCGCCGCGGCGCTGCTGTCTACAATCTTGGGATCAGCCACGATCGAGTTTACATTCCTTCACACTTATCGATCATCATGGCGACAGCAGCGGTCGGACAGTCGAACGGACTGGGGTACACGAAGCCGAACGAAGCGGCTGTCGAAGCTCTCGCTCAGGTACCCAAGAGCAAGGGCGCTGACGACCTCGAGATCAAGATCGAGTTCGGGTACGTTCAGCTTCATAGGAGTGCCTTGAGAGCTGACAATACAGCGGTGGCCTGCACCTCATCTTCTCCCAGAAGCCCAAACACACCGTCTACATCCCGAAGACTGCTCCCGATGGACGGCCGGCGGACGTGCGCTTCCTCATCTCCTGGATGAAGGACAATCTGGTCAGCGAGCGTGAGGAAATGTTCATCGACGGCGAGGGAGTGTGAGTTCGCTTCATTCGACGGCTGAAACTGACGTTCAGGCGACCTGGGATTCTCGTTCTCATCAACGATGCGGACTGGGAGCTCGAGGGCGAACTCGAGTACGAGCTGAAGGACCGGGATGAGATTGTTTTCATCTCGACTCTCCACGGCGGCTAGGCGGAGTTCGACAACAACTCGTCTTCGTCTGTCTGGTATCGTTCCTGCAGCTTTGAGCGACTCAGACTGCTCAGACGGCGTCACTGCGTTCAGCCTTAGTCTGCGGGACCTTCCCCTCCCTTCCTTCTCTCATTGTTTCGGTCATCTTAGCAAGCATTAGTCTCTCACGTCATTGTATGCACTATCATTACAGTTATCCGGTCTGTACTTCGAGCAGCGCAAAGCCGTTCTTGCTGGCTTGGGTATTGCGCTGCCGACTGTCGGGGCGGGGAAGGCACGTCTGCTTGCACAATGCCATCTGCGGCGACATCGTAACTTGTGCATGGGGCTCCGATCCTTCCCTCTGCAACCTCCACTTTATTGGTCCTTCGGTCGCCGCCTGCTAATCTGCGTCAACCCACACCACCATGTTTAAGAAGGCGCTCGCTCACCAGTCGAACGCGACGCCGATTCGCTCCTCTGCGCGGAGACAGCTCCTTCAGAGCATCTACGAGCAGTATCCCGCCCTAAAGGCGGGCTGCGTCGCGGAGGGCGAGAATGGCGTGACCGAGAAGGAGCTCGGTAAGCTGCTCCTGCCCGACAGCGTGCGGAGCGCTACGTTCGAGACGAGCGGGGGAGTTGAGGGCGTGAGTTTCTCAGGAGTGTTTTGCGAACTGACGGATCAGACGGTGTACAGCTCCCCTAGTGGAGATCCGTTGTGGCTCTCCTTTGGCCGTGGATCGAAGGAGCTCATCCCGACTCGTAGGCTAGGAGTTTGGGCAAGTAGCTGATGACAGTGTACACGCTTGCCGGACTGCCTTTCCCGCCCATGCCTGTGCTGCAGCTGCATCACCCCCTCCCGCCGCCGCTATTCACGGGTGCGCCCCTCTTCCTCCCGGCAGTGCGCAACATGGCTACGCCGTGGAAGCTGCCCGATGTCGGTGAGGGGGACGTTGTCGGTCTCGTATCTGATACGGAGGGTGACGGACGAGTCAGCTTTGTCGGCGTTGCACGCGTCGTGGCCCGAGGAGGACTGAGGGACCAGCTGGAACGTCTCCTCCGGCATCGTGCGGAGGGCGTCGACAGGGACGAGGGCAAGTTTGCGGACATTTTGTGCATCATCGATGACCAGTGAGTTTACCGGTATTCGGCAGTAACTAACCCCAGCCTCTGGGAGAGCGGAAGCAAGCCCGCTCTACCATCTTTCCCGCTTCCGGCACCTGCTAAGCCGCTTATGCCTCCGCCAGAGAGTGAGGCCCCGGCGAAGGAGGACGCAGCCGACGAGGCGGCTGAGGCTGTCGCCGAGCTGACCGTCGAGGACAAGGGCGAGCCCCTGACTGCCAGCGAGGTGTCGACTCTCCTGTCCGCGGCGCTGATGCAGACGCTCGCCTTGCTATCGCCCTCTCAGCTGCCGCTGCCGAGTTCGCAGCTGTACAGCGCGCACATCCTGCCAAACCGGCCGGCGTACATTCCCCCAGAGCGACGGGACGACGTCGTCATCGCGCGCAGCGAGTGGAAGAAGCTCGCCAAGTGGATGAAGGAATTGAACAAGGACGGCATCATCAAGACGAAGGAGACCAAGGGCGAGGTAGTCGTGACTTCGTAAGCTTCCGCAGCCTCCTCCAGAAAAGTAGCTGATAACAGATTCGACCCCGCGCACCCCGCGATCCAGGCGCACCGCCCCTTCAAGACGATCGCCGAGGACGACACCAAGGCGGCGAAGAAGGCTGCGCGCGAGGCCGCAACCGCCGAAGTGGCGGGTACGACCGTGAACAAGCGCGGCGCGCGCGAACTCGCCGTCGAGGAGATGTGGAAGCCAACGGGTTCGGGTGTGGCATTCTGGGAAGCGTGCGGATTCGAGTAAGCTTCAAGGATCCTTCTCAAGCTGACAATACAGCAAGAACAACAGCCATCCCGCGAACGCGCTCAAGCCCGCCTTCGACGCCTATGTGACGAAGCACGGCCTGGTGGGGCGCGACTTCCGTACGATCACGATCGACGAGCCCCTCGCCGCTGCGCTCGGCAAGAGCATGAGCCCCGGCGACAAGGTGAACAGAGACGAGATCCTGCGTCGTCTCCGGAACGGCGTTGGGTGGAGCGTGTCCGTCGGCGGCGTCGTCAAGTAAGCTTCCAGCATTCCTTTTTTTAGCTGACATGGCAGAAAGGGCAACCTCCAGCCCGTCACTATGTGCGTCAAGACGCGCCAGGGCCGGAAGCAGGTCACGCTCGTCAGCGGTCTTGAGGGCTTTGGTGTCGACATTGACGAGTTTGCGGACGAGCTGAGGCGGCTGTGTGCCGGCTCTGCGTCGGTGCAGCCTCTCTCTGGTGCTAGCCCCAAGCTCAACCTGAAGGAGGTGCTTGTGCAGGGTAACCAGACCAAGCTTGTCAGTGAGGCACTCGTCGCGCGCGGCATCCCGAAGCGCTGGATCAAGGACGAGGGTAAGAAGAAATAGAGCATTAAGGAGGGCTGTATATGCATACTCTTTATCTATCACACTGTCCTGTAGTCCGCCGAGGGGCGGGCGAATGTACAACGTCCACAAGCTACACGCTTCGCAGTGTGCTCTACCCACTAGTCATTCTTGAACATGTGCTTCAGGCGGTGGAACGGCCCCTCACGAGGGCGCTTGCCCTCCTTCGCTTCCTGCTTCGCGCGCTCCTTCTTCTTGGCCTTCTCGTCCGCGCGGATCCTAGCCGCGTCGGACATGAGCTCGTTCCCGTTCCCGCCCAGCATCGTCGCCATCACGACCCACAGGGACAGCGGGTGCGAGTGGCTGGCAGGGCTGTCGGCCAGACCACCAAGGAGCGCGAGGCGGCGGCCCTCGGGCTGTTGTGTTAGCTAGCCAGAGCGAGAATTTGAAGCTTACGAGGTCACGCCTAGAGACGATCGCGGAGGGAGGTGGCGCCTCGCCGTTCAGCGCCCAGCCCCACGTGCTGCCCAGAAGATCGGTGTCGTCGCCGTCTGGGAACTCTTCGGAGGACGAGGACGAGCTCGAGCTGCTATCCCGATCGTCCTCTCCTTCTCCGTGGTGATGGTGGTGTTCATCGTCAGCGGGCTCGTCGGGCATGGAAGCCTTGATGTTCTCCCCGACCGAGACCCAGTTCTTCCGGATACGGTCTGCGTCCTTGTTCTTCGCCTTCTTCAGGTTACGCTTGCGATGGCGCGCGACACGTTTGCGCACGCGGTGGAATTTGCGGTCCCACTTCGCCTGTCCCTCGATGTACCGCATCGCCGGGCCCTCTTTGATGTAGCCCGTCTCGGAGAGTGGCATCGTGCACGCTGGCAGCTGGTCCGCGGGCTCGAGGCCGCGTACGTTGCCGCTGAAGTCGACGCGCTGCCTGATCATGTTGCCGTCGGCGAAGGGCTGGGGTTAGCTAGGAGGATAAGAAAAAGAAAGCTTACGTTGGGTCCGGCATAGAAACCAGGCCAGCCGCAGGTGCCCGGCTTGTAATGATGAGCCCTGTCTTTCGGCTTGTTCTCGCCGGGAGAGCCATCAGACGACGACGGCCAGAGCATAGTTGACATGCGCGAGAATCGTGAGCTCTGTCGCTTGTCCTCGACCTTGACTTGGCGGAGGCGCTCCGTGATGACGGACGGGGACGGCATTTGCGTGTCGTCCACCGGGCTGCTGACTTGCGAGAGCGAGAGTCCTGACTGCGGCGTCTCGACAAGCGGCTTGGTCGTTATGTGCGTCTCCTGCACTGTCCTCTTCTTTGGCGCGTTTGGGTCGGCGGTGCCTGCACGAGGGGTACCGGGATCGATGTATGTTACTGTGTCTGTTGTTATCGTCTCCTGAGTTCCTCGTCCCGGCGTCATTGTGCCCGGCGTACCTGCCGGTGTGGACTCCTCGCTTGGAAGGGCGCCCGGAGCTCGTGGCGTGACGTAGCGGCAGAATGTGGCGATGGAGCGATATGCGCCCCGTGCTGGTTTCGTCATGCTGAACAGGGTGAGGTCGTGGCCGACACCGTCGAAGACCTGCAGGTGCACCTCGGTCGGCTTGTGCTTCTCCTCGATGCCCTTCATCGACGGGAGGAGGTCGCGGACGTCATCTCGAAGAGGATACTCGTCCGGCCGGGCGGCTTTGTGCGCGCTGTTGTTAGCTTCCACCCAACGAGCCATAGCTTACGAGTAAATGATCTCGTCGCGGAGCACTTCATCGTCCCCGGCAAGAATGTAGAGCGGTGGCAGTCCGCCCAGGTACCCAAGGATAGGGCTGATCCAAGGATGGCATAGCTGTCCATTCGTGCAGTACAGCTGGATCTGGGTGTCGACGACAACCGGCTCCTTGTACACGTCCATCTGGATGCCGCGGCCGACCTGTGCGAGCGTCGAGTTCTCCGCACCCATGCTCCGCGGCTCGAGGTGCCAAAAGTTCTCGCTGGGATTGACGCACATCTGGTTGTGCGGTCCCTTGTCGTTGGCCTTTCCGCTCTTCTTCTCCTTCTCCTTTTCCGCAAACAGGTCGTGCAACCTTCCACTGGCGTCGGGATCGCTGGTGTGAATTGACTGCCTTCGCACTTTCTTGGTGGTACTGAAAAGACCGCTGTCACTTCCGCTGTCATGCTCTGCGTGCGGGTGCCGCATCTTGTGTACTGCCTCCTTCACCCTGATTGAGATGTTGTTCTGCATCTCCGCCGTGAGCTGAGTCGGAGGTGGAGGCCACAGTGAAGACGGTTTCTGGAGTCAGCTCGTTTCGTCCGAACTCATAGCAGCTGCGGACGTACGTGAATGAAACTGTAGGCAGGGATCACATCCTGCCGTTAGCTGAGCTACCAACAGGAGAGCTCTCACCGTATCAGTGTTCTCCAGAATACTAGGGAAGCTGTGCGTCAAGTCCGACCACTGCACGTCAGCAAGAGCCTCCGACTCGCACTCACGGGACTGATCAACACTGCTCCCGCCGGCAGCTCCAGACCCGGCGTATCGCGGAGGATCTGAAGCAGTGCCCAGGTCAGACCACCGCCCGCCGAGTCACCAGCAATGATGATCTCTTTTGGGTCGACTGGGCGGTGAGGAGCATCCTTGGGCGGGTTCACCAGATACAAGTAGGCCGCGAGAATGTCCTGGATAGCACATGGGAACGGATACTGTGGCGCTTCTACGACGGTCAGCGCGGACTACTGGCCAACTCATAGCTCGAAACCTACTTCGGTAATTGACTGCGAAACATCGGCCGTGCATTTTCCGCGCAAAGCGCCAGATGGTGTAGCGATGGGTGTTGATTGACCCCCAGTAGTAAGCTCCGCCGTGAACTATCGTCAGTGTAGGGTCACCTCCTGAACTCACTATACAGCATGCATCTCAGCTTGTCCATCTCGGGGATGACTGTCGCGCCGGTCAGCGATTTCCAACGAAGTCGATGTTCGTGTACTCACAGCCGGAATCGAGCTCATCCACGTCCTCGGGCAGGGCTGGCGCTTCATTCTCAGCCCGCTTCTTAGGGGAAGCGCTTCTCTTGGACTCCTGGCGCATCTGGTGCTTGTGCCGCTTCTCCTCCCTCTCGGATCGCCTGTGCTCTTCCTTCATGACGATCCACTCGGCTTCCACGCCGTGGCCAGCTCGCACTTGCCACCACTTGGAACCTCCAGCAATCTTGTACGCCATTTCCTCACCGCCAAAGGCTTTGATCAAGAAGTCGGCCGACTGGCTCAGGCTCTGTTGTGGAATGAGGAGCCTGTGAATCGCAACCCATGGGGGTGCGGGCGTGCGAGTCGCTCCAAACTTCTGCAGGGATGCACATGTGTGACTGCATGTCAGCCTCCAGCATATTCACGGAGCCGACTCACTCATTCGCAATGTTGAGGAAGGTCTCCATGGTCAGCATGAAATAGGAGAGAGCTCACCTTGCCGATCTCAAACGCTGGAAGTTAGCTACGCGACGGAGTTTAAGCTTACCCTCGTCATACATGAGGTCCTCTGACCCAGCTGTCCGCTTGCCTTCGGCATCTCGCTTCTTCGGAGTGAGATAGTGCTCGAGGAAGGTCGCAAAGACGAGAGGCCCCGCTGCTCTGTCAGTTGTGGGAGAAGGTCGGTGACTAACCCATGGCGATGACCTGAGGTGCGAGTCCGTCCGGCATGATGGCCGAAGGATCTTGTTTGTGATGGTCTGACGAGTAGTTGGTGGTCGTGCGGAGAGAGAAAGAGAGATATGGGGGAGACAGGGTCCGGAAAGTCAATCCAGGAATGGCAAGATAACCCGACACACACAAGAGGCACCTCAATGGTCGTGCGCTATCTGTGCTCGCTTCGCTCCGTCGCTCCGCACACTCGGTGACGTCTGCTTCCCATCTCATTCATCTCACTTCTCGGCCATCTCCCGGTCCGGGGTCTCCGCACTCCCACGTGGCACACGCATCATCATCAGCCGCATCAGCCACCCTGACGCGCGACACACCGATCCCAGCAGTCGGTCGTCCATTTAGTCAGCTGTCTTCCTCGCATCAACAACATATACACCATGGCCAAGCAGTACCAGCTGGCATTTACCTTACACGGACACTCTTCCGACGTCCGGAACCTCTGCGTCCCAAACACCAAGGAGTCTGTCCTCCTCTCGGCGTCGCGGGATGGCTCGGCGATCGCCTGGGGACCGGGGTCTACTTCCAAGGACTGGGACGCCACGGTCAGAGCTGAGGAGCTCGAGAGAAGATTCGTGAGCTGTGTTACTGCAGTGACCAACGGAGGACAACGTAAGCTGCAAATCCCTTCCTCCGAAGTTGACGTATTAGGGTACATGGTCACCGGCTCGTCATCAGGCATGCTGTCGACATACCCTCTTCCTCCCCTGGAATCCCAGGATGCGACGCTTGACGCCCCGACACTGGAACCGCAGCACACCGTCATCGAACACCGCAAGAATCTCTGCTGCATCGACGCCAGCGCCAACGGGCTCCTCGTCTCTGGAAGCTGGGACAACACTGCCATTGTTTGGAGGGACTTCAAGAAGGCCGTCCATATCGAGGGCCATCAGCAGGCTGTCTGGGCTGTCCGATTCGTTGGGGAAGACCGGGTACTGACCGGTAAGCTATCTATTTGGCTCAGTGGAGTTGACATGCAGCCTCCGCGGATAAGACGATCGTTCTCCACTCCCTTGACGTTGCCGCCGGCAAGTCGAAGCCGCTGCAGAAGTACTCGGGACACACCGACTGTGTTCGTGGGTTGAGCTTGACGCCGGACGGCAAGGGATTTTGGAGCTGTGGTAACGATGGCCTCGTGAACCTCTACTCTTTCGACAGTCCCTCGCCTGTCCGGACCTTGTCGGGCCATACCTCGTTCGTATACTCAGTGACGGCCTTTCCCGACGGCTCCGGTGCCATCAGTTCCGGCGAGGATGGAACCCTTCGCGTGTGGTCCAGTAAGCGTCTGTCTGAGCGAAAGCATCTAACGGCAGACTCTGAGCTCGTTCAGACGATCCCCCATCCTTCGCTTTCTCTCTGGTCCACCGCTATCGCCCCCGTCCCGGGCTCGTCGAGCTACTACATCATTTCTTCCTCGGCTGATTCAAGCATCCGATTCTTCAGCAACGAGGAACAGTTCATGGCTTCCCAGAAGGACAGGGAAGACTGGGACCACGAGGTTGCTCAGCGTAAACTCGACAAGTTAGTTTATCTTACGCGATTGGAACTGACAGTCAGGAGCCAGGTCGGCGACGTCAAGCGATCTGACCTTCCTGGAATGGAGGCGCTTGGCCGGCCAGGTGGGTCAAGTATGGGGACAAATCTAACTTTCAGGCAAGAAGGACGGACAGGTTATAATGATCAAGAACAACGACAACGTCGAGGCGTACCAATGGTCGCAGGCGAACACGACGTGGCAGCAGATCGGCCAGGTTGTCGATGCAATTGGCTCGGGCCGCAAGCAGCTGTACGACGGGCAGGAGTACGACTATGTTTTCGATGTCGACATCCAGGACGGTGTGCCGCCGCTGAAGCTGCCGTACAACGTGACTGAGAACCCGTGGACGGCTGCGCAGCGCTTCCTCGAGAAGAACGAGCTGCCGTCAGGCTATGCGGAGCAGGTCGTCGACTTCATCCAGAAGAACACGGGTGGCGTGCAGCTTGGCACCGGTGGCGGCAACGACGCCTATGTTGATCCGCTGACCGGAGGATCGCGGTATACCGGTGCTTCGACGGGCGGCGGCAATCAGTCCTGGGGCGGCGACCCATACACTGGCGGCGGCGCGTACTCGACGCAGTCTGCTCAGCCTTCCGTTCGCATCCTGCCCGTCAGGACGTACCTGTCGTTCAAGAAGATCAACCCTCAGGCTGCCCTCGGCAAGGTGAATGAGTTCAATGAGGCGATCAAGGCATCCTCCCCTGATCTCGCGCTGAGCGCCGCCGACGAGGCGTCGCTGAAGGCTGTTGTTGACATTCTGGCCGCGGACCAGCCGGTGAAGAAGGAGAAGTGGCAGCCGGCCGCGCTTCTCTCCGCCGCGGTCAAGTGGCCCGAGGACAAGCGCTTCCCTCGTAAGTTGCCTCCAAAGCGGCCGTAACTGACATCAGTGATTGACATCCTGCGCGCTGTCGCGCTCTTGTCGCCCGCGCTTGGTTCGGTTCCCGCAGCCCCTATTGACCTCCTGCAGGCTGCTGGATGGGGCGAGCCGTGGAACCCGAGCAAGCCGCGCGCGACGAACCAGGTGCTGGCGATGCGCGCGCTTGCGAACCTGTTTAACACGACGCAGGGCCGTGCCGTTATGGCTGCGGCGGGTCAGGCGGGCGTGCTGGCGGAACTTCGTCGGGGCAGGCAGTGGGACCAGGTCGGAACAGCCAAGCAGCCGCTCGCCACGATCGCCCTTAAGTGAGTTGCGTGTTTCCTCATGGTAACTGACTCCAGCTACTCGATTCTGGCGCTCGATGGTGGACTCAAGGACGCGAGCGGCCTGCTGGCTTTGATCAACCACGTAAGTTTGCCGCGAGAGACCCTTGAGCTCACCGCAGATTCTCGACAACGAGACCACAGACAGCGAGACGATCTACCGCGCCGGCGTCGCGCTGGGCAACCTAGTAAGCTCAATTGCTCGTCGCAGAAATCTGACAACAGCTCTCCTCCTCTGCCACCGGCTCTCTCCCTGTTGGCGACGTGCAGAACGCAAAGAGCCTCCTTTTCACCCGTGCCAGCGCAACTGGCGAGAAGCGCCTGACTGACCTGGCGCTCGAGGTCGGGCAGCTCGCGTCGTAGTTTCAGTTTACATAGAAGAACGAGGAGAATGGATAGAAGCAACGAGAAACAGGTACACATGCATAAGTACATCTAGGCCTTGGCCGAATCTATGAACAGGAAGATTGCTGGGAGTACAACTCTACCAAGCTTTTTGGAATGTCGACGTCTAGATGGCACCAGCAGCGACGGCGGCGTGAGCCGAGCGTTCCATGCCAGTCGTGTTGCCCTTGGCAGTGAGCGAGTCGAGGGGGTTGAACTGGTCGGTACTGTTCTCGTACTCCCACATGTCGAGGGCAACCTGGCACGACTCGCGCACAACAAGGGGCGCGTCCTGCTTAACGGCCCACTCCCTTAGGATGGCCAGCACGCCTCCCTCGGGCAGCGGCTCGTCGTCCTTGCTCATGTCGGCGTCGGTGCCATCCGAGGCGATACCGCCGAGCGCCTCCGCGGCCTCGTGGCGCACCATGTCCTCCTCCTTGTCGTCCTTGAGCACCTTGAGGAGACTCGGGATGGAGTGGGGCGAAGAAAGCTGGCCAAAGATGTACGCGATCTCGTGGCGGAAGAGCGCAGAGCTGTCGCCGAATCCCTCAGCCAGGGCGCGGACGGCATCGCGCGACGCGCCGCCATAGTCGCGCAGCCCGAACATGGCGCGGTAGCGCTTGAAGAGCGGCTGGGACTCGTCGAGGAGCACGGCCTTGAGCTCGTCGACGGGCTTCTTCTCGCTCGACGGGGCCGGGTCGATGGTCGGGTAGTCTGGGTTCGGGACGCGGGCGAGGCCCTCGGGCGTGTGGTCGTACTCGATCTTGTCGACTGCGATCTCGCACGTCTCGCGCACCTCCCGGGCGGGATCGTTGAGGTGCGAACGCAGACAGGCGAGAGAGGACTCGTCGCTGATCGCGCCAAGTGCCTCGGCAGCCTCGTGTCGCACCATCGCGCAGTGCTTGCCATCCGGGTTGTTGAGGACGTTCTCAAGGATCGGCACCGCGGTGCTCGACTTGAGCTGGCCGAGAACGTACGCGAGCTCGTGCTTCAGGAGAGGGGAGGGGTCCTCAAGGCCTGGGCGTTAGCTAAACTTCAAAGTCGGATTAGCTGGTGAAGACAGCTGAGCTGCTCAGATCCAGGAGCGGAGCTCTCCATAATAGCCTGAAAGCAGAAAAAGTAATGGTGGATGTGAAAGGGGCGACAGCGGTCTAGCAACCTGGCAAATCGCGTACTCACCCTCAGCAATAATGTTGATGACCTCGTCACCGCCGACAGCCTTGAGCATGAAGAGGGCGCGGAAGCGCTCGTGCAGCTCCGTCTTGCCGGAGGTGTTAAGAAGCGTGGCGCGGAGCGCCGCCATCTGCTCGGGCGTGACCTGGACCGACATTTTTGATGGTTGGGTAAAGGTTATCAGATAACAAGCAGCCATCCATCTGTTGATCCTCCCCCACGCCGTGGCGGGTGGTCGAGGCGTTGCAAAAATCCTAGGGTCGCGCGTGGGAGACTTGGCATCGGGTTTTTGCCACCCGACCATGACATAGACACCGGACCCTGAGGTTGAAGTGGAGGCCGTCTCACGCCGCTGCGGGGAAGGCGGTCACGGTTAGTAATCTCGCTACTGCAGACCTAGGTCGACCTCCGGTGACGGCAAGACCAAGTCGCAACTACACACTTCATGCGCTTGACTGGAATTATGTCCTCCGCGAAGACGCTCAAGCCGATCCACCGCCTCCCTTTAGCACGGCAGACGCTGCAGGGCGCCCTGTCGCAGCTGCCGCTCGAGGACCAGCCCTCGGCCCAGCGCATTAGCACGACCTTCTCCCCAACGACTCGGGGAGTGTGGGCACGCACCCTGCCGCTGTGGGACAACTGGCCGATCCGAATCACCAAAGAGGAGGCGCTCGCACTCGGCTGCGACGTCGACAAGGGCGAGAAGATCTCCGCCGAAGCTATCCTTGGGCGATGGGACCCGCAACCCGGCGAGAAGCAGGATAATGGTCTCGAGCTGAAGAGTTCGCCACACCGTCTGAAGATGGCTCCAGTTCTCCTCGGAGTTTGCGAGAAGACGGTGCAAGACTGTTTCCCCGAGCTCGACGTCGGTGACGCCGCCAAGGCAGACGCCCCGACAGATGTCGAGGGTGGCGACGAGGCGAGGCAGGCGCTCGTCGATGTGCTCAGTGGAAGGAAGGTGCTCGAGGGAGAGAACTACATGCCCTGGTCGACACGGTATTGCGGACACCAATTTGGTGTCTGGGCGGGGCAGCTCGGCGACGGACGCGCCATCTCGGTACTCGAAACGGAGGGACCGAAGGGTCGAGAGGAGATCCAGCTGAAGGGCGCGGGACGAACACCGTTTGCGCGTGCTGCTGACGGCCTTGCGGTGCTGCGCTCGAGCGTGCGCGAGTATTTGGGCTGCGAGGGTGAGTGTTCTCCATCGATGACTCAGCTTCACTATCTTGGCCGGCGAAGCTGACTTCAGCCGTCAATGCCCTGGGCATCCCGTCGACTCGAGCACTGGCTATTCTGACCTCTCCCGTCCGGGTGATGCGTGAGCAGGGTCCTGAGCCCTCGTCTCTCGTGGCGCGAGTTGCTCCCTCCTTCATTCGCATCGGGCACTTCGAGGCGATGAACCCGGGAGAGGCGGCGAAGAATTCACACCAAGTCTTCTTCGGAGGTGGCTGGAAATCATCCGTTGAGGATGAGGCTGACAAGAATGACGCTCTGGGTGGACAGGGCAGTCTCGAGGGTCTGCGCGACCTGACCCTATGGGCTAAGGACGTCATGGGAATGAAGGACTCGACAGTGAACGAGTGGTTCATTGACGTTGTGCGCCGGAACGCAGAGACCGTTGCCCAGTGGCAGGTGTACGGGTTCATGCACGGCGTGCTGAACACGGACAACATCAGCGTCTTGGGTCTCACCATCGACTATGGGCCTTATGCGTTCATGGATGTGTTCGACCAGAATCACATCTGCAACCACTCTGACCCCGGAGGTCTTTACAGCTACAAGGGCCAGCCGGGGCGTGTGCTCTTTGCGCTCGACAGCCTTGCGTCCTCCCTCCTCCCAATTCTGGGCTATGAAGCGCAGAATGGCAAGATCCCCGACGCCGGATGGGGCGAGAACGCGACCCCGGACGACGTGCGCGGCTGGGAGGCGGCCGGCCTCGAGTCCATCGAGTCCTGGAGCGACCTGTACAACCAGATCGAGTCTGTGGCCGAGCGCAGCGGGTGGCAGAAGCGTTTCGGCCTCCCATCGTACCGCGACACGGACGACCGGGACATTGTCAAGGACTTCCAGTACTTGCTGCACGGGTACGATATCGACTTTGGCGCCGCGCTGCGCCAGCTCTCCTTCTTCCGCACCTCCAAGGTCGAGAACAAGGAGTACCTCAAGTCCCAGGCCAAGCTGTGGATCAAGCAGGCGACGAACGACCTCATGCCGGACATTGTGAGCCGCACAGAGGAGGGTATCGTGGCCTGGCTCCAGACGTATGCGAAGCGCGTGAACGAGGAGAAGGACCAGTTCGACGAGGACGAGCGCCTGAAGAAGATGCAGGAGGTCAATCCCCGCTTCGTCCTTAGGCAGTGGGTGCTCGAGGACACGATCAAGAAGATGGAGGACGCGCTCGAGAAGGAGGACGTGCCCGAGGCGCGCCGCGTACTCCAGCGTGTGCTTGATGTGAGTTGATCTACTGTCTTTGTGAACTGACAATCAGCTCTCGACCAACCCCTTCAAGCCGTACGGCGAGGATAAGGACGGCGTCATTGCCGACAACCTGACCGGCGAGGAGGCAGAGCAGGCGACTCTCTGCGGTCTCGGACCCAAGAGCATGCTCGGATATCAGTGCAGCTGCAGCAGCTAGATGAGTGTCAGAAGTCCATATATATAGAGTGTCCAATGCAGTTCTTAAGAGTACAGATATGCATGATAACAGGAAGCTGAATCTACACTAAACCACACGGCGCTTGCTAGGCGACCGGGAGCGCGATCTCCTCCTCTCGTGTCCGCGGTCGCGGTCGCGGTCGTCGTATCGCGACGAGCTGCCGTAGCGATCCCTCTCACGGTCGCGGTCGTCATACCGCGACGACCCTCCGTAGCGGTCGCGCCTCTCACGGTCGCCGTACCTGTCGCTGCGCTCGCCGTACCTGTCTCCTCCGGCGGGCGGGCGGTCGTCATAACGCATCGCCGGTCCGCGGTCGCGCGGGTCCTCGGTGACCTCGCCCGCCTCGCGTTTCGGGTCGTCCGGATGGCTGCTGATCGGGAAGGGAGGGACGCGGCCAGGAGGCGGGCCCGGCGGCGGAGCAGAAGAGGGAGGCGGGCCCGTACGCGGGGGTCCGCGCATGCGCTCCTCGGCCCACTGGGCCATGAGCTTGCGCAGCTCGTGGAAGCCGAGATGCATCTTTCCTCCGAAGTGGTCCGCGAGACGCTTGTCCGAGTCGAGCACCGAGAGCATGGCACCACAGATCTCACACACACGCAGCTTCTGGTGTCCCGACGCTCCGGCATTCTCGTCCAGAATCTTCAGCTCCTTCTCCTTGTCCGTCTTGAGCTGCTTGAGCGCCTCGACGGCCTCAAGGCGCTCCATCGACTCCTCGATCTTGCCCGCCTCTCCGAGCTTCTCAATCTCCTCCGTTCCATTCTGAATCGACAGCTCAATCTCGCCAATCTCCTTCATCAGGTCAATCGTCTTGCGGTTCTCCTCGGGCGTCTTCTCGAGCTTGCGCTGCGACGCGCGGATGCGGCGGTCGCACTCCTCCACATACTGGTAAATGTTCGCCTCGTGCTCCTGCTTGAACTGGAGGATGCGGGGGTCGTTTGGCGTCGCAGCCTGAGCCTCCTTGAACTGCTTCAGAATACGCTCACTGTGCGTCTTCGGGCACGCGCCAAGATCCATTTTCTGAAACGTCAGTTACGGTCGCCCTTAAACAACTCACGGTGTTAGAGAAAGTGTCGTGCAGACAGGTGCCAAAGAGGTAGTCACGGCACACCTTCGCGTCCCACCAGTCCAGGTTTGGCGGGTTGAATCCCATGGCTTCGGGGCCCATCATTTGCTATACACGGCCAAGAGATCACGCCAAAGGGGGAAGATTCGGACATCGAGAAAGGTACGCAGTGGTCAGCATCAAGCTCACAGCAGAAGCTGAGTGACTCACCTCAAGCAGCTTGCGCTGCATCTCTGCCATCTTACCCATCTTGGCACTTGTTTTTTACGCGGGTGCTGGCCAGAGGCGTGAAGAGGCTGAATAATCGACAGTGAACACGAGTTCGAGATTGTTGATGCAAGGTGAGCCGCGCCGGTCAGTCGCTGGCCGCCGAAACCGCAATTTGCTTCCGCTCGTTCATCAACCTTCCGTGCCTGAACCTGTCAGGCATCGAGGAAGGCGATAGCAACAGTGTCTACAATGTTGCCAACACACTCTCGGCCTTGCTAATTATCAGGGAACTATCTATGCTCTGCTGTTCTTTAAGGCTGAAGACTGCATTGATTTGCTGATACCAGTCTGTAACTCCGCGCACGTTGCGTGGTTCTTCTACGAATATGTGCTGTTTTATCGCGCAACGATCGAGCAGTACATTCGACGGTTGAGATCTTTTCCCACCCAGATACAAGACATGAAGAAACACCAAAACCTATTAACTTCTGACGCTAGCTTTTGCAACGCTGAACTCCCCTTCTTCCGTTTCTCCCCTTCGAGGGCGCGCTTACTCCGACGCCTTCTCGAGATCGACGGTGGCGCCACTGGAGGAGACCTTTCCGCCGGTGAGGACGCGAGACAGCATGCCCTGGCGCGTGTCCGTCGAGCGCGCAGTAAGGATACGGTTGAGGTGCGCCTCCTTCTCCTTCTCCATCGCGACGTGGGCCTGGATTGCGTGCTCCGTCGGCGGGCGGATTGAGTCCGAGAGCCAGAACGTCTGGATTGCGGCGCCAATGGCCGTTCCAAGAATGTTGGTGAATGTTGCCTCGGCGGTCATGCGGGCAGGGAAGACACCAGTGCCCCAGAAGCAGGCGGCGGCGAAGCGAGCTCCGAGGTCACGGGCGGTGTTGAGCGCAATACCGTTGCCGGCGTAGCACGCGACGGCGCCGAAGAAGCCGAGGGCGATGAAAATCGGGACCATGGGCGGGGTGACGAAGACGTTGCTCGGGTCGAGCACCTGGAAGACGAGGATGCCGAGAGCGGCGCTCGTGAAGATTTCGTTCAGGAAGACGAAGCCCATGCTGCTGAAGTGGGGAGGGTAGATCGCCAGCGCGCCGGATGGACCAGCGGAGCTGTACACCATTGCCTCCTTGCCAGCGGCGATCAGCTTGGCCGTCATTTGCGTGAACTGCGGCTGGTATTGGCCATATACGATCAACCCTCCGAGGAAGGCACCGAACGTTTGAGCGATGATGTACTGGGGCACCTTGCGCCAGGGGAAGCCCTTGAAAAGTGCGAACGAGATGGTAAAAGCAGGGTGCAGGTGGCCACCAGAGTTGGGACCAGCAACAAGAATACCGACAACGATTCTGCTCGTTAGTCACGCTCGACCGAAGCATCGACGGCCGTGGCAGTGGTTCGGTCCGACCGACCTCTCCAGGCACCATCTCTTAAATACAGAGCGGTCTACTCACCCGACACCGTAGCACATGGCGACGGTCAACAAAGTTCCTCCGGCGTTAGAGGCTTCAGTCGTAATCATTGCCGCGGTGGCGCCAAAGCCGAACCAGGTATAGAAGAAGACACCACTTAAGGAATGTCAGTGTCGTCACATGGACACATGTGGTGCCAACTTACATCGTCTCGCCGACCATCTCCTGTAGCCACTTAGGGCGGCGGGCCTCCCATGTCGTGAGCCAGCGGGGAGGCGGCGGCCGCTCAGGCAGGTGCGGCTTGGGGTGGGTAAGGAAGACGTCGTTGACGCCGACTGGTATGTCAGGTGTGATCGTTCAATACAGTGTTTGGTCATGGGCGGCCGCAAGAGTACGGCCGTATGGAGCTAAAGGAGAGGAGTTCTTTTTATGGACTCGCCCTCCGCCGCGACGGCCTGACCGGCCGAGCGTGCAATGAAGCCGACAACATCGCGCCTCCTGTATATAAAGACTCACCTTCAAGGTCTCCCGGTTCACGGTGTCCACGCTGGTGAGCCATGTCGATGGTGTAGGTGTTGCTAACTAAAGGCTGGGACGGAGCAGGCGTGAGTTCATAGGCATCAGGCGTGACGACACTTTATACTCTTGCACACCTATGCTTTTCTTATTCGTCTACCTGACAGCAAACCGCCCACCTTGAGGACGAACCGTCCCCGCAGCAGGCAGGGAGGATCTGCGCGTCTGGACCGCACCCCGCGCGGCGCTAGCCTTCTCCCTGTGTTGCCCCACAGATGACGCTGCCCGAGTGGCCGGGGTGGAGAGGTCGCCGAAGGTACGCGGGCAAGTGCGCATCCTGTGCGTCTATTGCATCGCTGTTCGATGTGAATGCCGAGCCCACGAATCGGCTTCGGTATCTGCACGGCAAGTTTTTGACCGACATGCACAGACGCACAGATCTTTGCGAGATTCATTTAAGGCCAGCCCTGTGGAGAGACGTCGAACGGAACAGGACAAAACGAGAGGTGTTAGTCGACGACGGCAAGAGCCGAACAACTACTGGGGCCCAAATTAGAACGCCCAACATACCGTGGAATGCCGATACTGTGGAGGCGTTCTCTCTTGTGTGACCTCTCTGCCGTCGCCATGCGCTGCGCTCCTCGCATTGCGCACTGGAGGCTGCTCACGAGACCTTGCACGGCTGACCCAGGTCCCATCATGTGGGTCCTCCGGCACCGGAAAGGCACTCAGCCCTCGACGGGCATTTGTGCGACTGGACGTCGGCATTTCCGGCGGAGTATAGCGGCGGACACGCGCGTCCCGCACCACATTCCTGCAATTCTTTCAACCGTATTTCCTGTTTGCCCAGAAAGTGGACCTCGCCGCCGTGCCCAAATTAGCTTCGTTTAACATGATGTAAGGAGGGATGACAGCTCACGACAGCGCGTGCTGGCCCTTATGACAGGCTTCTGACTGGCGAAGATCCTTGATCCTAAGGGGTCATTAAGCCCGGAGCGGCATTGTCGTGTGCTTACCGACGGAGCCGACTATTCCTAGCCACTTACCACTTAACCGCTGCGCGTACTGCAACCTCGTCATGATGATTCTCCATGTGCTCCATCTGCGTGCTGAACGGGACTGCAGACGACGCTCGACTCGCTATAAAAGCGCGGCATCCGGATTGGAATGCCGTTGGTATACCTGGGGCCGAAGGACACCGGCTCCCATGACTTAGTGTGGAGACTGCCAAGGGGCGGGGCCGTCGGGCCCCGTGGCACCGGCTTGCCGCACCACAGTGCCTACTCGGCTTGCGTCGTTGTCGCCCACTTCGTGTCGAGCGTTGCTGCTGATGCTATCGTCGACAGATGCAATTGCCTGCTGACATAGTTTCTGACACTATTCTGCTCTCATAACGGGAGGCCGTTGAAGAGGTGTTGTTGACGCGGCCCCTGGTGGCGTCTAGGGATTGCCATGGCCGCGGGTCCCATGATCTCCAGCGCACGTCTGACCGAGAAACACTGCTACCCGGTTCCCGAAATCGCGACTGTAAACACGCGAGTCTTCTGCATCTTCTGCACGCACATCGCAATCAGTGAGCGAGAAGCGTCTTGACCTTCCTACCCGTGGACGGAGATGCTGCGAAATCAGCCTGATCGTCGAGAGAGACCATCTGCGGCGGAGTGACCCGAAACTTGCGCAGCGTCTGCGCCGCTACTCCTTTCCGCCCTTACCATTTGCCGCTTTTACATCGTTAGGACCTCCCGCAGACTAACGACGTCCAGACCTCGTGACGATCTTAGTCGGCAACACCTTTGTCCGTGCTATTGGCCGAAGACTCTATCCTCGGTCGTCTCCGTGTACCCTCGTGCGACTCACCCACACCTTCTCGGTGACCCCACCCTCCACTAGCGTGGTTGTCGCCAGTCACGGGTCTGCAGCTCAAGCCTCCAACTGCCATGCGATAAGCTACACCCAAGACATGCATTCCTCAGTTCTGCCGTTAAGTCGCACGTCGAGCTACACTCGAGAAGACTACGCCGACAGACTTCGGAGTCCCTCGATATTGGTCCCTCGATACTTGTCTGAACACTCGATACTTGTCCTTGTCTTGCATAGCCCTCCTTCTGAACACTGCGCTTTCGAAACTCGCCTTCCGTCCAGTCCAAGGAGTATGTGGAGCCCGCCACATTGGAGGCTGACCAAACAACGTTGCTTCATCTTAGCTACGACAACAATTTCACGCACTCCGGGCCTCTGAGCAACCCATAGTCGCAATACTGACTGTCACGTTCAATGACTGATGTGCAGTTTGTGAAAACTGAGACAAGTGCCACTTGGCGACGATGACAGCGAGGGGCGCACGGCCACGCCATCCGTGCCCATCAACAGTGTCCTTCGCAGCACATGTCTGTGCCCCCTCTTCTGACGTCGAGGCTTGCGTGTGTGCTCTTATCTGTCCCGTTGGCTTCGTCGCTATCATGGATCTGGTTTCCGACATGCACAATCTACTCTCCGCCCCCCTCGGCGACTCGTCCTTGACCTCGCCATGCCGCCCCAGCTACCCAGACAGCTTCGTCCTTTCCAACCCATTCTGTCATTCTTTCACTGGCAGCTCCTGGCCGCCCTAGCCGTAATCTGGTTCGTGAGCTACCCGCCGCGACAGACCTGGCGCATGCTCCGCGCGATCGCTCCCTACGTCTGCGTCGCAACGACATGGACACTATATCATGTCAACATGGGCGCCCTGCTGGTATACGTCTACACGTCTCTGGCTGCTCAGGGCGCTGCTGTCCGGGCAGTCAGCCGTATCGAAAAGCTCAGAGCTCTCAATTCAACTTCCAATGAAGCTACGGTCCTAGCAGCGCAGCAAGTACTCGAGGCCCTGGAAGCAGTCACGAAGCTAGCCGCGCGGAGTGCAGCCCTCACCCTCGCGGCGAACATCGACGTCGCGATTGCCGTGTCCGACCCCGAGAAGAAGGCAGCAGCATGGAAGACTTGGGCGGCGCAGGGTGCGTTGCTATACGGGGGATGGAAGGCGGCGCAAGCTTGGATGCAGACAGAGGTAACTTGGGGTCCCCTTGCTAAGATTCCTGAGGTGGGGCGAGTGACCTCGCTGGTGTTTTCGTGGGTTTGCGTGTGGCTCGCGGGGACGAGGTTGGCGATGGAGATTGTGTGGCACGTTGGTCGAGACCTTAGGGAGCCTGTGGACTGGGAGCCCGAGCCAGAGATCGAGGAAGCCGAGGCCTACGTCAAGTTGCTGGCAGACGATACCCTAGAGGATGAGAAGGCGCGGAAGTCCTTGGAGGCGGCATTACCAGAGGAGACAAAGATCTCGGAGGTGGCAAACTTCCGAGACACAAGGATGCCTGTGAGCTCTGCTCAGATTGTAGAGTAGGGCCAACCCGCACTTGGTATGAAGGAGGTTCCACGCGTGATGCCAACTGGCAATTGTCCTTCGTCGTTTGTGGTCTCCTCAAGGGCAATGTGCATGATTCTGCAAGGACAGCTCTTCTTACAGTGAGGAGTGAGGAGCCCTTGTACACATCTCATTGCGAGAGCAGTTCTTCCGATCGTAGCCAGCATGCAGAACTGTTGCCACACGCTGCATCTAGAGTGACATCTTGGTTCCGGGATCCGGCCCGATGCCGCGGGCCCAACTCGGCGACTCTCGGCCACTTCCGAGCTAGCCATCCCCTCGGCCGGTTTTTTAACCCTCCGCACCTCCCACCACTCATCTCAAATCCATTCCTCATAAGTACGGAGGCTCTCCATGCCGCCGTCGACCTCCGTCTCGGCTTCGGCGTCCGCTGCGGCGGCGCCGTCATGCGACCGCTGTCGCGCCAGAAAGGTGAGTCCACCTTGGCTTACTGGTGGATGAGCGTGAAGTCGAAGGTGGGCGGCGGACCTCGGAGGGTTTCCGTTGTTGTTGTCCATCGACTGAGATTTCTGCTCACAAGCGGCCTCGCGGCATCGATAGCGGTCTCGGACCCGGCCAGTCGAGCTCGGGCTGTCGTTGGGGACAGGCGATGCTTGCGCCAGCGGCGATGGACGCACGACCGTGGAGCGCTGACAGCAGGTGAAATGCACGCCGTCCGAGATCACGGACCGATGTCGAGCATGTCTGAAGCAGGATAAAGACTGCACCTTCACATACGTACACAAGAAGCCCGGCCGGCCGCTGGGATCTACAAAGAAGAAGACACCTTTGCCGTCGGCGCGGGCTTCGCCTGCTGCTCCCGCCGTGCCAGCTGTTACTGCCGCAGCCGCGACGACCGTGCCCGGTCTGACTGCCGCGACAATACCGAGCGCGACACCGATAGCAGGACCGACGCCCGCGAGCCTCTTCGGTTCTGCCCGACTGACATGCGAGGACCCCTCGGTCCCACTCGGTGATCTTGGCCTCCTCGACCTCATCCCCCCACTACCTCTACACGCCCCGTTTGACGCTCTTGGTGGGCCTCTCCCTTCGCCCGCGGGCTCCGGATCGCCGCACACCTCCTCTTCCGGCGCGCACCAGCACTCTACCTCTCCCTCTGCGATCCCATCACTGAGCAGCATCCTGCCGTGGGAAGACGCCTCGTTCTTCCTTAACCTCTACCTAACGCACCAACACTGTCTCGTGCCCGTCATCCACAAACCGAGCTTTGCGCAATCCGTCCTCGCGCGAAAGGACAAGAGCTCGCCCGTCTTCCGCGCCCTCCTCTGCGCCATTGTGGCATGGACGATTGCGCAGTGTCCCATCTCCCTGATGCCGGGATACTCCCGCCAAGACCTGGGACGCTGGGTCGACCGGTGTCTCGCGCACAACGACGCTCTCCGTCGAGAGCGCGACGCCTCGGAACCCATCTCCCGACCGGTGGGCACGGGTCTGAATGAGGAGAGCGAGGAGGCGGACGTGGAGCTGTTGGAGTTGTTGACGGCCAGTATGCTGGACTGGGTCACGGCCCAGTCCCTCGCACGGCCATGCGACCTCCTCGTCTCCCAGATAACGCGGTACATTGACTGTCTCCGTCTCCGCTCTAACCGTTCCTGGCCGAACCCCATTCTGGCCCAACTCGCGCGGCGCGTGTTCTGGATCGTCTACACCAAGGACAAGACGGATGCCATGTCGGGACGAGCACTTATATTGAATGACTTTGAGGGCCTGCCGCCATTGCCGGACGAGGTCGACGACGAGTTCATCACGCCCAACGGGATCGTGCAGCAGCCCGAGGGAAGATTGAGCCATATGGCAGGCTTTCGCGCCATTTGCCGTATCTTCCAGGTGCTTAGCCAGTGCATCACGCGGCACAGGGCTTGGGCGAACCCGGTACCTGGGGATGCGCCTCCCGCAGCCTCTGCGAGCGCGAGCGGAGCGAGTGGAGGCGCGGCGAGTAGCGGAACGGGGGCCAACGGACTTAACGACGGAAACAACAGAGACGACAGAGGAGAAGCAGGGGACGAGCTCACGGGCGAAGAAGCCGAACTCGAGGCCGCGGAGCGACAAGCGGCCGCCGAAGCGCACTTGGCCTGGATAGCACGCGCGCAGGCCCGACTCCGCTCGATCCTGCAGAACCTGCCCGAAGAGCTCTGCGTCGACCTGCAAGACTGTCCCCCCGCCCTGCCCTGCCCAACCTCACCCTCTACTTCTCCCTCGGCCTCCGAAGCCGAACGAATCAAGTATGCCATCCGCCAGGCGGATATTGTGATTACTGGACTTTGCGCGGAATTCTGCCTGCTTGATTTCCGGGCGGCGATTGTGCCCGCCCTCGATACAAGGAAGGAGAGGGAGGAAGTTGCGAGGAAGAGCTATGCCGTGCTCGAGAGTATACCTATTGAGTACCTTGCCAGTAATGGGGAGTGTATGCGCGGCAAGGTGCTTCGGATCATTCTGACCCTGTTGAGCATGACGACGGAGCCGGAGCTGTTCTCCCAGAATGTGTGGGATTGGTGGAACATGTACTCCCGTGTACAGTTCTTGCAGGTTATACCGGAGGGGATGGTGCCAGGTATCTAGGCGAGCGCGGCGAGCGACGCTGGGCACCGTGAGCAAGGTATGTAGTCTTGTTGTAAAAGTATGGATGGACTCTGTCTATTGTCCCTCTATTCTCTGCGCTTGGTCTGGCAACGATGAGTCAGTGACCAGAACTGCACCTAGCGGTGCAGTCGCATGTATTAGACATTAGGTTGCACTCGTAGTTGAACACACAGCGTGCCTCGCACGCGTACACTACATGGTACATACAGTAAGAGTGAGCCACTACTTGTCTCCGTTCTCGGCGCCGGCCTTGCTCTGCGCCTGCCGCTTGAAGTTGGTGACTGTTGTTAGTTTGGACCGTCGCGGGCCTAACTTACATTGACGCGAGAGGGTGAGAGACGTCATGTATCCCTCGGGGTAGAGCTTGCCGATCTGCTGTCAGCTGGTTGTTTTCGACATGATGAGAGCAGCTTCGTCATGACGCGTCGGCTGCTCCGCTCAACTCACCTTGTTGTACAGCGCACGCCTCATGTTCAGCTCGCTCGACTGTCCCTCGATCTTCTGTCCCCATTCCTCCATCTTCTTGTTGATGTCGACCATCTCCTGCGTGTTCTCAACGAGCTGGCGGTACAGTTCCCTCAACTCTGGGGAGAAGAAGGGTAACTTCTTGGGCGGCTCGCGCTCTTTCTTGCCCGCCTCGGGGAGCTCGTCGATCAGTTCCTGCGGCGCATCCTCGGTCGCATTCTTGTGCGCCTCGACAGCGTCCTCGTACGCCTGCACCATGGCCGGGATCTCGGGATCCAGCATCTCCTTCCACTGCCGCAGACCCTCGACCTCGTTCGCCTGCAGCCACCGCCAGTAGTCGTGGTAGCATAACTTGAGAACGAGCTTGCCGAGCGTCAGGCGGTTGTAAGGCAGGATACTGCACAGCGCAGTCACGAACGCCTTCTCCTGGTACTTCTCGTAGCCACTATCCTGCGCCTCCTTGTCCACCGTGCAGAGCAGATCGTGCTGGAACGCAGCCTCGCCGGCACGCTTCAAAGGAGCCTTCAGGTGGTCCGGGAACTTGCCCTTGTTATGCGGGTCCCACACGTCTGAAAGTCAGTTCTCGGTGAGCGACGGTTAACTTACGCTTACTGCTATCTCTGCGCAGAGACATGAGGTAGTGGCGCACATCGTCCGGGAACTCGTCGAACGGCGGGAGGTACTTGGGCTCGCGGGACGCGTTCTTGTACAGCGTGCGGTCGACAGGATAGCGGTCGAGCTCGGTCGCCTCGGGCGACGGCGAGCGCTTGATGACGCGGATGCTTGGCGGCGTCTCGTCGTCGCTGTCGATCGGGATGGGTGAGTGCGCAGAGCCGTGTTGCGTGTGTCCCTTCTCGAGCAGCTTTTCCCGCACAGCGGTCGACAGACTCTTGCGCGGCGCGAGTCCGGCATTCTTCGGCGCCTTGGGCTTTGCGTACTTGCGCTTAACGGGCGACTCCTCCATGAGCTCGAGCGCGCCGAGGTGCACAAAGAAGCCTTCCTTCTTCGGTCGAGCGACGTGCGTCGGCGCATCGATCTGCAAGTCCGAATCGTCGATGAACGGGTCGCTTAAGTCGTACTCAACGCGCATGCGGCGCTTCTTCAGAGACTGAGGTGAGTTACAGCAACGGGACCCTGAAGCTCACCTTCCTCTTCGTCGGCTTGTCATACTTCTCCTCGAGACGACGAGCGATCTCCTCCATCTCGCGCGCCTCGTCCGCGTTCATGCCAGGAGGCAAAGGTCCCATGAGGTCGGGGGGCGCAGACGCCGGAGGCAAGGGGGTCTCATCGCCAGCGCCCTCAGCCATGACGACGTCACCCTGCGCCAACGGGTCTTCTCCCCAAGCATTCGTGATGTGGTAACCAGCGGCGGCCGCGTGCTCGGCAAAGTTCCAGTCCAGCGTGTCCTCGTCCGTATTCATCGACACCTCGAGGCGGATGGTCGGCATCGGCGGTGGCGGTGGAGGAAGGTCCTCATCCTCGGACTCTGAGCGAGCGCGACGCTTGCCTTTCTTCTTAGGCTGCAAGACGTTCACGACCTCGCCTTCCTCATCAGCATTGACCTTGTCGCCGTCGGCGGCAGTGCCGGAGGCACCGTCGGCGGGTTCCGACTTGACGCGGATAGCTGCCGACGAATCCGCCACAGCCTCTCCGTTGGGTCCGTCAACAACGATGATCTCCTGCACAGTCAGCTTGGGGCGCAAGTTGAGGCAACTCACAGAACTGTCACTATCGTCGCCATCGTCCTCGCTGTCTTCCTCGTCATCGTCGTCGTCATCCTCATCGTCGTCGTCGTCCTCATCGCCTTCCCCCTCGCCCTCTCCCTCGTCGGACATGTCGGCCGTGTCGCGCATGGCCTGCTCAACGAGATCCTCGTCGGGCGCATCGTCCATGGTAACGTCGCCGTCCTCCAGAGTGTTACTGCTGTTGCCGTGGTCGTTACTGGTGCTTTGAGACGAGTGGTGGTTGTTAGTGGCATGGTCGCCGTTCGGAGTCGGGGTAGCACGTGGTTCCTGGTCGGTCGCATGGATCAAATTGCCCAGCGCAGCACGGGAGGGCGTCGATGGTGACGCCGATGAAGGACCGGCGTTCTTGCCATGGCTGTGTGCGTCCAAGGAGGCATCGCTCTGCTTGACGGGAGACTTGGAAGCACGGGGCGACCAGGGGACGGAATTTTGTTTGCCCGGTGATGACAGACGAGCACTACCTGGGCTGGACGCATGCGTTGGCTCACTGTTGGTGCTGTTCAGCAGTGAGGACAGCATGATGGGCTGGGGACGGGTGTCGGCCCAGCCGTATGCTGTTGGTCGCTAATGCAGCGCGGGGTGCGGTGATGTGATGGGTGGTTGTGGTGGATGGATGGATTGGGGACAGTGGTGGATGGATGGATGGTGGTGAGGAGTGGTGGTGTGGTGGTGGTGGTGGTGAGCTAGTTGAGAGTTATGGTGGTGACGAGGAAGGGGGGTGGGATGATGGTGTTCTGCGTTTGCGCGCAGGGGTATCGGTGGAAGGGGAGAAGGGGGGGCAGGGCAGCTAGCGGTTGGCGCGTTGATGGGCAGGCCAGTCAGCCCCAGCTCCGAAGTACCGACGAGCGCGGATGTACTCTGCAAAGGGGGGGCGACCATGTGCGTTGGCTTGGCCTTGGGTAGCCGGGTGTGTCTGACTTGTCATGCTCTGCAGAACTTGACTTCTGCTTGGCCACTCCCCGAACCGCGCGCCAAATCCGCGCCAGCCGACCAAAGATCCCACCGGTGGAGGCGTAGCCCCGTGTAGCCACCCATCTTCCATCTGCAGAGCGGGACCTTTTTCGAAATTCGTACCTCGCACGGCCTCCACCGCCGCCGCTCTCCAAAGCTCTTTACGGGTGATCGCGGGGTCCGTTCCAAGTCTTGTTCGTCTGCACTTGCCACTCGGGGCGTTCCCCGGTCACATGCTAGGTATGTAGGCTGTGTACCTGCGTACAGTGTTTGCATGATCTGTGTGAAGCACGCAAGTCCCGTGGGACAAAAGGAACATCCTGTGTTAGATGGATCCGAGTAGTCCTTGACACAGTAATCCATGCCGCGGCCATGTCCATCGCAGCAGGTAGTGAGCAGCCGCGCAGAAGTCACCGATGCCGATGCCACTGCGATGAAAGCTGCGCGTAAACAAAAAAATTGATTCCGCCCTCCGGGATGGCTGCCAGGCTTGGGCGTCCGTTTTGAGTTCCCACGTGGATCGTGAGGATCTGCTGCGGTGAATCGAGACTTTTGCAGGCTGTACAGTTTGAGGGCGCGCCCCTGGGAACGACAGGAACGACTGTCTATCACCACTGCGGTGTGGCCTCAGGGCTCACGCCAGAGTGCTCCTTAATCAAGCACCACCCTGTCGTTCGCGCTCAAAGTGCCCTCCCACAGTGCTCCTATTCTGATCACACCCAAGCCTTCAGGCGCCAGCCTTGACAACTAGCAGCAGACCCACCACTGGGATCGACCACCAACCTTGCGTACTCCGTTTCTCGTCTTCCTTCGTCTCTCGTCCTTCCTCCCATCTTTCTTCTACCCCTTCTTCTCATCAACACACGCTTCCACACGGCCAGCACTCCCCACCATGGTGCTCCCGCGTCGTCAGCTCTTCTTCGCCGCCCTCGCCGCAACCTCGGCCTGGGGTGCCATCGTCAAAGGTCAATGGGGTGAACAGTGCGAGTAAGTCACGGGTTTCTCAATGTCACACACAGACGATGCGATGCTGACAATCCAGCCTCGGAAAAAACCATCTCGACCAGTCCACCTGGAACCTGGTGACCGACTGTGCCGCCAACCTTTACTGCGACAAGAACGGAACTTGCGCCTACCGTGGATGCCGTCAGGACATTGTGAGTTGCGATCAGCTCGGATTTGTTACTGCAAGCTGACCTACAGTACCCGATCGGATACTCTGGCGTCCGCTTCGATGACCTTCCCCCGCTCTGCCGCGACGGCGAGTTCTGCCCCGACGAGGGAGACCACTGCATGCCGCAGTCTCCGCCGGGCGGGCCGTGCCAGAAGGATCGCGACGAGCAGTGCCAGCCGCCGGAGCACCGCGAGGGACTGGCGACGTACCTGAACGTGAACGGCTCTATTTGTCTTAACTTCCAGTGCTACCACGCCAATGTTACCGCGGGCGAGACGTGCATTGTCGAGAACACGCAGTACATTTCGACGGCGGACGACGGAACCCAGTTCTCCTACGTTGTGTCGCGCGACAACTGCGCCAAGAACTACTACTGCGACGGCACGACGCTGCAGTGCAACCCGAAGAAGAAGCGACACGAGCCCTGCGGTGCGCCCAAGGAGTGCATGTCGTACAACTGCCAGGACGACGGCAAGGGTCACAAGCTCTGCGGCAAGGCGGCCGATGAACCCCTCAAGCCCCAGCCGTGGGTGTACGTCGTCATTGGTCTTGCGATCGTCATTGTCATTGCGGGCGTCATGGCCGGTCTCTGGCTGCTCCACCGCAAGGCTCGTGAGGAGAACCAGATCAAGCTCGAAAACTACTACAACGAGCAGATCGCCTATCGCCAGTCGATCATGAGCATGAGCCACGCCAAGAACTCGCTCTTAAGCCTGCCGGCGGGTACGACGCCCGAGGGTGCGCGCGCGTCTCTGTACGAGGGCCCCAACGGCCTCCTGCCCCCCAACATCCGTCGCGAGAGCACGGGCGCTCTGTCCGAGGACTCGGAGATTCTCCTCCACGACCAGCTCGCGCAGGCTTCGGGCTCGCAGCCGCAGATGTCTCAGGCGAGGCACCGTGGCTACGTCGCAACGCAGTAAGCTGTCCGCGCCGAGACGCCGATGGTGTCGAGGGTGCGTGAGCTGCGCGCTTGACTTCCGCCCATGGACTTTGAGGGCGCCGAGTACATTGGACTCCCCGCCCTCACCTGTACCCCTCCTACATTCATAGCCCCCGCCCGACTCGTCGGGCTCACCAGCCTCAATGATTCACGATCCTTCCCAACCCCAGGCTTACAGCCAAGACTTGATGGACATATGCATTTGATTACGCTAGCGCGAGCGAGCGAAGCGCGTGAGAGTGGCGAGGTGAGGAGCGAGCTTGCTCGCGGTCGAGGGTGCTCAGTCCGATAGGCAGTGATGAGAAAAGAGTGATGATCAATGAATGTGCATGCCAATGCTATCTGCCCTCTAGTTGGCGGCCGCGAGCATCTCCTCAACCGTCCTAAACTTCTCCCTCTCCTCCCTCCCCGTCTTCTTCCCCAATTCCCTCTCCGCTTTGTCTACCCGTCCCCATCTCTCCACATCAATGACCTTGCCCTCCTTGAGACCCCTCTCGACCTCATCAGGCCGACCCCCCTCCGCAACATCAGGCAACCACCGCTCGCCCTCTCCCTTCTGCCGTCCAGAAGAGGACAGGTCATCGATAATGTTGTCCGCCACGGCGTAGGCGTCCTGCATCGTGCTGGCAATGACGCCGACGGGGCCGCGCGCGACCCATCCCGTCGTATACACTCGTGGCACGAGCCCAGACTCGGTGCGAACTCGCCCCGCGTCGTTGACAATCTTGCCCGTCGCGTGTGGGAGGAAGTCGGAAATAGGCTCAGACTTGTACCCCACGCTCTCGATCACCATGTCTGTGTCCCTCGTCTCGCTCCGGCCAGTGGACTTGGCCTTGCGCCCGCCGTCGACGAGCTCGTTTTCGCCCCACTCGACACTTCCCACCACACCCGAGTTGGAGGAGGAGGGGTTGAAGCGGATCGGCGAGCGCAGGAATTCGAACGCAAACCGGCCCCCGGGGCCTGAGAGGGGTTTCTCCATCAGTCCCAGTTGACGGGTGCGCATTCTGTCGCCCTTGGTCGCCTCCTTGGCCGCAGCTTGCAAGTCGGGGGGCAGTCCCGGATAGTTGATCCCGGGCAGCTTGGTCATTTCCCGCAACTCCTTGGTCGTGAATGCGACCTGAGCGGGACCTCTGCGTCCGACGATACGCACGTCGTCGACGGCCTTCTTCGCCAGCGTGTCGATGACGGACTGCGGGATGTCGCTCTTCTCCAGCACCGAGACGGGCTGCAGGAGCATACGGCCAACGTCCAGTGCGACGTTACCTTGTCCCACGACATCTACTGATTTGATGTTCGACAAGTCGATGGGCAGATCGGCGTACGCCGGGTGGCCGTTGTACCAGCTCACGAAAGCGAGGGCGGGGAAGACATTGCCCAGGTCCGTTCCCGGGATACCGAGCGGGTTGGAGAGCGAAGCGCCGTAGGACAGGATGAGAACGTTGTAGTACGGCTTCAGCGAGGCGAGGGGGAGGTGCACGGCCGAGGGGTAGGTGTAGGTCGGGATGTGGGGGACGGTGCCTGCTGATGAGCCCGCGGGAGGAGACGATGAGGAGTGGTCGGGGTTGCCGTCTCCGATGCAGACGTTGCCGAGGAAGGTGAAGCGGGGGTCTTGGGTCATTTCGTCAAACTTGTGCTGGCAGTTCTGTTCGTTAGCGACGAGCTTGTGAGCGGAAAGTGCAGGCGAGCAGGAAGTCGCCTGGAACAGAGTCCAGCAACGGGGTGTCCTCCAGCAATCGGACGCACCTTGACCTCTGGGTGGTCCGGAGCGACACCATAGCGCGACAGTCCGTACGGTGTCGGTAAGCGCTCGTACATGTCGACACTGAGACGACTGCCCAACGGCGAGTCGGCAGGAAGAAGCTGCAGCAGTCTGCTGGCCGTGTAGAACCCAGACGGGCCCGAGCCGATGACGGCGACCTTGATCGGGTCGCTGCTGCTGGCGTACCCTCTCACTCGGGAGAGGGCCCGTGGCGGAAGACGGAGGTGGTGTAGGCGGCTCAACATGGCAGTGCAGAGCCTGTGTGGTGAAGTGAGTGGTCGAGAATGAGGTCACTGCCGGGACTCGAATTTCAGAGAACGATACTGGCCGAGTCACCGATCTGACTTCGCCGATCGCCGAACACACACCTGTCGGCTTAATCGGCCCTGCATACTGGTCCTTTCGCTCGATATACTAGTCAACGACTCGCAATCGCGTTCCAGTCCCCCACACTTACACACTTGTAATACACATTGCATTATGTTACATACAAAGGATACACACGAACTTCACTGAACTTCACTGAACTTCACTTTTTAGCTTTGAGGCGGCTGGAGGAACGCGTTCCCTTGGCGCCCGACTTGGCCTTGGTCTTCTTCGCCTTGGACGTTGATGGGCCCGCTGAGGCCGATGGAGTGGCACTGTCGACCATCGATGGCGCCACCGGGTCAAGCTCGTCGAGCAGCGAACGCAAATGCTTCGCAGCCACATCGAATGGAGTCTGCGACGATGAAGCGCCTGACGACGTGTTAGGCGGTGAGACGCCAAAGTAGTCGCGGTTCGTCGCCTTGCCGTCGTCCTCGGCCTTCCAGCGGTCGAGCTGAGCGCGGATCGCCTTGGCCTTGAGGCGGAAGTGCGTCTTGACCTCGTTCTCGAATGGGAAGTGTGGGTTCTTCAGGTTGTTCGCCATCGCGTCCACAAGTACCATGCGGCGAACATTGGCCGAGTATGCCTTGCTCGAGGCGGTCTGCGGTTAGTTTTGCTTACATTAATGCAACTCACGCCCGCCTGGTTGGCCCACCCTGGCTCGTTCAGGTATGGCTCATCACAGAAGATGAGACTCTGGATCGAGATGAGCACCTGCAGCAGCGTCGACTTGCCCGAGATCCACCCAGGACCGCTCCAAGTGCCCAGCAGCGAGAGGCACACTTTGCCGTCCGCATACAAGTTAGGGTTGTAGCGGTACTTGCCGCCGTTGGTCGTCATCGACTTGACGAGCGGGCACGAGTGGTTGTAGTCGAGCGGCAGGAAGATGTCAAACAGGAAACACCCGTTCTCGTACGGCGTGCCCTCGGGGCCGATAATCATAGCCTTGATGCAGTCAACGCGTGCGTCGTCGACACGGATGAAGATGGTCGATCCCCATGCGGCGGGAAGGCTAGTCGTCAGAATTGCGAGCTCCTTCGCAATCGCGAGCGAGCGCTTGGGGGCGTCCTGATGTAAGCTGGCTGCAGATGCTTTCAGTAGCTTACCGTTCCCACGAGCGTCTGAATATTGTTATTGTACGCATGCGCGTACTTGATCTTGGACGGGTCTCCGGGGTCGTGCAGGTCGCAGTAGCGGAAGCGCACTCTCTGCGCCCACTCCTCGTCTGCGCGGTTAGCTACATCGAGCCATTGGCTAAAAGTCAGCTACACTCACAAACTTTCATAGTCGTCTCATCAGTAGCAGACGTCTCGATCTTGGGCTGGTCTTCCTCCGTCTCATACAGGCGAGGGAGAGACTCGAGCATGCGATTAACGAACGCGCGGCCCTTGGTCGCGACGAGTAGACGGTCGATCTCAGTGCGCGCATCCAGAATGCGATCACTGGCGTCAGCTTCATTGATGCATCAACTTACCAGAAAGCAGTCAGCATCGCGTTCTGGGTACCCGCAGCAGTCACTGCGTTCTCCCTCTGCTTCTCCTTCCTCTTCTGAGCTTCGGCGAGCGACTGCTGGAGAGGGTCGAGCTCATCACTGTCGGGGTCGGACGCTTCGGGGGCGGACGTGGACGAGAGGCCCTTCAGCGCCGCGGTGGCCTGGATAACGACGGTCTCGAGCAACTCGCGGGGACTTGGGGCTCCCTCATACGTGACCTCGACTGTGTCATCATCAGGTCCGGGAACGGCCTTGACAGCACGCATCTGAGGCATAGCCAGCATGCTGGCGAGGACCTCGTGACTGGAGACCACCTCGAGCCAGTCGAACAGCGCATGGTAGATCTCGGCGCGGTTCGACATGTCCATGAGAGAGTCGTTGCGAAGAAGGTCGCTAACAAAGGAGCTGCGACGGCGGAGGTGGGCCAGAGCGGTTGGGTGCACCAGAAGGTCAGTCGTGTGCCCGCGCTTCACGGCAGGAAGATACGCGCGGACCTGGGACAGAAGCTTGGCGGTCGTCTGGTCCTTGAGGAACTGCGACTTCTCGGCAGCGATCTCGCCAGAGCGCTGTCTTATCAGCTTTATTGAATGTTTTCGCCACAGAAGCTGTACTCACATCTTCGTGCGCGGCGCCGCTGTATCCAGTACCCTTCGGGGCAGCCTGGCCACGTCCGCCGAACCCTCCGAAGCCGTAACCTCCGTCGCTATCGGAGGAGTCATCGTCGCCGCCTTGCATGGTGTTCAGGAGTTTCCCTAAAGCGCTCGTCTTCCTTTTCTTAGCCGGAGGCACTCCCGTTGGCTTCTCGATACGAAGCTGGCTGCCGAATTCCTGCTCAATCATGTGGAGGGCGACGCCGAGGATAGCGCCTTGAATGGTAGGACAGTGGAACAGAGCCTTGGACTCCTTTCCGTCGGGCGACCCTCCCTTCTCAGGGGAAGGCTCGCGGACAGGATCCTCGCATGCCGAGCACACCTTGATGTTGCACTTGGGGCACTTGCGTTGAATGTGCCGCTCGAGGTGCGAGACGTAGGCAGGGAAGTCGGGCTGAAAGCAGTCAGTACGCCCTCGCAAGACGGAAACTCACAAGCAGAGCGAAGAAGTCCTCCGGAGCGCGGTCAAACTCGTGCCCGCAGCTGTTAGGGCAGGCGAACTTGCCAGACGTAAGCTTCTCGTACAGCTGGAACAAGAAACTCTGCTCGTCTGTCCAATTAGCTATGTAGCGATTCGAGGGCAAGTGCTCACTTCCTTCGGGACAGCCACTCATCCACTCGCCACGACTAAGAACGCGGACCCGCATTGTCTGTCCCGCGTTGTCCTCGCCGTTAGGGATGGGGATCTGCGCGAAGATCGACTTGAGGGCGGGCTCGAGCAAAGTCTCCGTGCGTTCCTTGGAAAAGAACACGTTGGCATACGGATCCAAACAAGCTGCTGCGCCATCCTCGTCCATGAAGTCTAGCCGTCAGCTCGATGTTCGTTTCTGATCAGCCTCTCCTCACGCACCATCGAGCTCAAACCCCTCATTGTCGTTCTCGCTCATGACGTCCTCGTCTCCGTCAGAGAGCATGGATACATCTCCCTCCGAGTGATCTCCTTGACTGGTAGAGTCGGGAGTCTGCTGTCAGTTCATGCAGTCCTCCTCAGCTCACGGGGAGCCCGCTCTGCGGATTGGTAGTCACCGGGTCGCCCTCGTCGTCAGAGGCGATATCGTCGAATTCGCCACTGAAGACGCGTTCCTGGATGTCAGGGAAAGTTCAATGTTCGCCCTTGGAGATGCCGGTTCTGCCCCAGTGGGACCTCGTCCTGAGCGAGTCCGGCCGGCCGGCAAGAACAAAGGCTGGCAGTTACTCACGGCAGCGGCCATGGCATCGCCTTTGGAGCGGTTCAGAGCTGCCAGAGCTCGGCCGCGGGGGATGCCCTGATGTCAGCTTGAAGCGATGCGGGGAACTCACCATGTCCAGGAGCTGCCTGAGGGAGACGTCGTTCGCAGACATCACGACAGTGCAGCTACTGCGTGGGAACTAGTCCAGCTCTTATCGGAACAGGTAGCTGATGAGGGGGGTGACGGTGCAGGTGATAGGGAAGACACGATAGTCGACAGATCAGCTCGAAAGTCTGAAAGAGAGGAGAGGGAAGGTGGAGGGCGGCAAGGGTCAAAGGGTCGTAATGATGCGCGTCAAGGGCGTCGGTTGCGTCGTGGTGGGCTCGTGATAGGGTCGGGACAATGGTCTGACGAACGGATAAGATAAGAAGGAAAGTGAAGAGAAGTCGAAATGAGAAGTGTGCAGGAAGGAAAGAGTTAAACGAGAAGTGGGCGGAAGAGAAAGGACGGGTTGTTGATGAGTGTCAGCTGTCCGTGCACGATGTGCGGATGTGGAGGCAAGGGGAGGGCGTTCGGTTAGATAGGTGGGATTCGAGTGACACTGGTGAGGATGAGGTGTGCACTCTGCGCGTCTGCGGCAGGGGCAAGGGCGAGCAGGGACGGGACGGGCGCAAGCGTGTGTGTACTGCTGCGGAGATCGAGGAGAGGAGTGCAGAAGAGATGACTGGATAAAACTGGACTTGGTCTGCCGACTAGAGCATGTCGTGCATTCACTGTCGCTCGGGGTGGCTGAGTGCCTGTCATGTGCACCAAAGTACGCCAGAGAACCCCGCTGACCCTGCAACACCACCGTGTTTGAGGTTTCGGGATCATATTAGCTGGTAGTCTGTACAGTTGTGCAGTGTCCAGCGTGCGAGACGCATACGTCAAAGCCCGAACCCTATCTCTCTTGTCATTGTTGGAGCAGCAACCACCTGGACGACTCCAATCGTCTCTGCTGTATCTTGAGAACTTGGGCAAGCACGGGACGCAAGACCGGCTCGCCGTCTCGTAACCTTGGTACTTGGTCGTCGATCCAGGCACACCTCACCCAGCACCGGGCGAATGCGAGGCTCTGGACCGTGACCTAACCCGCAAACCAAGAGACGTTGCGGTATGCCAACAAGCCTCCTCGACTAACTTTTCAGCACCGCCGGACGGTCACTGGCGGGCGACACGGGCACTGACGGGCGCCGGGAAGAAGTATCAATGCGGAAGTGGCTCGTCGCTCGAGTTGAAACACCATCGCTTCTCCGGAGTGTGACCTCACTGATAAAGGCTCCAAACGTCGTAGCTCACGATGCAAAGCTTGCAGTCTGTTGCCGAGGCTGCCGAGCGTCTCGTCCATGCTCGGCACGAGAGACTACGTCGTGAGTGACGCGGTCTCTACCGGACTGCTCATTGGGCCGCATCGGATCCCAGTGTCCTGGTTGGGGTCGTGAACCATGACAGCATGGCTGCCAGCTGCCACTTCTCCACAGCTTACTCCACCTTGGATGATTCCCCCCGCCCACCAAGCGCTGTGGACTCGCATGGAGCGTACCCAGAGACCCAGGCTGAGCTGCAATGCAACACAGAATGAAGACATGCCATAAGCCTGGAAGCGTCCGTATTATGACGCGGAATACACAAATACAACATCGTACAATACGCTTGCACTAAAGCAGTCTAGTCAACGACGAGTAGCTCCTGTGTCTGTCAGTTCCGTTGACCATGCGTTAACTCACGAAATGATAAGCACGACAACTTGAATAAGTCCCCAGAGGAAGGGCACCCATCTGTCCGGTCAGCTTGGAGTTTGCATCGCACAGCTCTTCTGCCATGCCCCCAAATCGATGTACTCACGTAGACATACTAAATCCACCGGCTGCATAGATGGCCGCGAGCGCGAAGCCGACGACAGTCCCCGAAACGAGGGACACGAAAGCCGCGGTTGCGGCCATGCAGACGGGGATCAGCGCGAAGAGCCACAGCGGCAGCGGCTTGATCGTGTAGTACAACGGCGTCACGCCGTGGTGGTCGTGCCCTGGTTGTCGCTCATGGTCGCGTTCTTCCTTTGGTGACCACACAAAGCGGGATAGCAGCAGGTTGACGAGCGCGGTCATCGCACAGATGCAGAAGACACCGCAGGTCATGATGATTGTCCAGATCAGGGTGAACTCCCATTGCGCTGGAGGTCAGCTTCAATCGCCCCAAGTGCGCAGCTAGCTCGATGTCTTTCTCAATTCATCTGCTGCCCCCTCCTAGCCATCCTGAGACTCGAAGATGCAGCAATACTGAGGAATGCGCGGAAGAAAGACAACTCACCATTAGCATCATGGAGGAAGTAACCTTCCCCGTCGACGGTCGAGTCGAACGTCGGGTTATATAAGGATGGGAACGGCGGGTTGTCGTAAACTACGGGCACCTGTGAGTCCGGGTCGAACGCGGATTGCACCTGTCCCATGGTCGCGGAGACATTGGTGGGTAGTGTGACAACTCACAAAAGTACGGCAACGGCGGAGCGATGTAGGCGCGCCTAAGGAGGGCAGACATGATCGCCACCGAGGTGGAAGCTCAGGTTGGTTCCGCTGTGGGGCCCACACTGGAAATCGTGCGCCCTGCGTTGGCTGTAATTCGGCGATCAGTGGATGCTGCTATGCAGTGGAATGAGTTACACGAGATGATGCGAGCAATGTGGAGAGCGATGATGAGGACAGAGAAGAAGTTGGACAGAACGATAACATGTGGTAATTATGCATATGGTCTGTGCTGCGCGCACAGGTAAGGCGGCGTTCCCACCTTCCTGAAGCATGCCTCGGTGCTCTATTCCAGGCTCGAATCCGGTGCTCGCATCCGAGCATCTGCGGCCTCCACAACCCTTCCCTAGGCTTTCGCCTTCTTCGCCTCGCGCTTCTTCTTCAGCGCCTCCATTCTAGCCTTGAGTGCGAGCACGCGGTTATCCGCATCTTCCCTGCGACCGTCAGTTGCAACAAGAGAGACCCAACTCACTGAGCACGCTGCTCCTCCTCGAGACGGGCAATGATCTCCTCCTTCTCCTCGCGCGCTAGACGCTCTCTTCGCTCCTGCTCCGTCTCTTCGGGCTCTGGTGTCGGCTCTTTCTCCTCACCCGCCTCGTTGCGTTGAATTAAAACTGGGGCAGCGGAGATGGACGCGACGCCGTCTTCCTCAGACTCTTTGTACCCTACCCGTCGCTTCTTGGTCGCTTTTGTCTTAGCCGTCTCGCCCTGCTCGGCTGCTGTCGGTGCTGGCGCATCATCGACGTCGTTCAGAGAGGCGAGGAAGGCGTCGAGCTCGGCGTCGCCCTTCTTCTCCTCCTTTGGCGGTGGGGCAGAAGATTCCTGCTCGTCGTCCTCGGCGACGCTCGGCCCGTTTCCTGACGAAAAGAAACCAGGGGGGAGCGATAGCCTGTCGTCCTCCTCCTCCTCTGGTTCCGGCTCCGTGACGCGTTGCCGCTTCGCAGTCTCCGGTTCCGGTTCGGCGGCCTGTTTCCGCTTCGCGGCGGCAGCCGCACGCTTAGCCTCCTCTGCCCTCTCGCGCTGCACGCTTTGCCGATGTTGTTTCGTAAGCAGGTGCGCATCCCACTGCTTCACTTTCCTGTCAGCTAAACCAAATCGACAATGAAGCTGTGGTTCACAAAGGGTGGAGAAGGGGGTAACGGAGTGGAGGAAAGGAGGAGGGGAGAGCTGAACTCACCTGGCACGGCACACACGATGCAGCGCAACTGTCCCGACGCATTGTAACTCGCGTAGGGGTGCTGAACCTTCGCCGCCGCCTTCTGCGCGCGGAGGAGGGCTTTCGCGTCCATGATGAGGGATGGATTGATGTAAGGTCGGTTTCAGAGATTTGTTGTGAATTAGTCGCCGAGTTCAGGTCCCGTGGTCGAGCGACCTCCACCTCCACCGCTGGCGTCACGGCGTCGATCGCCCATGCTTCTTGCCTTCCCTCTTCACCGTCTTTTCTTTCACCTCGCCCTGACCCCAACCTGAACCGCAAGGATGCTTGCTGGAATGCTGGGACGCTGGGTCCTTGGCTTCACGCTGCTCGCTGGCGCCCTCGCTGATACTGAGATCCGCAACTTCCGCGTTCCGCTCGATGGCCCAGGCAGCGCTGTCGTCCCAAACGTGACGTGAGCTCATTTGCTGACTTACAGCGTATAAACTGACAGGCAGGATCGGTGGCTCAGAGCACATCCAGCTCGAGGTGAACAAGGATCAGCCCGAGGTGTGGGTCGGCCTCCGCGGTGCGCCGGGCATGTGGACTGCGCGCGTCTCCTGGCCAGCGAGTGTAAGTATCCCGAGCCGTTGCTCCGCCCCTCTCCAATGTCGGACCCGTTGAAGATTATCCTAGCTGGGCAACTCTTGTTGCAAGCTGACTCCAGAACCCGGCCAAGTTCGACATGCAGCTGATTCCCTCGAAGACGGACCTGACTCTCCTGCACATCACATCCGAGCCTCTGACGCCACGACTACGCCACGCGCCGTTGGAGGAGCGTGGACTCATTCAGCCGTCATCAGCTGGGGAATGGGACTACGACACGCCGTTCGATGTCGCGTTCGAGCCACTCGTGCTCGGTGCCGTGCCGCAGGCGACGTTCCGCACGCTCCTGCCCACCATTGGAATGCTGCTGCTCCTCGGCGCTGGACTTGCCAAGTACTTCTTCAACCTGCTCGAATTTGAGCTCGAGCGAGTCGACAAGGAGGAGGCGCAGGATATCATGGCAGCCGGAGGCGTGAGGAAGACCCAGTAGACGATTGTAGTTGTACATGCCAAACATATGATCATTAATGCTGCTGACGAGAGGCGGCCTGAAAACAGGATTGAGAGAGGAAAGAAGGGAAAGATGTACGAGAGTAGGAGAATTGGGGGGTAGAGGGATGGGTGGATGCTTGCTTGTTGCTACAATGGGGATACTACAGCTTGAGAACCTCGGCCTCGACGCCGGCCATATCTGCCTCGTCATCCTCAACGAGACCGAGAGCGTTCTGTTTGGAGGGCTGGGAACGCAGGCTGCGCCTGCGGCCCGTGACATCCGCTGAATCGGAGCTAAGGCGCCTCGTCTTACGAGGGCTACTAGCCTCTGTCGATGCAGAGCCAGTCGAAGACCTCGGCGCGCGAAGTGCCGGCGCTAGCGGCGCAAGTGCTGGGGCGGGTTTCGCTGGAGGTGGAGGTTTCGTCGGGGAAGGCGTCGGCTTCCCCCACTTGAGCGTGGTCTGGAGCGAGCCGCTCTTGGGACGCTGCAGCTTGAGACGGAGCGGCACCGGTGATGGCACTGAAGCCGGGCTATGTGCGCTGGGTTCGCTCAACACGGGTGTCGGCGTTGCAGCGACGCTGGCGGGACTCGACGGATCACAGTCGCTCAAGCTCGATAAGGAGCTGCTCCGGCTGCGCTGTCGCTGGCGCTCCTCTTCGGCTTTCTTCCGTGCCGCTTCCTTTGCTGCGGCTTCGCGAGCGGCTGCTTCTCGCTGTGCACTCGAGAACAGGCGAAGTTTGATGACCGGCTTGGGAGTCGATGGAGGCGGAGGCGAGCTAGCGGGACTCGCAGCGAGCCCTTTCAGCGCCTTCTCCTTCTCTTTTTCCTTCTCCTTCTGACCCTCTTTCGGAAGAAGCTCGTCGTAGCGTCGAAGCACCTCAAGACCCTCTTTGATGAGATGGCGGCGGAGCCAGTCATTTCCCATAGTAGTCAATTTGCGCCGTCCACGCTGCCAGGTCTCATCGCCTTCCCGCGCCAGAATCGCGGCCACCATGGACACCCATTGCGTCTGTGGCAGGTTGCGTAGCAGATCCACGCGCGCCTTCATCTTGTAGCGGTTGAACTGCAGTTGCTCGCGTTCTCGGATACGCTGGCGCTTCTCAAAGGCCTCGAAGCGCCGGTGCTGCGCTTCGTAGTAAGCGTCACTTGTGTCTTCGATCTGGAGGTCAGCTGGACGAATGAGGTTCAAGAAGCGGAGGCTCACCTCGAGACCGACTACGCCGTGTCGCAGTCGCTTCGATGGGGAGCGATTCGGACCTGCGACCATCTCCTGGCGGGCTTCCTCCGCGTCGTCTTCGCCCGCCTTGACCATGATCCACGCTGGCGTTTCGATGCGCTTCACTCCGGGCACCGGCGTGTTCAGAGCCGAAGACACATGCGAGCCTTCCCCGGCGAGAGCACTGCCCGGAACCAAACCGGGCGCTAGCGTTGAAAGAACCGTTGTGAGAGCGGGAGCCGACGGGCCGGGTGTGCTTGTTGCTCCTGTCGGCGTCACAGCGTGCTCTGCGTTCATGGGTGCCGTTGAAGGACCGGCTTGCATGCTGTTGTCCTCGACGGCGTACGTGCCCTTCAATGGTGCCGTAGTTACGCGCACGACGACGCTTTCCGGCGGCGCAGGATCTATGTCCCCTGTGACTAGTCAGTTTTACGCAGTCGTCTGGGCGCCATGTGTGGGCAGCGAGCTGGCGTAGAGCACTGCACCAGGCAGCTCGCAGCTCGATGACACTCACCCCAACGCTCAAGCCAGTCCACGACCATCTCCTCTATGTCGCGTATTCCCTCGGCACCTCCACCAGCTGCCCGCCGCACTCGCGCGGGAAGAACACGGCGTTCGGGGCCCTTGACCTTCTCCTTTCCCTTAGCTGGACCGGGCGAGGGCGTTCCCCCGTTCAAGTTCGGATCGCGGGGCGGGGGCGGCACACGAAGCATAGGCTTCAGCCTACCGGTCCGCGGCGAGGCGCGGACAGGCATCGTGTCGGTCGCCGTGGGGTGTCGTTTGCGATGGTGATGGTGGTTGTTGACAATGCCGACCGGGAGAGCCGAAGCCGTTCCCTTGCCCAATCCGGCGGTCTCGTTCCTCGTCCCTCACCAGTCTGAATCCGCCGCACACTAACTACTTAGATTCACTCTCACCCACTCACTCACTCATCACCCGCTGGTTGCTTCCTCCCGACCTTCTTTCTGCATTGTCTAACTCCTCAACGAGATAGCCGCTTCCACTGGTGAAAGCACTTGGAATCAATAATCACATCTCCATTACTACGTAAACTACAAAGTATTAACACGACTCCTAAGCTAGCGGCATACTCTTCTCCGAAACGCCTATTCACACTACTAACGTCCGTCTCTCTCTCAAGCCGCGCCATAACCTACTGGGTGACGTTCCTACTCGCCTCTCCTCCAACGACCTCTACCGCATCGCTCGCCGGCGCAGGGCTGGGGCAGCGACTGCCGATCGGTGTAACCGCGCGAGACAACGGAGCCGACTTGAAGGAAGAACGGGAAGCGCGCCTACTGCCGAGCTCGTTCGCGGTGGAAGTCCCAACGACCTCATTGCCGGTGGCAGGAGCAAGAGTGACTCCTGAATGAGCGCGCAGACGCATGGAGCCGACGTCGGCAGATGTAATGCAGTTGCGTTCGAGAAGGAGAGAAGTAGGGGTGACAGGACGGGTATTGGACTGGACACTTGGACGAGGCGACGTCGGACGAGCGATCGGCTCGGGCGTCGCCTCGATTACGGCTCCGTCCGCTGAGAGAGGAAGAGGAGCAGACACATCGCTAGTCGTAATCCGGGATGCGCGGCCCAGAGTCGCGTAACTGGCCGACTTGGCCAAGTAGTCGACGTCTTCCATGGGGACAAAGGAGCAGTCCGTGCCGTCGTGCTTATCGTATTCGTCATAGATCTCCTCGCCGATGAGCTCTTCAAGAACATCCTCGAGTGTGATGATGCCGAGCGGCTGACCCTCGAGAGTATCGAAGAACTGAACGAGCTTCTCATCGGGGATTGCAGCATCAGCAGGGACGGCCTGGTCAAGCTGGCTGAGGCGAGTCGCCTTCTTCGCAACAGAGACCGAACGACGAGCCTGCTGGCGGTGCTGCTGCTCAGTGGCGGCTTTCTCGTCGGTGATACCAGTGGCAGTGGGGTCGATTGTGTCGTTCACAGCAGTAGTGCTAGACATGGGGGTCCCCCCGCTCTTCTTGCGGAAAAGCTTCAAGAAGCCCTGCTCGACGTCGACAGTGTCGGCGTCAGAGCCTCCCTTGCCACGGACGGAGCGCATGAACCGCTGACGAAGACTGCCGGCAGCAACAGCGGCGACAGACTGCTCGTTGCAAGTGGCGTCGGCGACACGACCGCGGCGCGAAACGATGGCCATGTGCGAGCGGCCCTCCTGGAAAACGTTCAGGACGTTGGTGAGGCGTTCGTCGTAGGGCACAGTGGGAAGCGAGTTGATCGGGATGGAAGCCAGAGGCGTGGCATCGTCGGGGTCAAGGAGCACGCAGCTCTTGACGAGCATACTACCGATGATCTTCTTGACCGTCTTCGTCTTGGGAGGACCGGGAGTGGGGCGAGTCAGGTCAATGTCGGGGACCTCGATCATCGTGTACACGGGGATGCGACTGTGGCCAGAGCGAACAACCCGGTCGAGGGTCTTGTAATCCAAAGTAGCATCGATCGGGAGCATGAACACATCGTCAATGGGCGTCATGGCAGACTGAACCGTCTTCTGAGCGAGGTCAAGAGCCCCCTGGGCGATGATGACAGTGTCGCAGTCGAGATCGCCACCGGCGTGGCCGTTCGCGGCGTGGATCTTGATGAGCTCGCGCAGTTCCTTGCGGCGGTACACGATGCCGTGGTGTGCGCCGAGAATGAGCTCGAGCAGCTTCGCAATGGGCCAGCCGAGAGGGATGAAGATCCAAATGAGCACCCGCATGACTGGCGCCATCTTGGCTCCGATTGCGAGGCCATAGCGAGAGCAGACCGACTGAGGGATGATCTCAGCAAAGCTGAATCGTCAGTTCAGCTCGGCGCGACCAACTCACATGACGACGAGGACTGTCGAAATAATGACAGCGTAGATGCCACCGCCGAGCACACCATCGGTGATGACCGGAAGCGCCTCGTTCACGATCATGTTGCCGAGAATGAGCGTGGTCAGAAGGAGGTGGCTGTCCTTGCTGCGATGGTCAGTCGTGCCACTTGCCATTGTGCTTACCGAACGGGCATGGTCCTGCGGGCGTATTCTTGCTGCTTCGGAGTACCTGAGACGGCGAGAACTTGCAGCTGCGTCTGGTCGACGGAGAAGTAACTGCGGTTGGTTAGCAGACTGGATTGACACCGCAAGTCGAGGCACAGTAGTGCTGCATTGTACTCACGCAAGGGTCAGGCCAGCAAACACGCCAGACAGACAGACGAGGACGGGGATCATGCACGCGAAGACGATGCGCTTCGTGTCCATGTGACCGGACTCGAGGTGGCGTTTGGCGAAAGCATGGTCGGCGGCCTGGGGGACGAAGTTGTATCCGGCAGATGAGGCGATGGAACTCACGCCCCAGCTGGCGGCGGCACCGATGGCGTTGAGGAGAGGCGTAGGGCGCTGGTGGTCGGAAGGCAAGGGGTAGTGCTCAATGGGCTGAGCGTGGGCGGAGACAACCTTGAGGCAAGAAAGGCTCAAGAGAACAAGATACAGGGGAAGAGGTGTCGCGGTGCTGTTCCCGGTGAAGCGAGGAGACTCGAGATCATGCTGTGGCGCTTGAAGGGGACCGGTATCGGGGGAGGGATCGCCCCAGGACTTGTCGCCGCAGACGGCCATTGGAACAAACGATTATGGGTAAAAGTTGAATATGAGCTGACTGGGACACCGTTGGAAGAGGTGCTGGAGTGATGAAGGAAGGAGAGTGAGAACAGGGGTGAGGTCGAGTTGGACGGCCCACCTGTCGACTTATGAAGGAGCGTGACGGTCTTTGCACCTCGAGTGTTGAGTGCTCCAGTTATAGAAACCCTAGGGAATCATGTGGGCTGTTCCGACTAGGTCGAAGATAAGCTGCGGAGGCGCGGAGTTGCTGCGGGAGCAGGGGGGACTTGCAAGCAGGAGAACGTGAGTAGCAACGGTGAGGTGGTTGATGAGCGGAAGGCAAAACAGTTGTCTGCGTTATCGGTACGCAGTACGTCGTCCATGCCGCAAACAGCCACGGCCTGCGGCGGCGTAGGCTGCGGTGCGCGCAAGCACATGGCTGGACATGTGCGGTGCGGAAGACACGGGCTTGTCTAGCGTCGGAGGTGTGCGTAGTGCGCGTGGTACGCATGGTCCGGGGAGGCGAGTGACTGGAGGCGCACACTAGTTCGCGATGGATGCGACCGCAGCAACCGGCGCGATGCGGACGCAGGGCGCAGAGGTGCGCTGCAGCCGATCGGCAAGGCTCCATCATCGCGACTGTCTTTGCGTTAGCTCAGAGTCGCAATCTCTTCCCTCCTCCCCTTGGCCCTAGGGTGTCCTTCAGCGATTCTGAGTCATCCCCCTCAGACACCGCGCCTTCCCCCTTCACCTGTCAACCGCCGTAGCCGCAACCGGCCCGCAATCGCTCGTGTGATTCCTCTACGTTTTCCCACTGCGAATCTGTCGTTATCTTCCTCGGCCCCCAGCCAGCTCGCTCTCGGTCAGCTGCTCGTCGAAGCTTGGTACAAGCATGCAGGTCTCCCAACCGCACCCCCTTCAGTGATAGCAGGAAGGATCCCACCGTTGCCACCGAACCGATAGGCTCAACTTCTGGCGCTAGCACCGATCAATCACCCACGAACGGCCGCCGCAGATCGCGAGCACGAAAGTAACGGCCATGACGACTTGATGCCTCCAATTAGCACATGTAGTCCTGCTATGCGATTATTCTGCCCTGCTTGCATTACGCTGCATTAGTTTAACTACATCCTAGGCATAACTGGTAAACCCTCTTTCGTCAGCTCGCGCTAGCTTGCGGTGTGATGACCCAGCTCACCATCGTCCTCCCCGATCGCCCCGAGAGGCGTTACGCCGTACATGTGCCCGTGTCTTGGGTGCTCACCGCTGGGAGTCGCCTGCGAGCGCCGCGGCAGTGTGAACGACGGTTTCGGATCGTACTGCAGAGGCTGCGGGCGCGACACCTGCTGCTCGCCTCGATATCGGTACTGGCTGTTGTTTGTCAGCTACAGGGACCACTAAACCCAGCTTACTCCAGGTTGTTGCGAGGGCGGCCCTGGAAGCTGGCAGACGAATGTGGTCGCCCTCCCGGTGTGGGTTCCGAATTCGCCATCCGCCTGTGCTCAAACGGAGTGGCGGTTGTCGCTCGAGAGTAGCGATTCGACAGCCCTTGCTCGCCGTATCTGCGCGTGAGCTTGACAAGTAGCCTGTACTGAGCTTACGCATTACCCTGGTCCAGTCGCTGACGCTTGGCGGGGTAGTCTGCTCGAACAGGCTCGGCTGGGTAATCTTGCCCGTCGTGCGAGGCCGCGTACTGCTGGACCGGGGGCATATGCTGAGACGGAGGCGGCATGTGTCGGGGTTGAGGCAGCATGTCGGGCGGCATTACGCTGGATGGCCGCGCACCCCGCGGAATGCGCTGGTGGGGCAGCGGCGTGCTCGGGACTGCGGGGTAGGGAGCTTGATGTCTAGCGGTGACCAGTGGCGACATTGGGACTGGCGCAGCTTGTTCATGTGGATCGGGCTCAACGTACTGCACTTCAGGCGAAAGATGCTGTTGCGGCACATGACGAGCCTGCTGCATTTGCTGTGGATGCAGGCCCTGCGGCGCCATTGCAGGATGAACTCTTCGTTTCGCAAGGGGCGGCGTAGAGATGGAGCCGTAGCTGGCGAGTTGCTGTTCCAGTGTCGCATTCCTAGTCCGAAGCTTCTCGATCTTGGCGCGTTCCTCAGCTACTTGTCTGGTCAGATCTTGGACACGTCTGGATGTCAGCTATGAGGAAGGGTACTCGTGCAGCTTACCGCTCGCTCTCTTCAAGCCGGTTATTCAGCGAGGTCATCTCCTCCGCAGCTTCCGACATTGTCGACTGGCTGGTGAGCTTCCACAGTGCACAAACCAACCTTCTGCTCAGCGACTGTCTCCTTGAGGGACTTGACAAACGTGACGAGCTGGCTGTTGTGAAACTTGAGTACACCAACGGACTGTGTCAGCGCGTCGAAGTGGCTCATGCTAGGCTGGAACCAGACGTGCAGTTCAGGCGACAGCTGATCGTCGAGCGGATGGAATGTCGCGCCATGTCGGCCACAGAGCGTGCATGTGTTACGGCGGTCTGAATGTCAGCTTGAAATGGTCCTATGGAAGCTGACGCTTGTGGATTGGGTCGTCGCAAAGGATGTGGCCGCATGAAGTCATGTACCATCGCCGCTCGCCATCGTTGTTTCCGTCGTACGGCGTCAGACTGCGATCAGCGCGAGCATCGAGACGATCAGGGCGCACCAGAGAGCACACGTCACGAACTCCAGAAAGCCGAGTTGTGCATCGGGTTGAGCGGGCTGGGCTGGCGCGTTCGACTTTCGAGGTGGCAGCCGGAAGGGAGTGGACATGGCGGTCAGGGTTAGACGAAGACTAGACGGGGGAAGTGACAGTGTCGACCGCAGCCGTTAACGATGTGCACTGGTCGACTGGAAAGGTGACTAAGTCAATGGTCAATCGGTGGATGCGGGCAGTGTGGTAGTAAGTGAGTGATGTCGAACTTTCAACATCCATAAGAGACACATGGCGAGGAAGACACGAAAGCCAGCTGCGAGGAAGACACAAAATGAGCCGCTCCAGTCAACCGCCTCCGCCACGCCGGGCGCACCAATGGTCCGCCATCCTCTACCATGGTCCATGGGTCCAGCCAGTTGCGCACACACGACGCCTCAGCGCTCCGATGCATGCCAAATTGCTGTGTTTTATAAGCTTCTCTCGTCACAATCGTCTCGTCGATGGTCCTAGTGGTACTGGTGGTATACACGTTAACAGTGGGTGCTGGTGGTCTAGTATGCGTCTCCCTCGTGCTTCTCAGACACGAAGCCCATCGAGGCCATGACCTTGTCCTTGATCGCGCTATCCCGTTCCCGTCGCTTCTTCCCTGTCAGCTTTTTCACAACGCGGAAGCTCACCTCGACCTCGGCCAGCTTTGCTCGCATCTCGTCCAGAGGGATCTGGCGTAAAGGGATCTCGTCCTCGGCAATCAGGTCCTGGGATGTCAGCTAAATGAACGAGGAAAGTAGCTCACAATCTCGCCCAGAGCAACGACGTTCTCTCCGCGGATAAGAAGTACACCTGTGTCTGTTAGCTACTACATAAGGCGTGACAGTTTCAGACCTCCCTCCTCGAGGCTACTCACCAATGTCGATATCGGCAAACTCGAATCCGTTATACAACCGCTCTACTGTTGACTCGAGGAGGAAGTTGGCTGCAGCGTCAGCATTATTTCGAAGCGTCCGCATTGTACTTCATGCCGCCCAACTCACCGAACTGGTCATAACTTCGCAGTACGCCGATGAGCTTGCGACCGTCTCGGAGGACAACAAGGACCTTCTCTGGGCAATGTTAGCTTGAGCTGCAGGACCCCGCAACCAGTAAGCAAACTCACTGTCGACGAGATCGACAAGGGACCCTGAGGTGGTGAAGGGAATCAGCGCGTCCATGGTGCGCTTCGTGTCCGCCGGTACTTGTGGTGCTGGTGTTGTTCTGAGGCTGGTGACGATCGTCAACAGCGAGAAAGGGTCATGACCAAACGGCAATCTACGGACGGAACCAATTTCGCAATCTAATGCGTCATTACTCCATCGGTCTAATGCCTCTTGAGACGTCGTCTACAAGATCAAATAACATTTGCTCAGTACATGAACAGAGAATACAACATGCAAGTCTGAGTGAGGGTGATTTTGGCTGAGAGCTGAACGATGGAGAGGGAGACAGAAGTATATAAGTCAAGGAAGCTAGATCAGGCTGGGCGCCTCGACATTGACCGCCTCAGGGGGATCTCAACGACAAGCTGACGATGCCTGTTAGGCGTGCCCGGCGTTGCCAATGTCCCTGCCGCCGGTGTCGCCGTCCGGCGCGTGCTCATCCTCCGCGACGGCGTCTTGACTTTGCTTTTGGGAGCATAGTCCTGGTCTTCGACGGAAGCAGCCTTCCTCTTCCGAGACGCGGGCGGCTCGGAGCGTTCAGTAGTAGCAGTTCTGCGCTTCCTTGGTGCGACTCGCTCGGGACGCTCAGGCGTGGTAGCCCTGCGCTTCCTAGGTGCAGCTCCGTCCTGGCTGTTCCCTGCTTCCTTATAGTCGCCGAGTGCGCTATCGACGCTCTCCCACCCGTCGACTTCCTCGACCCACTCCTCGATACGGTCGCCGAAGCTTCGTCCATCGGGGAAGGGGAGCTTGTAGAACTTCCTGTACCAGTCACGCCACGCGCCAGCGGAGCGTCCACGGGCGAGCTCCGTCCATTCCGGATCGTGGAAGTTGTGCTTCTGTCATGTCAGCTCAGAACTTGCAACAGGTGAACTCACCGTCATCGCCTTGAAGAGGTGGATCGACGTCCGTCCCTTGCCGTCGGGACAGTGCCAGGCAAGCCAGATACCGAGCAGACGACGCTCCTTCTCGCTCAGGCGCGTCTGCCATGTCTCGTTGTTATATCCGATCGAGCCGGGTCGCGTCGGCTTCGGAGCCGCGGGCGTAGGCTCAGCCGAAGCCTCCGTCTGAGCAGCCGAGGATGGCGCTGCCTTCGGGGCCGCGTTGTGCGACGACTTCAGCTTCTTCGAATGCTTCGCAGGACGCGCGACGACGCGCTTTCCCTGCCGCGCGGCGCGGCGCATCTCTTCCTCGATCCTGTCCTCCTCTTCTTCCTCCGCAATCTCAGCCTGGCGCTCGAAGAACGACTTCCGTGCCCAGCCGCGTAACTGATGGAATTTCCATACGGGCATGAAGCGCACATGATCCAGCTGAGATGGTATGTCCGCCTCATCCATGTCCAGCAGAGGGTTGTCGTCGGCAACACAAAGCACCTGTGCATGTTTCAGCGGTACCACGATAGCACCATATCGCTGCCGTCAGCTCACGATGCATTGCTAGCTCACCTCGAGCGCAACCATGGTTTTGAGGTTGTCGTTCGCACTCCCGAGGTCGCTCATTGCGATGAGGGGGTTCTGGTCCTTCCACACTAAGTACCGCGGCGGATCGACAATGAGGCCGGAGAAGAACACGCGTGCCAGCCAGTCGGGGTACAGGATGAACGTCTCCTTGGCGCGAACGTTGGGCAAGCGCTGCAGTTCTCTCCGCTGGGCCGAGGACTCCCCGCGGTAGGAGATGATCGCATGCGCCCACTGCACATGTGGAGTCGTCTTGCCTCCAGCCGTCTGTCGTCAACTTTTGACCTGCGACGATGAAGCTCACCCCAATCCGCCGCAAGATGTGTTGCCTGATAACAGGCGGAAGCCACTCGGGCACATAGAACAGAATCTCGTCCCAGGGAAAAATGCTACCTGGATTGGTGTTCATAATCTCTTGCAGGTTGCGCCGCTTCGTCCTCGTCTTTCTCGCAAAAGGGTCCTCAGAAGTGCGGTGCATCCTCGATCTCGATGGCCCAGCCTCCGGCGCGGAAGGCATCGAGTCGTCCGAGGCGTATCGTGAAGAGTCGACCTCAGACTCGCCTTCGTACATGATGTCTGTTACTGTCAGATTCGCATCCTCTAGCCGCAGCTTACCCATTCTCGCCGTTGAACACTTCGACGAGCAAGTCGACGATCGACGAAATCAAAACAATGCCTGCTCCAGGTTGCGTCACCTCCCGTCACGTATTTCAGCTCCTGCTTATCTACGGAATAGACCGATCTGCTTCCGCTATTTCCGCCATTAGAACTTCCATTGAGCCAGTTAAGGTTGGCCAGCCTGCGATCGACGATCAGGCTGATCTTGGCAGCGGCTGGTGCAACAGCGAGATAGCAACACAATGTCTACATCGCACAAACAGATGAAGTATACACATTAGCGGGGCAGGAGTACGCAGTAATGGGCAGGGTGGCTATGGAAATATAATGATACAGCTAGATCTCGGTTGTCGTCTGCGTTGCCTCACTCAGAGTTCCTCCTCGAGTCAAGCTGAAGCTTGCCGATTCCAGCGTAGAGGTCGTTGATCTGGCGATCGACGACATCGCGATCGAGCTGGATCCGGTCAAGCTCGAGCTGGGCATACTCATCCTCGAGCTCAGAACGACGAGACTGCTGTCGCTTCTCCGATTGGAAAAGCTCTGGAAGTTGCGGAGCCGACGATGAGGATTGCGGAATGTGCTGAGCACTCAGACTGTGCGAGGGCAGCGGAGGCACGTCAGCCGTGGGAGACGGCTGCGGCATGTGTCCAGCATAGCTGTGGCTGCGCTGCGTATCCGGCTCACGGGAGGGTGGGCGACTAGGCGTGCTGCTCTCGACGGTAGTGACGCGGCGTGGGCGCATCGGTCCCGCGGTAGGCGATGAGTGCGAGTGGGGCTGAGACCTCTCCGAGGTCGAACGCATGACGATCGGCGGCGTCGTGATAGAAGGCGAGGAGGACTTGATGCCTATCCGGTGGGAAGCGATCTGGGCGGTAGCCTGCGCCGCGCGGGCCTTCGCGTTCGCTCGCGCCGTCGCGATCTCCGCCTTCTTCTGCGCCTTGGCCGTCTTCTTCACAGCCTTAATGTGCGCCTTGTCTGCAGCTTTCATCACCTTCGTGTGCGCTTTTTCCGCGGACACGTTGGCCTTGCTCGTGAGCTTGTCGGCTCGCTTGGTGAACTTGGCCTCCGTCTTCTCCGCCTTTCGGTGTGCTTTGTCCGCCTTCCTCTGCGCCTTTGCGTGCTTCTTCTCCGCCTTGCGCTGATTTCGGTAGGCCTGCTTCTGGTACGGCGTCATCTTCTTCATTTCGATTATTGCCTGTGATCAGCTAGACGACTAAGCAATAAGCACCCACAGCCTCAGATGGGGGCTCGGACGCCGACGACGCGACGGAGGTCTGCGTGTCATACCGCCGTATCTCAGAAGTCCCCTGCGTCGCCTGATCCGAATTCGGCGGCCCGAACGTAGCCTCTTCGTACGTCGGCGGATGCTGGTGTCAGTTCACGCTCGCATCGGTCCACCAACCTGTCTGCTACCGCCGGGAGGGTCTTTGGCGGGGACGGCCGGCGGCCGCGAGTCGTGGGCAACAGTGGGGGTTTTGGAACATTTGGACGAGTTGGCACCCATGGCAACGGCCCAGGAAGAGCGATTAGAGCGGTTAAAAGTTCTGGAGTGAAGTTGAGAGAAAGTGTTATCGATCAGTGACAGGTGCTGCATGGCTGTTGGGCTGCTGTACGCGCCGCGGCGGCTAAAGGAAACGAGCGTGGGAGGGCGGGGTTCAATGAGAGACTAGCGGCGCTGCAGACCTGCTGGCTGGCGGCTGTGATGTTAGGCTGTGATTGCGTACTCGAGTGTACGGCGTGGAGGCGGTGCATAGATGATGGACTCGAAAGGACGCTAGTCGAGTGAGCCTGTACCTCATTCCCGGAAACCTCAGCGAACACGCCCTCAGATCCCTCCCGGCAATTCCGGACCGTGGACCGGCACCCTCTCCGACCACAGGGCATGCATCAAGGTGAACAGCGCCTACAGGGTGTGGCGAAGCCGCTCTCGCGCTCTACAAGCAACAAGCCCTCGGAACCGACCATCTGGATCTGCACGCTTAGCATCGCGTCGCATCTCACTTTTCATCTAATCATCAAGATAATCGATATCACATACACGTTGCTACCAAGTGCGGTTACTTCGGCCGCACCCCGCTAAAGAAGAGTCGGACACGGTCACCATACTCTACAGCCTTCCGGAGTCAGGGATTTCGTCCAACCTTACTCCTGCGAGGTACAGAAGCTCGGGCTTGCTGAGCGTGTTTCGCTGAACAGTTAGCTCTGCCTGCCAAACCTCGTATGCACTCACTGCTTCTTCTCGAGACTTGTAACTGCGCGTCGTCGAGGGTGACAGTGATAACGGAGAGTGCCCTGCATCACTCGAAGACAGTGACTCCGGAAAGGATGAGTATGGGTCACTGGAAGAGACAGAGGACATTTCACTTTCCGTCAGGAGCTGCTGCGTAACTCTACCGGCCAAGCTGGCGACCTCGTGGTGAGGTGCGTCTATCCTGACCTGTACTGTCGGGGAGCGCAGTCGTGTCGGTCGTGGCGGGACCTCTGGAGGACTGTTAGGACTCGTAACCCTGCTCTGTTGGTCCGCCTCCACTAGCCGCTCGTACACCTGGCCATCGATGCTGGTGAGCTCCAGCGTCCAGCTTGATGTCGTACAGTCTTCGATATCCTCACTGTCGATATCAAACTGAACAGTTAGCATTCGTCATAGGTGAGGGGCATTCACCTCTGGCTCGACTTGCTTGGCCGAATACCGCTTGTACTTCAGGCTGTTCACTGCCCCGATCAATTGGGTGATGCGGTAACGCCGGCGGCTCTTCCTGTGGTCTCGTCGGGCTTGAAGGTGCCGACAGACGCTCATGCCCGTCTCGAGGGCGTTGCTGATGCTGGGCGACATGGTGTAGTGTTCAGATGAGAACTGTGAGGTTGTAGATCTCGATGTTTTCTCTGTGTCGATCATGTGCACCGCCGCTGCTATATATAATCCGCCTCATAAATGGGGACCTGACTCATGCTGAGAAAGCACCCCGCTCAACATTCCGCAACCTCCCAAGTTAGTGTCATTGTAAGTCGGGGAGGAGTTTCAGTGGATGTACCGATGACTGATCATGACTGAGGTACTGAGGGGCGGAACAACGTTGCGGGCGAACTGAGCTGAGCTTCGAGAACGCTGCTGCGCATGCGTTCGCAGATCAGACAATCAGTTACGATCGTAGCAAATAAAGTCGGATGCGGAATGCATGCAAGACATGGCGAGGTCATCGATACTGGAGTCCCCAGGTGCAGGTGCGGTGGTGGGCGGGTGATTCATTTGGTTCCGTTAATGATTGGAAAGTACGTGTGAATGGCTCTGGCCAATGGGCCAACCACACGCCTAAACTCCCACTTGGTCATGCGTCGCGCGAGGTCCGCTGGCAGTGCCGACGAGAGGTGCAACGAGATCATCACCATCCCTCCAAAACCCATCATCCCAGCCCGCCATGTCGATTGAGAACCTTTCCCTCGAGGACAACGCCGCCTCCGGCACCACCGTCGAGATCCACTCGCGCCCCGAGCGCAAGGCCCGCAAGCAGCTCGAGGGTCTCGGCCTCAAGAAGGTTCCCGGAATCCAGCGCGTCACCCTCCGTCGCCCCAAGAACGTCCTCCTCGTCGTTGCCGAGCCCGAGGTCTACAAGGCTCCCGGATCTGACTGCTACATCGTCTTCGGCGAGGCCAAGGTCGAGGACCCCACTTCGGCTGCCCAGATCGCCGCCCAGCAGCAGCTCCAGGCTTCGACTGCCGCTGCCCAGGCTGCCCACGCCGCCGGTGGCTTCAAGGACGGTGTCCCCAAGTCCCTTGAGGAGCTGATGGGTGGAGAGGAGTGAGTTGAGGTTAAGGTAGTGGGAAACTAACAGCAGCGCTCCCGAGCTCGAGGGCTCTGACGAGAAGAAGCCCGCTGGAAAGGTTGGAGAGGACGACGTTAAGCTCGTCATGGCCCAGACCGGCTGCACCGAGGAGAAGGCCAAGGAGGCTCTCGCCGCTGAGAACGGCGACCTCATCAACGCCAGTGAGTGTTCAGGAACAGTCGTCCCGGTTCAGAAAAAGAGCCAGCCGTCGGCGATCTGCGCGCACGACCCGAGCACGAGCTAACGTTTCACAGTCATGCGCATTGGCTCTTAAAACACCGGTGCGACGACCGGAAAAGAAGAGTGTCGCGGACGACGCAGCGGGCGCAGCGGGTAATAGTAGATTTACATTGGTCCCATGCATCTATGCGTGAGAGGTAGACTAGAGAGAGCTATATGCGGTTGCAGTTGCAGTAGGGTATGACGTGATAGGAAGGAAATGGACGGTGCTTGTGTGGTCCGCCGGCGCGGCCCCGGCGCTCGTAGCTCATGGCTCAGCATGCTTCAACAACTCTAAGCGGTCGAGCGAGCGCGTCTACTGCTCGCGGCTCTGGCTCCGGAACTGCCTGTCAGCATAATGATGGGAGCCGACAGCTAGACTTACGATGTCGCGGAGCTGGCCGTTAGCCTCCTCGACCTGCCGGTCGTAGTACTTCTGCTTCTTCTGCAGACTCGAGATGTCCTCGCCGAGCGATGTCTCGAGCGACTTGTGTCGTCCGTTGATGGAAGAGCGAGACTGTTCAATAAACCTGAGGTCAGCTGCCAGGATAAGAGAAAAGCAGCAGTCGAAGGCCACCGAACCCGCCGTACCGAGCAAGCTCGAACATTGCGGCGGAGCCTGTCCGATACCCTGCTGTGAGCACGACTCACATCTTGCCAACACCACGGTACAGCTTTCCCTCTCCCTCGGGCACGCTGGCCAGTTCCCGCATAGTGAGCTCGAGGATCTTCTTCTCCTTCTCCTTCTGCTGGATCTGGGCGCGGACGATGGCGCTCTGGCGCTGGCCGTTGATGGCCTGCGTCTGGATCTGCTGCAGAATCTGATTGCTCGTCAGCTACAACCCGGAAAGCCGCAGCTCACCTTGCGCAGCGTGTCGTCGGAGAGGTTGGACATGGTCAGTGATGGTGCAGAACGCTCAAGCCTGCATCCTCGCGATCGACCATATTCCGTGGTTCCTCGATGACATCGCGCCAACTGGTCATTTTGCTCCCGCTCCTTCATACCACGGCCGGGCGCGTGCGGTGGTTGACGCGACTTGAGGTGGAGGTAGTTCAGCAATAACAGACGCTGCGGGCACGAACCTCGCCACTGCATACCCAACCACAGCACAACATGGCGCCTTCCCTCGTTGACCTGGACGTGTTTCTCGCCGATCCGACGTCTCCTGCTGCCCTCGATGAGGCCCGGAAAGCCGCCGAATCCCTGATCCTCACTGGCGCTCTCGTCGTCCGTGACTCGCGCGCGCCCGCCGAAGCCAATGACAGATTCCTCGACTTGTTCGAGGACTACTTCGCTCTGCCAGATGAGCAGCTGAGGAAAGACGAGCGCCCAGAACTCGGGTACCAGGTCGTATGTGCTCTCGTTGCCTAGGCTTACCAACGCACAGGGTGTCACGCTGGAGAACACGGAGAAGCCGAAGTGCAGCCGCGACGACGAGTGCCAGGCCGTCATTGCGGGACTGGAGCCTTCAGAACGTCCGCTCGACATGAGCGGAGACCATGCCGATCCCAAGTGCCGGTGAGCTTTGCTGACTGACCGCAGGCTCACCACAGATTCTTCCACCGCATGACGGAGAAGCCGCCGTATGAGTCCAGGTTCCCGTACTCTACTGCGCCGAATGTAGTGCCAGAGGCGCTCAAGGAGACTTGGGAGGGAAGGGTTGATGAGTGGGGAGGTTTCCTCAAGCAGGCGTAGGTTGAATCCATCTGTCCCACTAACCCTAGCGTCGAAGGTGTCGCCCGGATGGTGGCTGTTGGCCTCGGACTGGAAGAGACGGCGTTCACCGACGCAGGTCGTTACGGGTAAGCAAGCTACCGCCTTCGGCTGAGCTGACAGGAAGATCTCATCTGCTCGCACCAACAGCGACTGATTTGGGGAAGTACGGCCATCTCAACACGTTCGTACCTCCAGCAAGATCTCGAGCTGACAACAGCATCTATGCTGGCTTCCACACTGACCTGAACTTCCTGACTATTCACGGACAGTCGAGGTACCCGGGACGTGGGTTGACCAGAGCTCCACGACAACTGACTTCCAGTAAACATCTGGGCAAGGAATACAGGGCAGCGTATTCCTGCGAAGGTCCCCGAGGGCTGTCTGCTGGTACAGGCTGGCAAGCAGCTCGAGTGGCTCAGCGGCGGTTTGATCAAGGGTGAGCTCGTTTGCCGGTCCAAGCTGACAAGCAGCTGGATTCCATGAAGTAATCTGCAATGAGGCTACACTTGCGGTAGGTCTTAAGCTACTACTTCATCCTAACATCTAGGCGATCGAGCGACGCAAAACTCAGTACCCAGAGCGACCACTGATCCGTATCTCCTCAACATTCTTCTGGCACCTGACGCCGGACTACCATCTCGCTGCTTTGCCAGAGCTTCGCAAGCGCGCCGAGGATCGCTTTGGCGCTCAGAAGTCGTACGGCGAGATGCTCGTTGGCGACCAAGTACGACAGTGAGCTAACTCTCGCTTGCAATGTAGCTGACTCAGCAGGGAACTTGGACTTATCGCTCTCATGTCGTAGACCTCCTTATGTGTGTATGCATCTTACAACGTTACCCTATGCCTTATGACCTTAATCGACCTAAATTACACCTTTGCCGTCTCCATCTCTTCCAGTTGAGCGACGAGCGCATCCATTGGATCCGTCTCCACCTGCTTCACAGGTGAGCTCGTGACGGGCCCAGTTGTGTGTGTCTCCGCGACATCCTTCTGCTTATGAGTCGGAGCCAGAATCGAGCCCGAATGATATCCTGGAGCCTTGCGGTTCAGCTCTTCCCGTTCCTTGCGCTCTTCCTCGGCCTCGCGGTCGTGCAGCGCCTGAGCATTGCGTGCTCGGCGCTCCGCAATCGCGACATGCGGTGGGGGTTGCAGACTGAGCACGTGTTGCTCGAGCGTGAACGGGTACACAAACTGAGGTCAGTCGGGGAAGTGTGTCGGCACCTGGGCAGGAGAAGACTCACGTAAGCGGTGATGTCGTCTGGTAGCGGGTGGATGTCGGTGGGGAGCTGGACGGGCGGTGGCAACCATAGCGACGGGCTCTTAATGAGCGGTACCGTCGCTGCCGCAGCGTACTGTTCGGGTATGGGGCCTGTTCTGTCAGCTGAAGAGGACGACTTGATGCAGCGTACTCACCAATCTGCGAAGCCATCAAGAGTTCGTTGGCAACATCGATGACGCACTGGTGGGTCGACTTCGGCGTGATCGAGCGATTAGGAACGGCTGACGCCGTCGATTAGCCCCATTAGGCTAAGCCCCTAATCAAAACTCCATCAGTCATGGTAATCTCAGGAACGACAGCACGTGGCGCCCGAATGTCACGTGAAGGCACCGAGTCGAGGAAAGACAATGTCGAGACGTCGGTGAGGAAGGACCAAAGCTCTGCGAGACTGCAGCATCGACCAAACGACCGCTGACCGACACGATGGCGTCTGAGGCTCTCCAAGTGAGCTTAACGTATCTGTCGCTAGCTGACATTTAGAAAGCAGACCCGAGTGCGCGTCTCGTCGAGGCGCTTGTGCTGCGTCTGCGGCGACGGTGAGCTTTCTCCGCGCGGCGCAGTAGCTGACGAAACAGACAGATTGTGGGATCGCGAAATGTCGCCCTCGCAACTGCAGCGCTTATTCAGAACGTAGTCCGGTCGGTCAAGTACACGACGATTGACGAGCTGCTCGCCGTCATCCGGAGTATCGGCAAGCGGCTCATCGACGCGAACCCGAAGGAGTTGGCCAGCGGGAACATTGTGCGCCGCATCATCCGTCTGATCAGGGAGGAGTACCGTGCCGCCGCCGCCGCGCACCGTTCGCAGCCTCCCTCGATCCCCGGCACTCCGGGAGCTGGCGCTTACTCTCCAGCCATGTTCAACGGCCCCGCGCACTACTTCGGTGCCCAGAGCCCCGGCTCCGCCCCCGGTTCTGGCGGCATCACGCGGCAGGCGTCTCTGTCCAACTTCGTCGCAATGCGGCACAACAAGGTGCAGTTTGAGCGCTCGGCGACTGGAGCCGGCAGCGTGCTGGACCTGAGCCAGAGCACGTCGGCTCTGTTCGCGACGCCGCCGCGTGTCGTGCAGAACATGCAGCGCGAGCGCCAGGCTAGCTCCGGTGGAATGGACTGGGACGAGGCGCAGGCGCGCGAGCGCGACGAGTTTGCGCGCCAGGCGTCCAAGCTCAAGCCGGTCCTGATCCAGGCCATTGACGAGGTTATCAACGAGCTCGAGACGACGCACGAGGACGTCGCCCGCGGAGCCCGCGAGCACATCCACTCGTCCGAGGTCATCCTCACGCTCGGCCACAGCGGCACCGTCATCAGCTTCCTCAAGAGCGCGTTCCGCGATCGCAAGTTTACTGTCATTGTGCTTGAGTCCGCGCCCGGATTCTCTGGCCAGCTCACCGCCAAGGAGCTCTCCGAGGCCGGCATCCCCACCTTCCTCGTCCCTGACAGCTCGGTCCACGCCGTCATGCCGAGAGTCACGAAGGTCATCCTCGGCGCGCACTCTGTGAGCGCGAACGGTGGTTTGTTTGCCCTCGGTGGATCTCTGGCGGCCACGCTCGCCGCGCGCACTCACGCCAAACCCGTCGTCGTCACCACCGGCCAGTTCAAGTTCGCCCCCGCTTGGAACCTGTACCACGAGTACGACGCTATCGACTTCCAGGGTCCCGGTCCTGTCATCGGCTACGACCACACGGGTGGAGGCGGCGGCTACGAGAATGTCGAGGTCACTGACCCTCACTACGACTATATCCGCCCCGAGCTCATCAACCTGTATGCGACGAATGTGTAAGTTCATAAGCTTCCGCCGTAGTTGAACTAACACCCAGCGGCGACCACCCGCCGTCCTACATCTACCGCCTCATCAAGGAGGCGTACGACGACGAGGACATCGAGCTCTGAGCTTGAACACTTGCTGAGTAGATTTTTCCATCCATAATGCCAAGATGTACGTATGCAGGTATGCAGGGTATCTATATATCTATGTTGTTGCGTGGTTATGTGCAGTTTACACGAGAGCCTGCTCCTGCTCTCTTGCTCTGATCTTCTTCTCGAGGCGCTGTACCAGCTGCCTCAGCCTCCTGTCCTCCTCCCATCCTTCCCAGCCTTCCTTGTTGTCCGGCCCGAACTTGGCCCTTAGCGCCTCCCATGCGTGCCACACGGCATGCAGATCTCCATTCGTCACGCGCGACCACGCGAGGAGAGCGAAATATATACCCTTCGCCGTCAGCGCCCCCCGCCCGGGTACATCCTTGCTCGGTTCCAGCGTCAGGAAGCTCTGGAAGATCTGGTCGAACGCCTCCAGCGTCCAGTGATTTGGCACCTCCTCCACCTTGCTCTTCCCGCGTATGGCGTCGAAGAAGCCCGTCGCACGCCTCCGCTTAATCTCATATAGCGTGCTCTGGGACGCGAACTCGATCAACGGTGGGAAGAGCTCAGACGCAGCCCCGGCCTCGCCCTCATGGATCTTGCCGAAGCGCGAAAAGCCGCGGAAGAGCGAGACGTAGTTGGCCACGACGGCCGGATGGCCCCGTGCAAGGAGCTGCTGCATTGTAGTCAAGGCTGAGATCAAATCGCCGTGGTAGGTGTACGCTGAAAGCATGAGGTAGAACGTTTGCTTGCTTGGCGGAAGCTCGCACAGCTCTTCAATGAGGCCTATTGGCAGCTCGGCGATAGCATGTGAGTACGTTGTCGTCTCCTCTGGTGGGTTGATGGTGGTGAAGAGGGCACCGGCGACGTCCATCCGCTTCGCGGTCGCCGCGAGCCAGATGGCGAGATTGACGAGCACAATCTTGTCCTCTTTCCGCGGCACCTTGGGCAGCGCACGCTCGAGCTCGACCAAGAATGCCGCCGTCCGGTTGTACATCGCGCCATACGTCAGCACGCGCGACATGTACGACCAGCTGTCCGGTTCGAAGCCTTCGCCGATCATCTTGTTCCACCAGAACTCGGTACGTTCCGGCTGCCGCGAGAGTGCGGCAAGGTACATGATGTGGTTCAGACCCCGACGGTACTGCTCCCTCCTAGCTGGATCAGAGGGAGCAGAGCGAAAAGACTGCAGGAATTGATGCTCCGCCTTCTTCAACTCGCTCCGATTCACGCTCCGCTTGTGCTTCGTCGAGGATACGAGCATAGACAGCTCGAGTCCGCGCGGAACGTGCTGCTGGTCGCCGACAACGTCACGCAGAGCGTTCACGACAGTCTCGAAGCGCTCGTGAGCTTGCCGCTGGAACTTGCGGCTCGAGTTACGGTCCAGGGCATGCACAGCCTTTGCGATGGCCTCGAGCTCCGGAGCAGTAAACAGAGGAGTCGGCGAAGACAAGTACAGGCGCGTGAAGTCACCAAAGAGCTTGTTGGACGTCTGTCCGTGTGACTTCTGCTCCACTTGCCGGTAGATGGTGCCAAGAATCTCAGAGCGGTTCTTGGGCGCCATGGTGGGCCGTCCGATGGGAACAGAATCGGTGACCTCGCTGTCGTCGGCGAGCTGAGCGAGAGAAGCCGGAGGCGCCGGTACGACCTCCTGCAGCCACGACTCATTGGAGGCAGACTCCCGGGCGTGGGTAGCGTACGTCCTCGGCCGCTGCGAGAGCACATTGTAGAACGCCGTCTGCGGTACCTCGATGTTGCCGGCGAGCTTCTTCAGGCGTTTCTTGCCCTCCTTCTGCTTATTCAGGTGCTTGAGCTTTCGCTCGTAGTGACCACCGTACAGGCCCGCCGTGACATCTTTGCGCATGGCGGACAGACTGGCACGCGCGACAATCTTGCTGCCCACCGCAGCCTGAATGGCGAGCTCGAAAAGCTGACGAGGCATCTCCTCCCCTGAAATCGTCAGTTACTGTCCCGTACAACGAGCTGAAAACTCACTCAGCTTCGCGACCCATGCCTTTCCGATCCTTTGCGCGTCGTCCTTGTGCACAATCATCGCGAGAGCATCCACGGGCTTGGAGTTCAGGAGCATGTTGAGCTTAACGAGCTTGGACTGCTTGTATCCTGCCTCCTCGTAGTCGAACGAGGCGAATCCAGATGAGGCGCTCTTCAGGTCGGAGAAAAAGTCGGTAACGATCTCAGACAGCGGGAACTCGTAACGGAGAAGAACTCGATCGCTGCCGTCTAGGTGACGATACTCGAGCTGATTTCCGCGGTACTTCGCGCAAAGCTCGAACATGTCACCAATGTACTCGGAAGGCACAAAGATGGTAGCGTTGACGTACGGCTCCTCGACGTGCGCGACGCGAGTCTTCGTGTCCGTCGTCTCCGGGAAGTCGGCTGGGTTCGAGACATACTCCTCCTTGCCGTAGGTGTATACGACCTTGTACGGTACGGTTGGGGCAGTAACAATGACATTGGAGGCGTACTCGTCCTCGAGACGCTGGCGGAAGACGTCCATGTGCAGCGTGCCGAGGAAGCCTAGGCGAAAGCCCTGTCCGAGCGCCGCCGATGTCTCCTTCTCGATCGTGACCGAACGGTCGTTCAGCGTCAAGCGCTCGATCGACTCCTCGAGCAGCGGGAACTCGGCACTGTCGACAGGGAAGACACCCGCAAAGACCATCGCCTTCATCGGTTTGAAGCCGGGCAGGGGCTCGACCTTCTGCGAAGCAAGACAGACCGTGTCGCCAATATGCGCCTCGGCTGAGTTCTTCATGTTGCACACGACGTAGCCGACCTGTCCCTCGCGGAGCGACTCAACGGGCACCTCGTCGGGGTTCTGAATACCGACCTCGAGCACGTCGTACTTCTTGCCAGCCTGGAGGAAGGACACCTTGTCTCCCTTCTTCAGCGAGCCGGAGACGATGCGCACGAGAGACACGACACCGCGGAAGCGATCGTAGCTGAGAGTTAGAATAGGAGGCAATAGTGGAAACTCACAAGGTGTCGAAGACGAGGGCGCGAAGCTTGTTGTCACCCTCCCATTTCGGAGACGGAAGCTTGTCGATGATGTTGTGGAGGACCTGCTCTACGCCAAGACCGCTCTTGGCCGAGATGTGCATGTGGTCCTCGGCGGGAAGGCCAAGGGAGCTCTCAATTTCCTCACTCGTCTCCTCGGGGTACGCATGCGGCAGATCGACCTTGTTGATGATGGGAAGGAGTTTGAGCTTGGCTTCCTCGGCGACATGGAACACGCTGAGCGTCTGCGCCTGGATACCTTGCGTGCTGTCAACGAGCAGGAGGCCGCCCTCACAAGCACCGAGAGAGCGAGACACCTCGTAACTGAAGTCGACGTGACCCGGCGTGTCGATCAGGTTGACAAGATACTTCTTCCCGTCCGTGTGCGTCAGGATGATCGATACCGTCTGCGCTTTAACCGTGATGCCGCGCTCGCGCTCGACCTTGAGCTTGTCAAGGAACTGCGGCGACGCCTCGGCTGGCACAGTGTTCGTCATCTTTCTGTCAGCTGACCTTCTCTGAAACAGCTCACCTGGAGCAGACGGTCGGCTAGCGTCGACTTTCCGTGGTCGATGTGCGCAATGATCGAGAGATTCCTGATGTCAGCCCTGCAACAGACGCAGAAGCTAACCTGATGCGCTCAGGAGGAAACTGGGTCATGTCAATCTTCTTTGCGGGCTCCTTGTCCTTCTTGTCCTTCGCGGTCTTGGCGGCGGCAGCGGCGGGTGAAGACGTCTTGAAACCCCGGATCTGGCGAGGAAGGGCCACTGAACTGGCCAGCGATCGCGGGGTTCGACCCAGGATCTGCACCGCGGCGAAGCGAGGTAAGCCCGCCGTCGACGCCCGCGGCGTGACAGTCCAGAGCCGCGTTGCGGCTCTTAACTGTCTCATGGTGTTGGTGTGGAGGAGTCGGAGATGCACCCTCGGTTCACCGATCTCGCCTTCTTTCATCCTTGCGCTCGGAAATCCCATCTGCATCGCGTGGTCGAGTTTGCGGAGATCAGCGTTAACTCCGCAGCGTCCTTTCTTTCTAATGGTCGTTTCAGTTTGTAATCTCACACGACCGACGATTACCGCAGATTAGGATAGTGTAATTGAGGAGCCGCAAGAGCGGGTAATTACCACGTGCAACCGGTCGATCACCGGCATGACGAACCGTTGACGTGCTCGCCCTCTTCGCTATTCCGAAATTGGCGGTTCATATACCGAGAGGGAAGGACATGCTGAGCAAGAGCGTACGCCTGCTTTGCTGCCTGCTCCTCGCTCTTAGCATCCTCATCTACACAAAAGAGAGCAAAGCCATGTTCCGCTCAGTGCTCGCCCCCCTCTCGCGTTCCGCGCGCACGTACGCCTCCCAGGCGACCGCCCTCGCCCCCGGTGCGGTCGAGGGCTTTGTCGGCGCCGTCGGCAACACCCCTCTTGTGAGTTTGCGCTTGTGTGGAGAGTTTTCGTTTTGGCTCTGGCGTCGCGTAAAGGCAACGTTATCGAGATGGCTGGTGGGACCCGGCAAAGCGACGCTGCCATCGTGATCGACATCGGTGACTCCCCATCGCAAGTGTCGCACCCAGCGTCACGGAACAGCCACACGGTCATGGCCGGGCGTAACTTTGAGGCACCTCGTTCGGACAGAAGCTGCTTCGAGTCTGCAGTGCTGTACTGTCGCGGCTGGCAGGTAGCTGCAGAGCGCTGCTCGCGCTCGCTTAATTGCTTGAAAACTCGCGAGCACTCCTTCTAGCTTCCACATCTCCACACGATGAACCCAAGCTGACCGCCAGCTTCACCTGAAGAAGGTCTCCGACGAGGTTGGCGCGAACATCTACGCCAAGGCCGAGTTCATGTCTCCCGGCGGTTCGATCAAGGACCGCGCCGCTCTCTTCCTCGTCAAGGACGCCGAGGAGAAGGGCCAGCTGAAGCCCGGCGGCACCGTCGTCGAGGGCACGGCGGGCAACACGGGTATCGGTCTGGCTCACGTCTGCCGTGCGCGCGGCTACAAGTGCGTCATCTACATGCCCGACACGCAGTCGCAGGAGAAGATCGACCTCCTGCGCATGCTCGGTGCCGACGTCCGCCCGGTCCCCGCCGTCGCCTTTGACAACGAGATGAACTACAACCACCAGGCGCGCCGTTACGCCGAGTCGCTCGACAACGCCGTGTGGACCAACCAGTTCGACAACACTGCCAACCGCGGCGCGCACATTGCTACCACGGGCCCCGAGATCTGGGAGCAGACGGGCGGAAACCTCGACGCCTTCATCTGCGCTACGGGCACGGGCGGTACGCTCGCCGGCATCACGCGGTACCTCGTTGAGAAGTCGGGCGGCAAGGTCGAGTCGTACCTCGCCGACCCGCCCGGATCGGTCCTCTTCAACCTTGTCGAGAACGGCAAGCTCGCTCGCGAGGGTAACGGCTCCATCACCGAGGGCATCGGACAGGGCCGCGTCACCGAGAACCTTAAGCCGGACCTCGAGCTGCTCTCGGGCGCTATCCACGTTCCCGATAGCGAGACTATCAAGATGGTCTACCGCCTGCTTGACGAGGAGGGACTGTACGTCGGTGCTTCGTCTGCGCTCAACGTCGTTGCCGCTCGCGAGCTCGCCCGCAAGAAGGGCCCCGGATCCACCGTCGTCTCCATCCTCTGCGACGGCGCGCACCGATACCAGGCCCGCCTCTTCTCCCGCGTCTGGCTTGAGAGCAAGGGCCTCATTGACGCCATCCCGGAGCACCTCCGCCACTACATCGTCCTCCCCTAGACGTTCTGCAGTGTGAGCGTCAACCGTAAAATTCTAGTAGTAGCAGCAGTATGGGTTCTTGCATGTATCTCCAGTTTGCATAGACGATGAAAGGTAGTGGGGTATCAACAATGCATTTCAGGACACAACCAAACAAAGTAGGAATTAAGAACTATGTAATTAGCGGGAAGACATCTATCCGAAGCGCTTCTTGAAGAAGCCCTTCTTCTTCTCCTTGACCTTGCCGTCCTTCGAGTCCTTGCTCGAGACGGACAGGTTGGTGTGGCTGCTAGCCGAGTGCGGGAGGCGGGGCTGCTGCAGGTGACCTCCGTGCTGCTGCTGGGGCACGGGCGGGGGCAGCGCGGGCGGGCCGACGAAGGGAACCCAGTGCCGCTCGTCCAAGATGGCCTGGTACGCTTGCGGCTCTCCAGGCTGTCGACGGTCGGATCGCCCGGGCGCGCCGGGGTACATCTTGGCCGCATTGGGAGGGTTGCCGCCGACACCGGAACGGCCGAGCGAGCGCAGGTCCTTCAGGAAGCTCTCCGGCGTGATGATGTGCGTGGACCCGATGTAGATGTCCTTGCCCAACGCCTCGCCGAGGATGTACGCCTGCCTGATCTCACTGTACGTCACTCCACCGGCAACGAAGATGATGTATCGTTGGCGGTGCTCGTTGGCTGCGTTGCGCGCAGAGGCCGCCTTGTGCCACGTCGGTCGGGCTGAGCGGAGCGACGTGCTGGGACTCGGCGCGGGCGGGCGGTCGTGCGAGGCGCGGAGCGACTGAGACAGCTCCGGCGGCGTCTCGCGCACGAACGGGAACAGGTGCTGGTCGAGTCGGTTCGAGTTCGCCTCCTCCAACATGATGCCGATGGCAGGCTTGTACCGCGACAGGTCGTACTCTTCGTCCTTGTTGCTGTACTTGTTCTTTATCCGCTGTCCGCGGTACGCATTCGCTCCCTTGATGACTCTAACACCAAGGTGGACGAGGTTGTTGATCATGTCCTGCTCGTTGATGTTGAGCCGGGCATGCTGATACAGTCTCCTTCGATCTTCGTCCGCGACTCCGTCACGGAACAGAATGTAGAGCGCGATGATGCGCACCTTGTCCAAGCTCGACATCTTTGGCTCGTCCAACAGCGGCACCATCTCCTCCACGATCGTCTTGGGTGCCTTGCCCTGTGGCGTGAAGCCGGTCGCGCAGCACTGCTCCACATTCGCGGCGAGGTTGAGCTTGTGCTGCTCAAAGATGCCCATGCACTCCTGCGCCATGTCAAGGTGGAGCGAGAACTGGTCGCGCTGCGTCTGGAACTGCGGCAGGTCCGCCAACATGTCCTTCAGGTCGTTGATCTGCACATTGTGCGCGTTGCCCGAGAACGCCGTGTGCTCCGACACAAACTTGCCAAAGTCGGTCATGAGCTTGTCGATTGCGTCTTTCATGTGCAAGTGCCGGACCGAACACCACACCTCGTCGTCCTCGTTCAGCACCGCCTCGCGCACCTCCTTGCCACCGACCGTATTCGTGAATGTGTACTTGTACGTCCGGCCTTCCTTGCCATCCTTGATCGGCAGCAGATCGTTGACCATCGCCTGGTACCAAAACTCGTGGAGGAAGGGCGCGCACGGGTCGACCGACCGGTCAACGACGAACAGTGTACCCCGTCCGCGATCGCTGTGCGCAGGGAAGTCGGGGTTCTGCTCAATGTAGTGGTCGAGGTCGTGCTGAATCCGCTGCGCGAGCACCTTGCTGAGCGAGTCACCCTGCGCCTCCTGAGCACGAGACGATCCCATCGCGGCGCGCCATCGCAACGACGAGCCCTGCTGCTGCTGCTCCGCCTGCTTCTGTTGCTGGTGCAGCCCCGTCGAACCGCCCTGCGCGAGCGGGCCCAACGGTGGGTGGTGCGTCGGCTGGTAGTAGCGAATGTAGGGGTTCTCGTTCAGCGTCGTGAGAACGTTGAGCATCTGAGCGCTTGTCAGTAGGGTCCATGGTCGTGCGCATCTCGCAACCCAGACTCACCGTTCGGCTGGCGACCGTCATGTCGTCGTGGAACGCTTCCATCGCAAAGTCCGCCGTCACCTGTCCTCCGAGCGCACCAAACATGCTGAAGAACGCCTGCGGCCACTGCATCGAGAACACTCGGTCCTCCGTCGCTGCCTGTCAGCACATTACGCATGTCACAAGACCTACCCCAGAAGTTGCAGTTAAGCTCAACGAACGCCCTCAGCTTATCCCGAGGAAGCGTATCCGTCAGGCGCTGCGCGAGCTTGTCGTCAATCGCTGCATTGTCAGCTCGATACTTTAGACGCAGCCACTCACCGTCGACAAAGTACAGGTGCGCCGACTTGTACGTGTCGCGTCCACTGGCAAAGTCGGCAATGATGCGCTCGACGTTCTGCGCCGTAGGCGTCAGGAGATAGATGGCGTCGACGCTCATCTTCTCGCGCGGCGACATGAGCGGCTCGACGCCCGTCACGTTCATCTGGAGAATCTCATAGTTGGTGAAGGCCGTGTCGAGGAGAGCTTGCGAGTGCTCGTCCGTAATCAGCGCCTTCCAGGTGCCAGGTGGGATCGAGTTGATCGCGCTCGCGAAGCCTGCGCATTGTCAGCTTGTGCAGGTGGAAGTGGTAGCTCGGAGTGGTGGTGGTGCGGAGTGGGTTCGGGAGGTCTAGGTGCGGTGTGATGGCGCACGGGGAGGACGGTGCGTCGTGCCAACACATGGTCGGCTGACGCCGATGGACTTCGAGCTGGTCGCTAGTAGGTGTACTCACGCTCCTTCAGCAAGGCCTTGAGCGGCATGGGGGCGGGTGCTCTTTGCCTTTGTGCTTGTCGGAGATGAAAGAATTACTTTGTGGTGATAAGTATGGTTGAGAGTGTCTGAGACCGGTGGAGGCTGAAGCTGAGCAGGTGCAGCTACGTGGTGTATGGTGCCGGGGTGGCCGGGAGTGGAGGCTGGCTGGCACGTCGTATGGTGGACCGTCTGCCAGGTGCCAGCCATGCCGTGACAATGACGCCACACCCTCAGGTCCACCGCTCAGGGTGAGACCATCCGGCCAAGCTCACTCAACCTAGAGCTCTAGCACTCTGCATAGCTGTCGCGCGCACTCGCTCGCACGACGGCGTCGCACCTGCCCGTCCTGTCGCGCGACACCGAGTGCGTGCCGCATAGCTGTCGCAGCACAGCAAAGTCCCGCCTTTTCTGGCACTCTGCAGGAGCAGCCTTTAATGCATTCTACGTTTACCTCTGATCACTTCGCAGCCTTCGCTCCTCGGGTCCGCAGCGCAGCCCTGTTCATTTGCATCCTACCGATGAATTGATTCAGATCGCCTAACCCGCTCAGGCCGGGCGCAATCATGTCTTCCAACCAGATCACCCCTCTATGACTCCGCGGGACGGTCTCTTGCTTCCTGCTGCTCCTGTTGCTGTTGCTGGAACCGCGCAAGACGCGCCTGGCGGATCTGCGCTGCTATGTTAGCTCTTCTCGCGGAAGCCGTAGCTTACCAGGTGTGAGCTCCTGGATAGGCTCTTCATCGTCTTCCTCAGTGACCGTGTCAGGCGGCGCATCCTGCAGCGCATCCTCAGACGGCTCCGCGGGGCGCCAGCGCTCGGTCGTGGTGCGTGATGACTCCGCCCTAGGCTCGGGAGCGCGCGTGGCGGAAGCCGACTTCTTCTCCGGAGCGGGCTGGGACTGCTTCTTGACCGGGGCTGGCTTCAGCGGCTTGAGCTCGGGCATCTCGAAACCCGGAGGAAGGTCCGCCATGCTGGCCTTGAGAGCCGCCTGCAGCGCCTCGTCCTCGTCATCATAGGAGCGGTTGTGGTACTTGATGTCAGTCGGCGCCTCTGCCGGGTAATCGAACGCGGTGGCGTCATGGTACAGGTCGTCGTCATCGTCGAGCTCCTCGTCCTCGACGTCGTGTGCCTGCTGGAGCCGATCCTGGGAAGTCAGTTTCCACCCACAAATGCGCAGCTCCGCACCTGCTCGAACTCGTCCTGGTGCTGTTCCTGCTCCTGTTTCCAGTCGAGTTTCTTTCCCTTATCCCTGCGCCTCGAGCGCGACGCGGAACCCGGAGTCTGAGACCCGCTTCCAGGCAGCAGGTCCTGCTCCTCGACGAACTCAGAGGTCGGATCCTGCTGCCTGCGCTGCCGACGACCGGAACCGGTTGAGTAGCTCGGCGCAGGCTCGTCCTCCATGGCACCAGCGTGGCGAGAAGCTGCGAGGAGTTTAGCGGAATCACTCCTTATAACTCACGTCCAGCCTGGGCTGACGGACCAGCATCGTCGACGACGGGCTTCTCAAGGCTTCCCGACATGCGGCCCCTGGCATGTCCCATCTCCTCGACCATGAGGTCGGCGCCGGACGAGGGGAAGTCAGCAACGCCACCGTCGCCCCATCCGGCCGCTTCTCCGGGGTCGATCTCCGCATTGTCGCCAGCCCCCGCGCCAGCCTTGCGGATAACGAAGACGGAGTATCCCTCCGCCTCGGCCTGCGCAAGCACGAGCTGAAGGTACGTTGGCGAGATCCACTCGGGCTGCGGAAGGAACGAGTTCAGGTTGTACCAGCGCGAGTTGAACTTGAAGCGGCGCAGTGTGAACCAGTGGTTCTGCAGGTTGAGAATGAAGCCAGCTTGGTCCCTGTGTGTCAGTTGTGACTGCCCTCGTAGCTGCGACGTTGCGACGCCGATCGGATCAGCGGGTGAGAACAACTCACTCAGGATGGTCCTGGTACTGGCGCATGGCCTCCCCGCGCCAGCGCACGAGGGTCAGATCCCAGACCTGGAGCGCTTTCTCAAGCACGGAAATGGAGAAAAAACCAGTGTCATCAAAGTTGTACGACTTGGCGTCTGGCTGTCTGTGTCGGGCCGCGTGTTCCGCCTGGTCCAGCCTGTACTGTCAGCTTCCTCACGTGCGGACGAGCTCACTTGGACGCCAGCTCCGCAAGGTCGATCTCGGTGTACACCGGTTGCTGGAGGAGGTTGTTCAAGCAGTGTTGGGCGCCTGCGTGTCAGCTCGAACGTGCCTTCCCTCCATCCTTCCCTCGCGTCGACGCGTCATCAGCGAAAGCGAGGACGAAACTCACACAGCTGCGACCCCGGCTCCTGCTTCTCGTGGTAGATGTCTGAATGTCAGCTAGGCAGAGGCTCTTTGTCAGTTGTACTCACACTTGACCAGGTCCATGATGGCCCGGGCTGATTGATGGATGGAAAGCTGGACTCGCCGAGTGAGTGAAAGTGAACAACGACGACCTCCACCGGCACTCACAGGGGTGGACGTCATAGGCTTTCATGACATTCCTCAGACCGCGCCAATTTGCCACCGCTCCTAATCACCCATTAGGCTCAGACGATTAGACGGGCCTTTGATCACGTTTGGGCTCACTTCTAATGAGGCGTGCACCACTGACAGTGGCAGGCAGATCACCGACAAGAATGGCGACCACCGCTCGGATACGACCAGGATCACTCGGGTGCTGAACAACAGGCTCTGTCAGGCTTCTGGGGCTACTTCTGGGTCATTGGATGCGGAAGTAGGTGGTGTAAGAACTGTTCGTAGTCGACCGCGCGACGACACTCTTTGGTGTCAGTACACATGTTCTGTGCTACAGAGCGTGCGAAAGCCGCTGCGACCCATGAGCAGCCCGGTGTGGCATTCTAGGCCTGGGACACCATTCGGCAGCGTTCTCCGAGTGGTAACCTGTCACGCGGAGTAGGAGCTGATGACGTGGGAGTGAGCAGATAAGTCATGGGACTTGCCAGCTCACTGGTTGAGAAGATTGAACCACTACAACAGCATTTCTGCAGCTCTGCAGCATACCCTGTCTCGCAGGAAACGTGAAAGAAAGCAAACGCGAAGACTGCAGTTCCCATTTGCAGTCACCATCACAGTGCAGGTGCCGTTGGCGATGGCAGTTAGAACCCGTCTCCCTCCTCAACAGTGCCCGTATTCCACGCGGAATCCCAACCATGACATTCTGTCCTTGCACAAGCTCGCCCTTCTACCTGGAGCGTCGTCTCAGCCACATCCACAATATTCCTGCTCCTCCATGAAGAGATACATGCAGAGCTGCGCACTGCGCAAGAACATCACATGCTCATCTTATATGCCACACCCGCCGGCGCCGACATGTCCATCTGCCATGGAGCAGTAGCATTCGAAAACCTCTTGGCGTCCATTTCGAATAGAAACATCACAGGAACCGAACTGTCTCCCTTCCAACCTGGACATCTGACCTAGCCTGACGTTCTCGTTCCTCGATCGTGTGATCATGCAAACCGTACTTTGGAATGTGACGCTGGCATCTGTGCTCGACCGGGACGGAATGTGATCTTGCCCAATTCCGGCGCACCGGCGCCACACACCCCAGGCGGATTCAGTGCCTGACGTTGAGGTATCAGCTTATCTCGTCCCCTCCCTTGTCCGTGCGCGTATCGAGCCCCTCACTCGGAACCGCATGCAACCGGAGGGGCAGCGCCTAGCGCTCGCCTATCTGATACGCGCACCCCCCTCTTTCCACGACAATCGCTGGATAAGCGAGCACACCTCGATTCAACGAGGGATACTGATGCAGACGATAGCGACCGGAGAGGACGAGGAGCTCGCCCCCCGCTGATGGTAATGCTGACGGGAGCGCTCGCCCCCGGCTCTCCCGGTTCGACCCAGTCGCCGACGGTGTAATTCATGCGCAATGGCTCGCGCTCGGACTCGCCCGATCTGCAGGGCGACCTGGACAATGGTGGCGTTGACGCCCCTTGCGTAGTTTGTCTTGTGTCCTGGGCCGTGTCACTGCGCCAATGCATGCGCGCATGCGCCATATTGGTCATGAAGCCGGGTATGGTTTTAGATCTATGCTCCGCACCCCATGCCCCGTGCTCGATGCTCAACGAGGTCAGTGATGAAGATGTGCTGCAACGTTCGTGCTTCGCTCAGATGTGTGCGTAATGGACAAAATACATGAACTAATGACCTACAAATGCTCGTTGATTTTTTGATTTTCGCAGCTCGGCACCGCTCGCCCACCTATGCGGACGGGGTTCAGACTACGACATGATAGGATGGAGAGTGTTCACTAGAAACACCAGATTAGAGGATGGGGCCGGCGTTCTTGACCTCGGCAGAGACGTCGGCCTCGTACTTCTGGAAGGCCTTGTTGAACATGCCACCGAGCTTCTCGACCTCGGCCTTGAAGGCGGCCTTGTCGGACCAGGCCTTGGCGGGGTCGAGGATCTCGGAGGGAACACCGGGGATCGCCTTGGGGATGGAGAGGTTGAAGACGGGGAACTTCTCGTACTCGGCCTTGGCGAGCGAACCATCGTGGATGGCGTCGACAATAGCACGGGTGTACTTGAGGGGGCAGCGGCGGCCAGTGCCGAACTTGCCGCCAGTCCATCCGGTGTTGATGAGCCAGCAGTCGACCTTGTTCTTGTCCATGCGCTCGGCAAGCATCTTCGCGTAGCGGCCGGGGTGGAGGATGATGAAGGGCTGGCCGTAGCAGGTCGAGAAGGTGGGCGAGGGCTCAACAATGCCGTCCTCGGTACCGGGGGTCTTCGAGGTGTAACCAGCAATGAAGTGGTACTGAGCCTGCTCAGACGAGAGACGCGAGACGGGGGGAAGGACACCGAAAGCGTCGCAGGTGAGCATGATGATGTTCGAAGGCTGGCGGTTGGCAATGCAAGGAATCTTGGCGTTGGGGATGTACTCGATGGGGTAGGCGCAACGAGTGTTCTCGGTGATCGAGACGTCGTCGTAGTCGGGAACGCGGTCGGCGGGGTTGTAGACAACGTTCTCGAGGATGGAACCGAAGCGGATGGCGTTGTAGATCTCGGGCTCCTTCTCGGCAGAGAGGTTGATGCACTTGGCGTAGCATCCACCCTCAATGTTGAAGACACCAGTGTCGGACCAGACGTGCTCGTCGTCACCGATCAGGAGACGGTTGGCGTCAGCCGAAAGGGTGGTCTTTCCGGTTCCGGAGAGACCGAAGAAGAGGGAGACGTCGCCGGACTCGCCGTCGGCAGACTTGGCCTGGTTGGCCGAGGAGTGGAGGGAGAGCTGGCCGAACTTGACGGGCTGGAGGTAGTGCATGACGGAGAAGATACCCTTCTTCATCTCACCGGCGTACTCGGTACCGAGGATGACCATCTCCATGCGCTTGAAGTTGACCTCGACGGAGGTGGTGGAGGTCATTCCGGTGGTGAAACGGTTGGCAGGGAACTGGCCAGCGTTATAGATGATGAAGTCGGGCTCTCCGAAGTCGGCGAGCTCCTGGGCGGTGGGACGGATAAGCATGTTGTGCATGAAGAGAGCGTGGTAGGCGCGCGAGGCGATGACGCGGACCTTGATGCGGTACTTGGGGTCCCAGCCGGCGAAACCGTCGAAGACGTAGACGTTCTCACGGGTGTTGAGGTAGTCGATGGCACGCTCACGGTTGATCTCGAAGGTGTGCTCGTCGAGGGCAATGTTGACAGGGCCCCACCAGATGTCGTCCTTGGAGGTCTCCTCGTAGACGATACGCTTGTCCTTGGGCGAACGGCCGGTCTTCTTGCCGGAGAAGTTGATCAGAGCTCCGGACGAGGAGATGACGGCACCCTCGTTGACGATGGCATCCTCGTAAAGGGCAGCGACGGGGGCGTTGCGCTGAGAGGGGCGTCAGCAATGAGATCTCGGAGTAGAAGGGCGATGGACGTCATGGGTCACGTGCCACTGCGGTCGCACGCTCGGCAGACCAAGCGGCCAGCGGCGGTGAGAGCGATGGGCCGCACTCGTTGGGACAACTCACCTTGATGTGGATGCGGTCAAGGTCGAAACCGGCCTGAGAGAAGTACTTGAGCTCCTTGCCGAGGAGCTCGTTGTTGTGGGCGTTGGCCTGCTGAACCATGATGAACGAGGAAGAAGGGGGGAGGTAGAGTGGGGAGGAGGGAAGATGGGAGAGAGAGGGGAAGGGGTGCAGAGAGACCTGGCTATAAATAAGGAGTCAGCACTCGGGCAGTCGGGGCTCGGTGGTGGGAGATGGAAGTAGGTGCGGGTGAGAGGTCGGGAGTGAGGTCTGGTGATTTCGAATCTGGGAGTGGGAGGCGGTTGCCGAGAGAAGGAGTGCCGAAGGGGGGAGGAACGGATAGGAACCGTGGAGTTTAATGAGCCTGCATTTGCTCCGACCAGCCAGGAGTGGCCCAGTGGCCCAGGTGATCACACGCTCAGGTGCAGCCATGCTCAGGTTTCTCCAGATTTCTCCAGCCTCGCGTCCTCTGTCGGCTACGCTGGCCCGCACCCCTCCGCACCGGGCTACCGATGACGGCTGATGCGGGTGATGCGGGGCGTACCCAGGGACTACGCTCGGCCTGCCCAATCAACCGGCCAGGTTGTCACCTCCACCGTCTGGGACCCCTTGTCCTCCGTCACTTGTCCCTCGCCATCTCATTCCACACTGGCACACGCGCCGCCACCGTAGAGAGGGGACTGTCACTCACCTGTTAAGCAGCGAGTGAGGTGTAGGTCAAAGCAATTATGATGCAGAGTCGCTCTTCCTCGCCATTCTCCTCGAGGTCTTATGTACCCAGCAGCACAATCTGAGATCATCCCCAAGCCAGCGACGAGCCGTGAGCCGCGACCCGCTTGGCCGCTTGCCGTCCGGAGCATCTCTGGCCGGATCCCGTACATTGCACTACAACTGCTACGGTGGGCCTCGGAAGAATCCGGAACTCGCCTCACCTGTGCCCATAGCTGGGTGATCTGGGTGAGGCTCGATGCATCTCCCGCCGGCAAGTGACTGTGGAGGCCCGTCCCGTGCAGCTCTCGCGCACTGGGCCGAACAAGGCCGATGCGGCAAGAGCCAGCGGCCATCTCCCGAAAACGCCGACCAAGCTCTCCTCATCCAATCATATGCCCTCCTTTCGGCATCCGTTCCTGCGGCCTGCCAAGGCATGCGGCCTCCAGTCCGTGCCTACAGAGCCCAGCCCAGCGATAGGCGTGGGAAGCCGCTAGGCACGACGCTGCACGAAGCCCGGCGCCGATCGCATTTTCGAATCCTGTATCCATTATCGAATTCTAATCCCCTCGGCCCCCCGAAGAATAGTCGCACGCTGGACGTCATTAGAAACCGCGGTGAAACTCTGATGCCAACGCTGCTGATGCGCATCCCGATTTCTTCCGAGATCGCCCAGGTAGACGCTCGAGCATGCGTGAAGCGCGGGCTGTGGTTCTCGGGCAGGGTCTGTCTCGCAGGGCTGGGCCCGCCGCGGCACCGCCTAAACCAAGCCTCAAGCTGCCTGATCATGCGCGAGAAAAAAAGTTCAACGCGTGCGCGCCGCCGGACTCCTGGCCTCCACCCGCCTCCTCCGTCTTTGCCTGCTCGGCACACGACCACGAGCCGCCCGTCTGCCCTGTGGCTGTCCACATGCACACCACCCCTCGCATCATTGGTCCCAGCATGGCCTGGCTCTCCGTGATCGCGCACAGCTGCTCAGGCCTGTTCGGCCATTCTGCCTCCAGCCCGCCGAGCCGCGAGCCGATGCGCCGAGCCCGCCAGCCCGCTGGCCCGCTGGACGGGCCGCACCCAAGCCCGCATGTCCGCAAGCTCGGCGTGTCTTCCCTGACCACGACCGCACGTCGGAGTATCCGGAGCATGCCAGCAACAGGAATGCTAGGGGAGCTGCGGCATATGCACGCTCAGTTCGAAATCACGCAGCCCAGAGAGCCAGGTGGGTGCTCGGAGGCGCGGAGGCTTTGGCAATCAAAGCTCGCAATCTGACCTCGAGGACACGAAAGGTCAGATCAGTATCAGTAGCCCCCAGGGGCCAATCGGACCGGACCGATCGCAAGCGGGGGGGCTCGCCTATCAGTGAGCTTTTCCGCGACTACGGCTAGGTCTAAGGGTTGCTAGCATGCTATATCGAGCTTCTGATTTCGATTTCTGGATAATTTGGCAGCAGCCTAGCGATTCTTCGAGTCCACGATATAGCAAGTGCGTGCGCGAATATCGAACAGACTAGTTGCGCGGTTTTGCTTCGCGCTTCCGTTGGTTGCGCATGGCAATGCACTCCACCTTAACAGATACCACGCACTGGAGGGATCAAGGGGACCGAGACAAGGTATGCATGATAGGCGCCAGGTGCTCCGGGCTCCTGGAGGTACGCGCTCACCGGCCTGATAGCGAGGCTGCCGCCGGAATCTGAAACCCAGCCTACGCTCGGTCTCTTGCCTGTCCAGGCCCGAGTAATGAGGCTCTCCGTCAAAGCTCAGGCATGCACTCACGCCACATTACTCTGCATGCTCTGTGCGCCGTCATTGCGCCCGCTGTGTCCGTTTCTGGCCAGGCCAAGACCGACCCGTGCTCCGTGCTCATCGATGAGAGACGATAAGTGACCAGGCATGGCGTACCTGATAACGAAATCACTCACGCTGAGCACGAGGCAGATACAGGGCCAGGGGCAGAGGGGTATGCAGGAGACACTCACCCCCTTCAGCCTGGCACTGGCTCCAGCCTTTCGCCCCATACTCCAAGGATCCACGGCCAACGTATCGCGGTACAATCAAGATACCATACCCCCAGTGCCCCAGCGCAGACATGCACGGGGGCACGGAAACCGGCACCTCCAATTCCACATTCAAACTTCGCGGGGCTGCGCGGGGGGACGGGGGCTCGGTAATCTGCTCGCCGTGGACGGAAGGCACGGACGCATGTCTACGCCAATCACCCCTTGACTGGGGATGCCTTCGTTTTTCCGAGGTCGATCCCTACCCTCGCTCCGCCCGACCGACCGATCAGACCGATCAGCCCGATTAACTGCTGCCGTGCCGACTTCCGTCTCGGTGCCGAGGCTTGCCGACCCATGCCTTGCATGTGGTGGGCGCTGGTCGGTGACTGCCCTCGTTCGCTGCTTGAAGAGGGGTCCTCTGTGGCAAATCTAGTGTACAAGAATGCATAGTGCTATAGGGGTTGACGCCGGAGCAGGGCAAGGCTACACCTGCCCCGCGGCTGCGAACATGTTCTCAACAGCCCGCCCAACCTCGCCAAGAGAGGGGTGCTCGTGCTGACCCTCCTGCTCGACGCCCATGTCCATATCGGGCGTGTGTTGGTGCTGCGCGATCTGATGCTCGATATCGTGTTGTTGCTCGATATGCTCGATCTGCTGCTGCTGCTGCGCCTCGTCCATGAGGGCGCCCATCTCGTTCTTGCGCTTGCGTTTCCCATTATCGTACCCGACGCTTGCGCGCGACGCAGCCTTGCGCTTCTTAACGCTCTTGCCGTCGCCCCAGAGCTCGTGTGGGCGCAGGATGCCGAATTTCGCGTGATACAGCCCGCAGGCGTTGCACACCTTCAGATCCTCGCCGTGGAAGGTAAGCTTGCGCCACACACTCGTGTGTGTACGTCCGCACACCTCGCAGCTGCCTGGCGGGCCGCGGCGAAGGCGGGACAGAATGCTCGATTCTTGCGGAACTTCTTCGGGCTGCGCGGAGAGAGCGTGCTCCATCGTAGCAGGCTGGGTCGGCGTCACGGATGCGTCGTGGGGTGACGGCGGGAGGAAGGCGGCGAACGACGAGCTGTCGAGCGGGAGCTGCGTGTCGCGACCTCCATCGGCGGCTTGCGTCAGATGCGACAGCAGGTAGTCGTCATGCGCGGTTGCCTGCGTGTTGTCCACGGCGCTGCTGGGCCCGGCCTCGTCAATACGAATCTCGTTCGCAAGCCGGCTGCGACCCCGAGAGAACGATCTGCCTGCCCGGCCACTCGACGTGCCGGATCCGTCGCCAGAGCCGTCCGTCGATCCACCTGGCGATTGTAACGGTGAAGAGTACATCAGCGAGTAGACGTACTTCGCCGGCAGGGCCGCCTGCTTCGGAGGACGGCCGCGCTTTCTTCGCGCCGTAGCCGGAGAAGCGAACGGAGTCATAAGTGGGCCAGCATGGAAGTCGCCCTGCACGTCAGCTTACAGCGTTCGACGATGTATCTCGTATCACTCACCCCTGGAGCATTCATCCTTGTAGTAACATGTGCTCGCAAGCCGCGGAGAAGCCCGGCAATCTGATCGCGCTCGCGTTCGTCACCGTTCATCTCGAGACCCCTCAGCTCGGACACTAGACCTTCCACCTTCTGCTCATCCTCGTCATGTGCGTTGCGCATCCGTGCTATGACTTCCCGCAGTACGACCGCTTCGGATTCTGCGTTGGCCATCTCCGTCTTGATCTCCTCAGATCGGTTGAGAAGCGCGGCATTGTCAGCCTCCAAGAGCTCCTTCGGGATCGTCGCAGAGAGGGGGATCGACTCGTCGTTGGCTCCTTCCTCATAGACCGGCTGGCCGCGTGCGCGGGTCAGTTCGCGCTCCACTCGTGCGATTGCTGCCTTAGTCTTGGCAATGTCATCACGCAGCAGCTTCTCCATCTCGGCGTTGATCGCCACGGCAACGGCCGAGGCACTGCTGGTGGCGAGGGCGGGCAACGTCGGGCCATAAACTGAGCCGCCTCGGGATGGCTTCCTTCACTGAGCGCATCGCCGGCAGGGGTATGTCCCTGGGACGTCTGGTCGTTGTTACCGTCTCCTTCTTGTCCCGCAGCCACAGCTGCAAGCTCGCCCAAGCGTCCACTGACATCCACCTCGTCCTTGAACAAACTCTCGACACCGCGCATCCAGTTTTGCTCGGACTCCGGGTCGAGCGTCGCAGTGAGCTCATCAATATTGCTCCCCGAGCTGGACAAGAGCGCCGCGAGCAGATTGCCCTGTTGGTTGTGTGTGTCGGCTGCGTTGATTGCTGCGGCTGTGGCAGCCTCCACATCCGCCACAGTGGTAGCTGTTTGGTCTCCGGTCGGCAGATTGTGGTCGGCGCCGCCCTCCTCGCGCCCCTCCAGACGTTCGATCTCCTCCTTCAGCTTGAGGTTTTCATCGCCCAATGCCTGAACGGCCATCTCAAGTGCAATGATCTTCTCGTGCTGGCGGTTGCGGGATCGCTCGGCTGCCAGGCGGTTCGCTTCACGCCGCCGCGCATCCGCCGATGAACCGGCAGACGCTGCCGCGCTCTTGCGCTTCCCACGCGGAGCTGGGGTAGGTGCTGCTTGAACCGGCTGTTCGGCTGCTTCCGGAACCACTTGCACTTGTTGCTGCTCCGTGGCTTGGTTCTCCAGCACGGAATTAGCTGCTGCCAATGTCAGCGCAACTTTTAGGAGAGCACTCGGCTTAGCTCACCAAGCACATCGGACAGCGTCGCATCCAGACTAGGATCCATTTTGATCTGATCACTTGCGGGCAAGAGCGGTAAACAGAGTCGGTTCTCGCCCCGATCGCGCTCTAGGGGTGGATGGATGTGTGTTGGTCGTTTAGGGGGTTGTAGGTGGAGCGATGTCCTGACGACGGCAGACCTCTCGGAAAAGCGTATCGGTCTGGGAACGCCAAACCTGTACCATCCACTGGTTTCAGGTCCGTTTTGCTTGTGCTGGCGACGGCGCGTCGCTCGCGATGGTGACGGCTAGGGATGGGTAGACGGTGGTCACCGTTGATGTCAACAACAATATCGGAGAATGACTTGTCATTGACTTCGCCTTGTCAAAGCACTCTGAACATGGGTCTGCGGGGTTAACGCAAACTGCAGGTCACGTGCCTTTTAATCCCGGTTTGCACGCCTACCGCTTTGTTGTTATGACAGCATTCAGCTCTCCGTCGCGTCGCAGCCAACTCTCCATTGTCGCATCTGGCAACTGCCCAACTATATCCACCGCCATCATCGCGTAAAACGGGCCAGAACACTTGCCGCCCCGACACGTCCTACGCTGCAACGAAATTCCACCATGGCCAACGCAAGCTTGGCTAAACTGTGAGTAACCGTCCTCTGCCTGGCCCTGACTGACGCCTCAGGAAGGTTGCCGAGCTCAAGGAGCTTGCTGCTAAGCATGGACTCTCACAGAGTGGACTGAAGAACGATTTGGTTGAACGATTGGCCGCCGCGGGTGTCAGCCCTGGTGGTCAGACCGAGGCCGAAGAACTCGTGGACGTTCCAGATGCAGCGCCTGCGGCCGCAGCCCCTGCACCTGCACCTGTGCCAGTCCCAGCGACTCAGCCCACTCAAGCTCCCGCCCCTGCAGCTGAGGCTCCTAAAGCACCTGAGTCCACGCCATCAGCACCACCTACTGCTGGTGCTGCTGCTCCGTCGGCACCTGCTGCTAGTTCCGCTGCAGAGATCAAGTCGGCTGAGACTGCCCCGGCTGAAGTAAGGCTACTTCTGCAGGCCATTCGCTAACGAGCAGTCGACGTCCGACGAGATCCCCGACGACGAGCTCACCGAGGAACAGAAAAAGCAAAAGGCTCGCGCAGCTCGCTTCGGCATCCCCTTCAAGGTCACCAAACCTAAGCCTGCAGCTGCGCCTGCGGCCTCACCTGCCGCGAAACCAGAACAGCCCAAGAAGGAGAAGCCTGCTGCCATCGACAAAGCGCCACTCGGAGAGTCTGCGGAGGTTTTGGCCCGCCGAGCAGCCAAGTTCGGCCCCGTCAAGAAGGCTGAGCCCGCGTCCGCCGCCCCTGCCGCCCCTGCTGCTGTCCCTGTCGAGAAAAAGGAGGAGCTTACTCCGTAAGCGCTCCTCTAAAGTGACCTTGCTAACATGTCAGTGAGCAAGCTGAGAAGATTCGCGTTGAGGAGGAGAAGAAGAGAAAACGTGCGGAGAAGTTCGGCACCGCGAAGCCCGCCGAGCCTGCCGAGGCACCGGTAAGCTGATCGGCAGAGCTATAAGCTAACGAGCAGGATGCTAAGAAGGCCAAGGCCTAAGTGAGTACCATTAGAAGGAGGTGATTTCTTGTACCGAACGGTTGTTCAAGTGCAGCGAGGGCTGCGATCGAATGCAGTCAGCTGTTGTTAAGTTGTTGCCATCTTGGTGCTTCCGATGCATCTATCGCACACATTTGTTGCTCTGGTCCGGACTGGCTTAAACAAGGGCGGTGCCGGCGGTGACGATGGGTGACCCTGCTTGCGTTTCGATCTATTTCCAGAATGAAATGAGTCCCACCGGGAAGCTCCGCGCCGGCTTCGTTCGTTGACTCTGGTGGCAAGAGATCGTTCCAAGTCGGTGACATGGGACGTGACAAGATGCTGTCAGCGGCCGGTATCGCTTCAACGTAGATGCAAAATCACGGCCAGAATAGAGAGCACGCTCGCGCTCTCAGCTAAGCACATGAGCACACACACGACGCGGGGTGACTTGGTGACTCCCTACTGTGCCAGGCACATTCCGCGCAGGGCGACAGGGTCTGGTGGGCGTCCTTAGCCAGGGTGATACGATTGGTTATGGGTGGGGGTAACGATGTCTAATGACCTCATTTCAGCCACGGAAAAGGCCATTAGGCCCCGCCTCTGGTCACTTGAGCTAAGATCCCCGTCCCTCCTTGCCGCTTGCTCACCGTCCGGCAACGGTTCGCAGCTTAACAACCGTTCGGTCTTGACATCTACCCATCACCACCACCATGCACCTCGCCACACTCCTTACACTCCCCCTGTTGGCGGCCGCTATCCCCGCTCCCCAGGCGCCGGCTGGCGACGCCCAGGCTGTTTTCGGCATCGAGAACAACAACAACGCCGTGTCGTCCGACCTCAACATCGACCTGAACGAGCTGCGCCTCGTCAAGTTCTCCGAGGATGAGCCTCCCAAGTACGCATCGACGGTCCCTCTGCCGTGCAGCACGTAGAGTACTGACTCACAACAGGTGGATCACCGAGCTCGAGAAGATTGAGGCTCGCGCTCGTGGCCGCAAGTTCATGGACATGTTAGTGGTCAACCACCGCCTCAGGCACTGATAAGCCCAGCACCGACACTCCCACCCTCGGCCTGACCTCTTTCCTCAACGAGGACAAGTACGGTGAGTATACAGCTGCAGGAATAGTGGCAGAAGTGGCTGCGCAGAATGCACGCTAATCGGTGGCAGAGTACCCGAAGCCGGGCAAGTACAAGAAGGACATCAAGGCTCTCTACAAGAACCTTTCCGAGGACCACATGAAGCAATTCCTGTCCAAGTTCACCAGCTTCCGCACTCGCTACTACAAGTCTCAGACTGGAAAGGAGTCGCAGAAGTTCCTCCTGTCGACTATTAAGGAGATCGCCAGGGACGAGAAGGAAATCGACATTTCCGAGTTCGAACACCCGTGGGGACAGAACTCCATCATCGTCCGCTTCCCTCACACCGGCAAGAAGGATGCTCCTCGCGTCGTCGTCGGTTCACATCTCGATTCAACTAATATGTGGCCCTTCCTCCCTGCACCAGGTGCTGATGACGACGGTTCTGGGACGACTTCATCGCTGGAGGCGTTCCGCGCGCTCGTCCACGGCAACTTCACTCCTTCCGGTCCCGTGGAGTTCCACTGGTACTCCGCTGAGGAGGGTGGTCTTCTGGGCTCGCAGGCTGTTGCTAAGTCCTACGAGGACAAGGGAGTCAAGGTCAAGGCCATGCTTCAGATGGACATGACTGGTGAGAACAGCGAAATGTGGTAGACGCGTAGCTGACATCAGCCTGGGTCAAGACTGGCACTGAGGAGCACGTGGGCCTGGTTCACGACTTTGTCTCTGCCTCTCTTACCAAGTTTGTCTGGAAGACTGCTGAGACTTACCGTGAGTTGACCAAAGCTCTACAATGTAACTGATGAGCAGTCGACATCGGCGTCCGCGAGACCAAGTGTGGCTACGCCTGTTCCGACCACGCTTCGTTCACCAAGGCAGGCTACCCCTCTGCCTTTGCCATTGAGTCCGAGTTTGACCTGACCAACCACAACATCCACTCGACGTCGGACACGATCGACCACCCCGAGTTCTCGTTCAGCCACATGAAGGAGTTCTCCAAGCTCGCCATCGCCTTCGCTTACGAGCTCGGCGCCTGAGCCCGCTTGTCTCGACTTGTGATGTGACTTTCTCTTGTGTCAAAGGCATCTTCGTGGAGATACCCCTGCAGCGGCCTCCCAGCCAGTATTAGACAGTTCATAGTTATTCCCAACCACAATCGTTTCAAGCCTACCCAGAAGAGGTGCTGCTTTAGCATATGTTTCTAAATGTTATCTGAAGAATATATAAGAAGACACCAAAGTGCCACAGGCGTGCGCAGCTCTCACACATCTATTTCTGCAGCCTCAAAGCAATAGCTCTGCATTGCGCTGCGCTGATAGCCTCATAGAGTACACTACAAATGGGGGACAGGCTGCGTCTGGCAGGCCGCCTTCTAGCTGCTGCAGAGGTACCATTCTACATTGATACATCGGTCAAGCCGTTCTAGTCGTTATCTCCAGCATGTTATTCTATAAAGACATGCTGTCTTTCTACTCTCTCAAACCGGGCGGAGGCGTCTCGGCATGTCCGAGGCCACTGTGCCTTCCGCGGACACCGGCGGTTGGTGATGGCTCGCTGATAGTCAGCTACATGTGACAAGTGCTCAGCTCACTGTGGGAGGCCAGCTGGGATGCACTCAGCTGCGAGCGCGGTCCGCGTTGACAGCGATGAAGTGGTACGCGACGATGAGGACCATGGCGGCGACGCCGAGGCCGTTCGAGAGGTCGGTGAGGGCTCCGTCCGAGATCATCTGAGGTTAGCTAATCAATACATCTTCAAAACAGCCGCACGGGATGCTTCAGTACGCCATGCAACAGTGGGTCACACCGTTGCCGGAGCCCTGCATTGCAAATGTGCGGAAGTCACTTACCTCGATGTCGTTGTATATGTTGGAGGAAGTGACGCGCCGGATCGTTGACATGAGGGCGGCACAGCGTGGAGGTCGATTGCCGCGTTGAGTGGCGGGACCAAATAAGCCGGCTTCGCTGTCGTCACTGCCCGGTCTCCTCCACTACTTCGGTTCACGGCGCGCTTGTGACTTGTTCTGAGCTTCAGATCCAGTTTTATTCTCCAACCGCCCAGCAAACTTTCCAACGCTAAGCGCATCTCCATCGCCAATTCTTCTTGAGGATCTCACCGCCCGACCGTCGTTTGTGAGAATTCCCACAGCCTGACGCGCTCGATCAGCTCTACCGACTCAGACAGTGACCCGCATCGTCGAATCTCGACCATGAGCTTGACCTCGATTAGCGCACGCCTGACCTCGGCGCAGAGTGCGCTTCTGGAGCGTTCCCGTGTAATTTCGCTGGGAATGACACCGTCCGCGTCGAGCACGCACAGCTTGATGCGCACGCTGAGGAACGTGAAGGGGGACCTGGACAAGGTGCCCGAGTCCGAGGACGGAGACGAGCTGCGCGAGCTCGAGACGCGGTACGATCGCATCATCGACATGCTCGCTGCCGACGATGAGGGGAGGGAACGCGCCAAGGACCTCAGGCGAGAACGGAGGCGGTGAGTTTGGACTGACGGCCACGGCGTAGTGGCTTTCCCCACTCCGCCCCCACCCGTGCTCGCTGGGAACGGAGAAGGGACTGGAGGAAGGACAAGGGAAGACATCAACCCTCCTCCTCAAGCTCCAGTATTCCTAGAAAAGCTGACAACAGTGAGCCCAGTCCCCCGCCTGTCGCTTCGCCGCAGTATGGCAATTCGCGCTCGCCGTCGCCGACTTCGAAGCCTATCAAGCCGTTCAGGGACGACCCGTCTGACGATGAGGGCGAGCCGGAGCAGTCGCATCACGAGATCCTACAGCAGCAACAGGACATGATGGATGGTGAGTGTTTGGGCAGAGAACTGCGTCATCGAGCTACGGACTATCGTTGGAAGATCCTGCGGAGGCTGCGGCGGATGGATGTGGAGAGCGAGGGATAGGTTGGGGAGTGGCAACGGCTTGACAACATGCAGCGACGCCAGCTGCCTTTTGCTGGTTTATCTTCTCTGTTCGCCTTCCATCGGATGGAGGAAGACATTTTGCTGCTGTTTGTTTGGGAGGCAAGATCGTCGGTGTATCTGACACAGCGATCGACAGTGCCTGGGCGGAGTGGCTGAGTCGACGAACTAGGGCAGGGACAACCACCCAGACTGCCTTCCCCCATCACATTGTCACTCTGCTCGGGGAGCAGCTGCTTATGGGCGATTGCCGCACGGCAGAGCTGCTGCCGATCTGGAGTTTGAGCAGCGATGCTCCAGCAGAGTTCGATCTGCCCCAATACTGCCTCTGCGTTGCACGGGTTTATAGCCCTTCTGATCGCTCCCAGTACTCGCTAAGAGATGATTGAGATGGTCGGCTTGTGTTGAGCATAGCCCTTCGAGGCGCAGGGGAGTCTGAAGTCGTAAAGTCTGCGGTGATTCTGGAAGCTGGTTCCTCACTTGCTCTTGTCTCGTTCTCTAGCTGGCCAGGCGATGCGAAGGTGATTAGCTAACAACTCAGACCAAGACGAGCGACTCAACCTGCTCTCGCATTCCATCAACCGCCAGAACCACCTCTCCTTACAAATCGGTGACGAGCTAGACGTCCAGGCCGAGCTTCTTGAATCCACAGATGCGGCCATGGACAACACTGCCAACCGCCTCAACCGCGCCAGGCGGAGATTGGACCATGTCGCCGACAACGCCAAGCAACACGGTGAGTCGTAATCACTGAGGCAGTAGCGTCGTCGTGAAGGGCTGTCGTGTGCTGCGAGTCGTTCCCTCCCCCTTGCTCGCCATCGCCGAGCGAGCCGTTCCTGTGTACCTGGGAAATTCGAAAGAGGAACGTCGGCGGTCAGCTGCCATGATTTTTACGTGGTGGGCAGAGCGGTCAGGCTCTTTCGGGACTGGGCATCTGTACCTGCTCGTCATCTTGTTCCTTGTCTCCGCGCTGTTAATGGAGGGCGAGGCGAGCGCTGAAGCGCGCGCTGCGACAAAAGTCTGCTGAGCGACTTGCCACCCGCGCTATCGTCGCTGGCAGTGGTGTCGCGTCTCCCAAACCCCGGTTTTGTTCTTTAGGCAACGAGTGGTGCCATAACATCCTGCTGGGGGCCCAGATGAGCTCAATAGGGCGCGCCTGGGATTGGTCGCTCTAACGAAATCGTTTCTTCTTCCCAAGCACGCCTGGAAGGGCGGGCGCCCCAGCATCCCCCTGATCCTTCCTGTTCTCAGTGATCTCCTCTCCTTGAGCGGTTCTCATCACTTTGGCACGGCCCTTCTTGTGCTCTTATCGTCAATGCGAGCGGCGAAAAGGGCAGGAACTCGCCTTCATTGTCTCTCGATTATCTGCAACGTCACATGTTGCGTTCAGCAGGGCCGTCCCCGCCCTCATTACCGTTCTATTTCGCTTTCATTGCCATCTTTCTTTACTACTTCTCCGAGACAGCTCCAGCCTCAGTCTTGCTCATCACATTAGCTGGAGAGGGACCGTCGGCCAATGAGCAATCCGTCACCATATGTGACGTGCGTAGTGGTGGGGTGAGCGTCATCTTGTTCGGCTGCCGTTGTTTCCGGGATCATGGCCATTACTCGGGCGGTGATTCTCAGACTCTTTCAGTCATTTGCTGGAATTCCCGCTGCTGATTGGAAACGCACTCGTTGCGATTGCCTTCAGAAGGACATATTTACCTCGGGGATCTCAGTAATCCCTTCCTTTTCGTCGCGAGTCCCATCGGAAATCTGAGTAACTGCTGGGTGTCGAACGATGACATCGTGCTCGGGAAGGCGTCGAGTAACCACACTGTCTCCCCACTGCACTCGCCCGGCGAGCGGCTAAGGTGGCAGCTCTAGCACTTAATTTTTTGAACGTCCGGGGAGGATGGCGAAGTTAGTGCTCGCGACCGCTTCGGCCTGCTGTGAGCGGAGCGTCCGTGATACTTGTTGAAGTGTCGGAAGCGGAGCGGATCGTGGGCCAGTTACCCGACGTTGGCTCTGCGTGAGCTGGCCGCCGCAGATACTCGCCTATCCTCGTTCGAGCTCTGAAGACGCAAGCCCTTCTGTCCCGCCCTACTTGCCTCATGTCGGAAGATATCAGCCTCGCTGACGAACAGGGAGCACGATTACGATCGTAGCCCTAATCTTCATCCTCCTTTTGCTCATTATCATCTTCAAGACGTAGATGAGAGCGCGCAGCCTATAGGCGAGCGAGTTCCAGTCTGTCTCAGCGGCCGAGGTGTTGGGGCGCGGCCATGAAATGAGGAAGGTAGAATTCCAACCTCATGAGAGATCCTGTACGACCTTTTGTCACATTATTTCCTTTGCATGAACCAGCACAATTGTACCGTACGTTTACGAGGCTGCTTCTAACGGCGGCTGGCAGCTGGACCTACTCTAACTGGCCATTTAGCTTGCTACATCGGATCCTAGAAATGGCTCAATGGCTTACGGTATGAGGGCTCCCGTTGTTTGACCACCTGCCTCGGATTTCGATGGTAACAAGGCCACCCTCGCCATTAAGGTTAGTGTGGCTTTGCTGCACACCCTGGCATCCTTGGGCATATCCTGGGCGAGTCCTGGTGTGGAGCTTAATCTGAATAGTGTCAATGCCGGGATGAGGGCAGGACCACTGCTTCCGGCCATTTCTGGCATAGCTAGACGAGGCAGATGTCGTTTACCCCTGCGTTGTCACACATCTAGGCCGCTGGGTGGAGCACGTCCGAGTCATGTGGTTTTCCGGCGGAATGATCTACGATCCTCGATGATGTCGCATCCGATTACCACTTTTGCTCTAGATCCGATCGTGACGGTGACTCTTGAGCTTAAGCCAGGCCGGCCAGGTCACCGTTGATACTCTCCGCGCATCAAGCTGGGGCACGCTCTGCGCGTATTGCTGGATCCGGTCACGGGTTCCCAGCATACCTGTAAGTGACCGAGACTGCAATGACACCGATCCGCCAGGCGATTGGCTCGCAAGTGGCACATGGTCCCTCATTCATCCCTTTCACGATTCCGACCAACGTAACGCAGCCGCCCCGCAATACTGCAAGGCTTATGTGCGCCAAGTTCCCTGTCGCTTGCAGTGTTGCAGTGAGTAGTGAGTCTATGCTTTGAGCGGAGACATCAGTGAGGGTGCGCTTGGGCTCGATGGTGCCTTTCGGCGCATTGGGCGAACACACCGAAACGACGGTCCCGTGTGTGTCACTCAAAACTTGGTACCTTTCGGCTCTCCCTACAGGTAGTTAGTTCCCTGTGGGTTTGCCCACTTTCAACCTGGGCCGCCAACGGTGCGTACGGCCCGCCCGCTTCGGATCACGGCCCTCGACCGCGGCCCGAGGGCCGGCTGATCCTCGACAGATTGTGCCCAGATGGTGCCTAGGGTCTCCAATCAGCTTGCGGTAAGTGCCATAAACCTGGGTTGCAGAGAGGCAAGGATCCTGATTGTCTGGACCTGCGATGTGGAACACAATCGCGTAAGACACTCGTAATGGCCTCGAAGGTGACGAAGGGCCCACACCGCAGCCCAGGTACCAGTGTGCGGACAGGACGCGCATGCGTTCAGAGGCGAAGTCAGGTCCAAGATCTGCAATGGCCACCGGAGTATTGCTGCTACGCCGCAATGTGTGTGCGAGCATTCAGTGGTACAACCTTGACATCAAGCGCAAACGCAAACCAGAGCCAGAGCAGAGGGACGGACACTTTCCAGGGTGCAGTGCAAAGCCTACTGTCTGTTGAGATCTCGATGGACTTTGCTTATAGTCCGGTGCGTTTCAACACTTCATCGCCCCAAAGCTGTATCGCCGTGTGGATCACTGAGTTCTCCACAAACTTAACGAGGGCCTCACAGGTCCGTAGGTTTGTACGTTTATGGATATAGTTGCAGCATTAGATGTCCGCAGAGGCCCAGATGGCTCGCGTAGGTTGTAACGGCGTACGTTGTCTCGTAAGCACAACACGCTGACTGTCTTACTCCGTGCTGCCAAACTCAAGCTCTGGCTCTATGCCGCTCTCCCAGAGCCTGGATCTGAGGGCGTTGCTCGCTTACGCACCTCGTATGATGGTAGGTGCAGGCCACCTCTGCGCTGCGAGAGTCCGGGCGCTCCAGCATTCGATCTACGAAGGTTGGTTACATCACTGACTCAGTTAGTTTCGGTCGGTCTCGGCTGCAAGTCTAACACGGGGTACGTGTTATATGGGATCCTTTGTTTTGGAGCCAGGAGCATTAGTCAGGTCCCAGCCAGGACCCAGCCGATAGCTCAGGAAGCCCGACGTCGGGGGTGGGTAGCCGCCACGGAGGGAAGGTTTGTGGGAGTCATAATCTGCTGGACGTGCCCTCGGTTCTCCTTTCGTCTGATCAGCCTTCCCTAGCCTTCCTCTTCCCCTGTGATGCCGTCCGTGATACGTACGTACTCACCAGCTGGACCTCTCCCCCCCAGATCAGACATGGTTCCGCTCGGGGTCGTTGAGAAACCTGGAGCAGTCAGCACTCCCTGCTCTGGCAACGTAAGAGTGAGCTTACTCCAGATCGCTGGTCACATGCAATTCCTTTCGTGCAATAACCCCCACCCCCTCTCTCCCCTGCTCATCTCAAGTCAAGTTTGGGCTAGTAGTAAGCCAGACTGATATGGGCCCTCCAACGCCGCCCACCACCGCCCCATGCCCGGTGTCTTCCCTGGGATCGTGTACCGATTCCAGGCATTCCAGTATCGAGCAGCTGACCCTTTGGCTGTCGTCGTCGTGGCCTAGGTGCGAACGAGCCGAGAGGTTAAGCTCGAGTTTCAGCCCCAATGAACGGACTCGTCCTTTCCTCTGCTGATATACAGGGTAAACAGCAACCCATGCACCGGCGCTCTCCATAATAGCAGCGGCCGCTCAAGCCCTTATCTAAACTCGACAGAACAGCAGCCGCGTATCACCACGCACATACGCACCCTCTCAGTTAGGTTCAATTGTCTGTACCTCGATAATCTCTGCCTAAGTCGTTTAAAGTAGCCCACGAGCAGTGCGACTTCGTGTAAAGATTGATTCACAATCATTGGAGAGTTGGATGTTTCCGACTCGTATCCCTCACGGCGGTCATGTAAGACGGTTTACAATACCTCATGTTGGCGCAGTCACCAGTGTTAGCTCCATTACCGAACATCGTTTGAGCTTAACCACAAGGCTCTGCAGAACGAAACGGGCTTGAGCGGTATCGGAGTGAGTACGTACGTCTGGAGGAGGCGGTATTCGCAGCTGGCGTGCGACACTGTACGACACTAAGGCACAACCAAAGCCGCACTTCCTATCATGCTTCAGCGAGTGCCTCCGAGAGTAGCAAGATATGTGACGAGGGAAGATTTCTGGACTTTCTCATTATGTAAAGGTCACGCACGACCTGGACAAGGATCAGTGGTCACATTGTCGTGGTCTGCAGAAAGGCTGATCATCGGGTAGGCCTAGGTGGTGGAGCGCTTGGCCCTTGCGTGCACGGTCTGCGTAGCCTCCTTCAGGAGATCAATGGTCTCCGGTCAGTAGTCTCTGCTGAGCGGGGCTCGGTCGGCGGGCCCTCTTTAAACTTATCAACCTTAATTACGGACTATCATCGCGCTCACCTGCCCACACGCTTGGAAACCTTGTTGTGAATTACTGGCGACCAAAAGGGCGCTCGTAATTCATGTTCACGGTCAGACTTGAGCCAAACTTGCGGAGAGGAACGCCGCTGCACGGACTTTGCGGACCTTTGCGGGCCTGGCTTCAGCGAATGCGCAACGGTAGAAAGTGTTGCAGGCGGCGCTTGGGCGCGGGAGCCCCTCAACCTGGGCACTGCGCCGTACCTCGCTCAGCGGGGCACTTGAGCGTTACCGTTGTGTCTGAGAGGAGAGAGCCAAGCCATCCCGCTGTTGAGGCCCGAGCCTTAGAAAGCTTCGACCTGTCGGGAATCACAGCGCGTCGCAGCGCTCGGTGAGCAGGACTACCCTGGGTGCGAAGCCGGCCTCAAATATTGCGAAACTTCTTGGAGGAGTTTCTGTG